GGAAGTAAATGGGCCGCCGGCTGCTTGAACGGCTGAGCCAGGTATCAAGTGTTTCCCGCTCCGTCATCCCCTATGAAGCCCGGCAGTGGCGCAATTTACTTCAGACTTGCTCAAGTTGCCGGCCGCTTTGCCGCAGATCCTCTACATTCTATCTCAGGCATGCTCTTCTTGCCCGTTATATTCGTAAGCCTTCGGAAAGAATTTCGGTGAGCAGGTGAGTGATGCCTAGGAACGAAACGGAGACTCGTCATCGCGGCTTCGGCACCAATGAGATACCCGAGGAGCTACGAGTCCGCGGAAACGAGTGCGACTTTGGACGTTTGTTACCCACTTTACCTTTCACCCTACCCCACCCCCGCTGCCAAGAGCCACCGCCCAGTCCTGTCCAGGGCATTTTCAAGGTAGTGGCTGAGAAATGCGAATTGCGAAGTCCGTTCTGGTGAGTAATGTCGTTGGAGTGGCGCCAAGGATGGGGATGGAGTCGGCTGTCACGGCCTCGTCCCATCACCTTCGCAGTTTGATTATGAATTCCATCATCAGTCCAAACGGGCCAGGGCCGCACGTCAAAGGCCAAGCCTCCTCAAACGCTTTCGAGCCAAGGTGTTTACTTGGACAGGGAGGATACATCAGGCGGCATTCGTGGTCATGAGGGCGGGAGGGGTGTGCAGGCGAACAGTGGTTCACCGCAAGAAAACGGTTCGTTTTCACTGTCGGCCTCAGTCCACGAGCACGCTCGGGCCCACGGACGCAAGGGACCGGAGTCACCAAAAATGACAAGCACTTAATACCGAACGCATTTCTGCTTCCCACGATGCAAACGCACCTAGGCCGGGCAACCACCAGCTGGGCATTCCTGTTCAAGGGGGCCACGACGACACCATCGTCAGTGTTGCAAGATGCAATGGCAAGATGTGATGGCGAGATGCGACGACAGGATGAACCGACGCTAGACTGCCATCGTGTGGTCCTCAGGCTAATCGGCGGTGGCATTTGTGAAATAAAAATTTATTAAAAAATGCCACATCCCAACACTTGACCGGTCGGTGATGTTTGTCGCTTGGGTTAACTTAACCCCATCCCCTTGTGACTCCTAAAGATCCGATATCTTATTGCCGGTGGTTCACCTGCGCTCCTCAGGCAATCAAGATTGTGAAGCACGGGACCTCCCGAAGCCCCCACCTAAGAGGGCTTCCCTCCATCGACGGCCGCTCGTTATCTTGCGCAGACCATTATACTTCGGAAGGGTCGCGTCCTTGTCATTCAAGTCGTAGATATAATTAACGAAACCAAAAGGCGAATATTAGCCAGCTTTGTGCCCTTGCATTTTTTCCCCTTCTCGTGGATTTCTCCCCTTTTTCCTTGTTACCCCGGAGTTTTATCTCCTCGTAGCGTGGCATCCCCGTCGTGAACAGACTCTAGCCCAATGACATCAACGCGCAATGTCGTCCACATTACATCATCGCCCCTCCTTCCATTTCCCTTTTCTCGCCTCGTCGCACTCCGTCGCCCACCACGGCCGCTCAACCAGGTTAAACGTGCCCCTACCCCTTGCAGCAAACGTCCATCCTCTAGTCCCTGGTCGGTCGGCGGCCCCTCCTTTTCGCGCCTCTTGCTCACTCATCGTCGAATTTTCCATGTTTGGTTAAATGAGCTCAACCAAGATGTGGACATCTTGGGAGGGACTGCGCTAAAAAGGGATAGGAAAATGGGGATTCTTTTTGTTCCTTCTTCTTCGTCACTTTAATACCCCCTCTTCAACGGGGAATTAGTCGTGGATGATACCTCGCCCCATCACACATTGTCGTATCAAGCTCTCTCATGTGAGCAAAAGGTTGGTGGGTGCAACGACGCCCTACCATTCTCCACGTCCCTTGCAGGAAGGGTGGCCTGGGCTTTTCCTACCTGCTTCGTCGCTTGTCTTGTCTTGTACACTCGCCAGCCATCAACTTATCCCCCTCTTTTCTTCTTCTTTTTGGGCCGACGCTGCATCGTCGTCACCTCATTTCAGGAACCGCGATGTTGCGGCCAGCACATCGTCTCATGGCCCAGATGAAAAGCGAAAAGGAAAAAGAAAAAGAAAGAAAAAGAAAAAAGAAAATGGGGAAAAAGACCGTTACTACCACCCCTCCTCCCCTGCCCCTTGATCTTGTCTGTGGCGGAGGATGCCGCAGTATCCAAACTATGAAGGGCCTGTGTTAATGAGTCGCGCCCACTGGAATACATCTATCAATTCGATGTTGCTGATGCATCCACTTTAGCTAATGTATGGACCCCTTTCTCCCAATGTGCAGACAACCGGGTGTGGTACCAACTATTGGCTTGGGCCGGGCTCAGCGGGCGCAGGTCAACGATGGGATGGGATGAGACTCGACCACCTTATCTCGCCACTTACCTGCCTTTTACATCTTGAAGGTGTATTAGATCTTCCCCTCTCTTATTATGTGGCTCGCTGCTGGACGCTGTTCTCCAAGATAAGCATCCACTGCGGGCAATGGGCCATACCACCATCACCACACCCACTTTTGATCAAAGACATGCAGCGCGGTGCGCATTCAATATTCGCATAGAGGCGCATGACACAGTACCGTCTCTCCCAATTTTCTTTTTTAAAGGCTTTGCCTCACCTCACCACCCTCTCCCTCCCCACCCTCCTTGAACATCCCCCTTGCCCCCACGTATGCTTGACACGTAGCGTAGCTTCCAGTGGGACAACAGGGGAGGGAGGGTTTGATGGAAGTAGAACAACAAAAACTTAATCACGCATTCCCTTTCCAAGACACCTATAAGACATGTAAAAATAGGATGCACCGCGAGCCGAAGCCGTGCAGGAGCGAAAGCGATGGGAGGGGAGGAGGGGCGGGGAGGGGAAGGGAAGAGGGGACGAGCCGTGGCGTCCTGGATCCACCTGTGAGCATGCCGGGGTTACATGGCGAGTTCAGCGTTGAGTGCGGGGTCTTTGCCTCGATGGCGTTGGGTTTTTCCCGATCACTCCTCCTAAGGAACCGATCGCAACGTCGAGAGTTTGATTTGAGGTGAGGGGTTGGGCGTTGGTCGCCTTTGCCGCGCGAAGCTGTTCGCCTCTCGGCAGCTCATGGGGGAGAGGAGGGAGAACGGATGGCGGCGTATCATGCCAAGGGGGTTCTTCGACTAGGAACACGCTGTCTCACGCTGCAGGTGGCCCAGATAAGCCCAATCCCCCAAAGAACAGAAGTGTGTTTTGCAGGAAAGAGGGGAGAGAAGGGGGATGAGGAGGGTCGATAGGGAGGCCCCGGGCTTCGGAAGCCATGTCGGTACCCGGAGCTCCGGTACCCGCGACAACGTACGGAGCCACTCGTCAACTCCACACCCGGAGCCCACAATTCTTTTTCGATGTTTGCCTTTGGATCCTCCCCCAAACCCGGACGTGACTTCATTTCTGAGGGAAACCCAAAAGAAGATGATCTTTTTGCGGGTCAGGCACCCAGCCCTGAATCTCAGCCCACCTCGCTTTTCCGAAACCAAGCCACGAAATCTTAATATTTCGCAGAAAGGCTAGGGTGATGAGGGTCGGCCTCTTTGGCTGTGTGAAGGAGCTGCCACCCCTCCCCCTCTCCCCCTCCTCCTCCTCAGGGGCCGATGCTGCCGGCCGCGGCCGGGCAGCTCGATCGGCAAGCTTTTGTCTTCCCGATCGTCTCCACACGTCTAGGGGCTCCAAACTCTCGTAGTGGAGCCCGGCCAGAAAAGGAGGAAAAGAGGATCACAATCTCCGCGGGGTGTTGGAGCTGTTCACAGGGCTGGAATGACGATGGTGGTGGGGAAAGGTCCTTCCCTCCCGCCTGGCCGCGGCGCTTTCGATTCGCGGCCTCGATCCATCCGACTTCTGGGGATAGGGGAAGGTTGCTTGATGGGGTGGCTGATGGGAGAACTCGGCTCCAGCAGGAGTAACTCGTCCGATCCGAACCCAATCGGCCCAGCTGCTAGTCACTTCACTCGTTCGAGACCCTCTTCCTCTGATTGCGGTTCTATGCACCGCAGTAGGATAGTTCTATGACGGAGATCGGAAACCTCAACTGCAACTTTCATGCTTACGCTCATCATGGGTAATGATTACGAGCGAGCCGATACTCCAGCCACTCCGGTATCGTAATCTTCCAAACCCACCCCAGTCATCTATACAGACTTCCTCCAGTGACAATGGACAAGATCGAAAGAGAGCCGGTGCTATCTAGGACAAGGACAGTAAGAAAGTAGAGCACATCCCAGTGCTTTTGTCACCGCGAGGTGACTATGCGATCTGAGGGGGCGGGTTTCCTCAACGACCTCGATGGGAAGAAGTTCACCTGGGTCTCAACTTCTCAAAGGAGCAGAGGGACCTTTCTCGCTGAGGGACGCCTCTTGATCGACAGTTTCAAGAGAGAAAGCCTCTCCAGTTGCCGTGTCGGGGTCATTGTCGGAAACTTACGTCTCCCATCTACCCTAGCCAAACCCCATGTCTACTTAGGTCGGGCATCTTATGAGAGCCTTGCTGAAGAAGCTTAGATTCGAGACACGAGATTGAAAAAGGTCGCGAGAAGAGCCTGATTCACTCTTAGTTTGCAATCATGCCCTCGCGTAGCATGGCCGTCCAGCTGCCCTAAGATTCCAACGAAAGGCGAGGTTCCTCATCGGGGATTGGGTAAGTGGGGCTGGTTTTTTGAGAGAGATTTTCAACAGTTCAAGTAGGGTCTGAACAACGAACGAGGCGAAGGATGAACCATCCCCGCCCTCTCGCGTCCACATCAAAGGGAGTCATTGAGGAACGCACTAGCTAGACGACCAAGCTTCCCGACGATGAGTTGTTTTCACGTCTGGAGAGCAAAGGTCGAAATCACGTGCAGCTTGACTCATGGCAGTGAAGGACTGCAATCTTTTTCAATTGAAGAAATTCGCAATCGACCCCACTAACCTAACCCCGCCAAACATCGTGCAATCAACCTCATCACTGCCCGCACAACAAGGAATTCCCTCACGAGAACAGCAAAATGACGTCCAAGGTTATCATCATTACAGGTGCGAGCCGAGGTATTGGCCTCGCCGTGGCCAAGTGGCTGCTCAACGCCTCGCACCGCGTGGTGGTGACAGCAAGGACTCGCGATGCCCTCGAGTCCCTCAAGGCCACTTACCCCGGCCGCGTTGAATATGTTGTTGGCGACATCACTGATCCTGAGGTATGGGGGCAAATCAATCCAAAAGAAATGTATATTTAAATACTGATACACGACTATGTAGATTGCCAAACAGCTCACCAATGTGGCAGTCGAGTCCTTTGGGCAGCTCGACGGTCTAGTGGTGAACCACGGTGCCCTTGCCCCTATCGCCCGAGTGGGCAACGCGGATGTAGATGAGTGGAAAAGGCTTTACGACATCAACTTTTCAGTGCTCTAGGACTGGTATGCGGCCAACACCCCAGACGCATTATAAATGTTTCAGTGTAACTAATGGTCCTTCGCCAAAAGCTCAAAGAGGCACTACCTGAGCTTCGCAAGTCCAAGGGCTGCGTAGCTTGGGTGTCCTCCGGCGCGGCGATGTCATGCTACACCGCATGGGGCGCCTACGGTAGCTCCAAGGCCGCACTCCATTCACTGACGGGTCACGTTGCGGTCGAGGAGCCAGACGTCACCAGTGTTAGCTTCAGCCCAGGACGCGTCGACACCGACATGCAGCGTCTCATTCGCGAGGCAGGCAATGAAATGAAGCCTAGCGATCTCCAGGACTTCAAGGAGGTGTTCGAAAGGGGTGACCTTCTGAAGCCCGAGGTCCCGGGACACACGATAGCACGTTTTGTAGTCAACCCTCAGCGTGACTTGACAGGAAAATTCCTCAAGTGGGTTCACACTCCCATCCCAAGCCAACTAGACAATGTTCACGTGTACTAACAAAAATCCACGAACAGAGTAACGGGACCAGAGCTGGCTCCATTCCGGGACGAGTAATGGTCTACTAGAAACTGTTGACAAAGTTAGCTTACGTCTTAGAAGTAGGCTTGAAACAATAAAGAGGCAAGATAAACGAGGGTTCGAGTCAGACGAAAGATGAAAAGCTCGATTTTTGATCCACATGCGGGTTTCAGAATTAGCATGGAAATCGGGTTGCATCATGAACCGATTTTTGCAAGGCAGACGAAAGAAAAAAGTTTAGGCTTACCTTACCGTGCCGCAAGCCCTATGCTTGGACCAAGCATGGGCCTGAAAATTGCGGACGTGAAGGTGATTCTATCCAGCCTCGTATAATAGACTCGTAGGATGTATTCGTCTTCTTGTCCGCGGTGCTTGCGCACACAAGATATGCAATGCTGCAAGGTTGCCATTGACAACCCAAGCATTTTACGCCTAGCGTGTGGCAATAGCAGCAAGCAGCAGATCGAGCATGTCAATGCATGATTCTACTGAAAGAAGGAGTCAGTCAAAGTCCCATCTTCTTCCTCGGTCCACATTGACAAGTCGTGTGGAAGCACCATCAGAAACGTCTGTGTTTGGCTTGACAAGTCGATCACCACAGAGGCCGCAGCCTCGTAAGCCTGGGGCGACAACATATCTCATCACATAGTGCGTAGGGTATTGTAAGGGAAACCAAGCTTACCGATATTTGTTGCCAGAGTTTAACACCTCAAGAGAACGGACAGTTTTAAGACCGGCAATCTCGAGGGTCTTCATCTCTAGACACGAGGGGCCATTCCAAGACTAAACTCCGACCAAGAAATAGAGCAACTATTCTCATCGGCTTAATCGTCTGAGAAAAAAGCGAAACTGGTGTCGCCTTGACCAGAACAAGGTAGGGTGCAACTCATGGGAGTTCTCGCCTGTCTTGTGGTGAAAGAAAAAAATTCGACACAAGAAACTGGGGCCCGGTTTTCTTTTATTGGAAACGAGAGCACGATGGTCCGTGCACAATCACCGTGGAGGGTCCACACAGAAAACCCCCAAACTCGGCGCATCCTGACCGACTTGTCCACGACGAGAAGGGCAGGAAAACAGCAAAGCGAGCAAAAATTGAACAGCGAGGCGATTGCTCCAATTGACACCAGCTGGATCCCCTAGCTTTTAACTCACGCTGCTTAGCCGGTTCCCACCGACAACACTTGAAAGGACAAGAGACACAATGATCCAGACACAGGCACACGGGCATGGATGGTGGATGGATCCGTACTTGTATAAATCACCCAGTCTGTGGCTAGCAAATCACTCCCGGTACCTTCCAAATAGGCGGAAATTTGATGTGAAGGTGTCCCAACTTTAAAAGCTCAGAAGCCCCTCACAACATGTTTTCCATGCCTTTTGAGAGCTCGCCCCCCCGCCCTGACCTTCACCTTCCACAACCTTTTGTATATCTCTTGACTAGGTCTATTGACCTTTGACTGACCGAGATATTAAAACCAACGAAGGCGTCACCAAATCTTTGGCTCTTTTTTTTTTTCTCCGCTTCCTTTCTTTTCCAAACAACGGGCAACACTCTTAAAACAAATCATCATCCTCGAACAGCTACATTGAAGAACGACCAAGGGCCTATATCTTTGATTTCCACCACGATTAAACGAGAGTTGCTAGTTATAAACGAGTGACCCCTCACCACAGAGCTGCATCTCTTTTTCCTTCCTTTTTCCTTTCACTTTTTTTTTTCCAGTCTCTAGCCTCGTTCCGGTTCCCATCCTCACCCAACCGCCGCTCCCGAAAGCGTGAGGGCCCCGCAGCTGGTGATCCAATAGCATCCACTGCAAACACCACCACTACTACTACTTAACCGTCTCGAAAACGCGCCCTCACAGAGCCTCTCACGTTCAGCATGTCCGACCACGAGTTTGCCGGTATGTATCTATTCCATTAAGGATTTTTACCATCATTTGGTTCCTTTTTTTCTGGTTTTATCACTTTGGCCTCTTGGCTCCCACCTTCCCACATTTCATTGCTCCAACTTCTTCTCTTCTTGGGCCGCCTCTTTCCGACCTAAGAAGGCGCGTGTCGGGCCTCTAGGATGAGGGTTTCCAGTTTGCACTGCGTCACTAGCGTCATTGGCCTGGTCCCACTTATACCCTCTTCATCCTTCACGACCTGCGTGGCATGAATTGCTTTCAGTCGTCTCTCCTTACAGTCGAAAAGTCTTTGGTCATTGTTTTTCTTCTCTTTTTCAACCAGAAAGGGGTGCCTCGTTCATCCCCCAATGGTTGTCAATCCGAGGAGAAGGGGTAGCAAGTGCTCTCAACATGTGGTAGTCGGAACCGAAACTACCAAAGACGATGGCTTCGGCTGCATGCGCTTCAGCATCAGGAGGACCAGGCTGCTGACAGACAAATCACCGAGTTAGGCAACGACGAGCTCAGCCTCCCCAAGGCGACCGTTCAAAAGATTGTGACTGAAATTCTGCCGCCCTCGAGCGGGTCCGTCTTCTCCAAAGAGGCACGCGATCTCCTCATTGAGTGCTGCGTCGAATTCATCACCCTGATCTCGTCCGAAGCCAACGAGATATCAGAAAAGGAGGCCAAGAAGACGATTGCGTGCGACCACATTACCAAAGCTCTGGAGCAGCTTGGGTTTCTTGATTACGTGCCCGCCGTTGTGGACGCCGCCGCCGAGCACAAGGAAGTGCAAAAGGTACGCCCCTTTCCCCATCACTCTCCATAACCTCGTGTACTAACTATATGTTGGCAGGGTCGGGAGAAGAGGGGCGACAAGCTTGCGCAGAGTGGCCTTTCACTCGAAGAGCTCGAACGGCTACAGCAAGAGCAGTTTGCGCAGGCAGCCGCGCGGCACAGCTAACGAGCATGCGGTACCACTCGTTGCGAGGAGGCACAGCAGGCTGCGCAAAAGGCGTTACTATTTAATGGAAGGGAAGGGAGGGGGATGGGATATTCCCTATCCGCGAAACACGTTCCCCCTTTCCGTCCCTATCTCTTCTCTTCTCTTCTTTTTCTTCTTACCTTTTGTTCTTTTCCGTCCGTTTGTGATTATTCGCTTCTGGTTGATTTTGCGAGGCATACGGCTTACACTTCGGCATGGCGTTGGATGTAGCGCTCGTCGCAGAAGACGAGGGCTCGTGGTTCTGGTCTGTTGATGTCGCTTATGAATTTACGAAGTCTCCGCTCCTATGGCATTCGGGCTTGTGTGTGTCTGAGAGTGTGGGCGTATATTGATGCGTGTGTGTGTGTGTGTGTGTGTGTGTGTGTGTGTGTGTCTACATGTGCCCGTTTGTACTGCCTCTGACTCAGCTGTCATGTTGAACTGCTCGACTTGCAAGATAAAAAGATAAAAAGAAAAGTCGAAAAAAGGAATTGATTGCTTAGGATTTGCCGTTAGCTGGGCCGAATTGGCGCGGAGGGTACTATCGAGGACTATCACTGCGAACGGCGGTTCAACTTAAGAACACTCTCTAACATTACAAACTTGCACAATAATGGCTGGCGCATCCTAGTCCCGCAGCGATTAAGCAGCCATTTCCCCTCTGTTTGGGGTCCTGATCGGTTGCTTGACCATCAATGGCTTTGCTTGATGGGACTCTCGCAAACTGACAACACCCATGCATGCATGCAATAGAAATGGCCAATCGACGAACCAATCCAAGGCTCCAATGAGGAATATTAGGGAGAGCATGGCCCGCCTCCAATCCCAGGCCAAATCTCTCGTCGAGCTGGCCCAGTCATTTCTGTGGCAGGCAGGTTGAAGCGCGGGGCACGAGGATTGACCCCACCATTACGCACCCACGGGGGCGCTGTGCTGTGGGTGGACCGCGTCTCTCCATGCCCGAGTCGTCCAGCTCGTTCAGACCTCCGGACGATCGTCGCTCTCCACGTCGTTCCACAAACCGAACTGTCCGTTGTCATTGAACTTGTCGAGTATTAAATAAAAAGGCCAAGAGAGTTCATAAGAAGCCATCCCATAAAGAAAACTTATTGAAGTACGCAGACGACAGCCAGGGACAAAAGATGTCGCTCTCTGCCGCCAAGGTGACGGAGCGCGAAAAGCTCGTAGGTTTCTTGCTTTGCTATTCCTCTCACTCGCGCTAAGCTAACCGCTTCTCCCCCTTTGTACAGCCCGAGGCCGATGCCGTTTGGACAAAGCTCGTGAGGTAAGATGAGCGCCAGACTATGGAACTTGCCCCCGCCTCCCCTTCTTCTTGCGCACATGAAGCGATATGTCTTGCTCAAAGTGGTTCCCTCATCGTCACAAGTACGTCGCTGACAGACAGTTGGATGGGATGGGGAGGGCGCGAGATCCCCGTCCTGGTCCGGCGTCAAAATATAACAGAATCAAGTACCAAGACCCCAAGGACCGACCCCGGACGTGGGAATCGGCGGAGCGCACGACGCGCCCCGAGGGAAGCGATATCGACGGCGTGGGCATCGTCGCGATTCTAGAAAAGGAAACTGGTAAAGAAGAACCGCTTACCCCCGAAAAACAAAAGGCCGATGTAGCACGACTTTTAGAAAAGGTGGCCCCGGCCCGGGTTTAGAAGCAACGTAAAGACGCGCTGACACGTCCCCCGGCCATTAAAAGGTCCTGAAATCATCCTGCAGAAGCAGTTCCGACCGCCCGTTGAAAGGTCACGATCGAGGTCCCCGCGGGCCTCATTGACGCTGGCGAGACGGCGGAGCAATGCGCCATTCGTGAGCTGAAAGAGGAGACGGGCTACGTGGGTGTGCCCCTCGCCACCTCGCCCATCATGTTCAACGGTAAGTAGAGATATATGCTTCTCTCCCGCCGCGTCCATTTTCCTCTCATCACATCTTTTTCCTTCTCTCTCTCTCTTGGGATTTCCTCCTCCTCTATAACGACCCACCGCACCACAAGCCAAGGCAAAAGCTAACCATTCGTGTCCATCTCGTTTTCGTTTTCCTCTCTAGACCCCGGCTTCTGCAACACCAATCTCCGCATGGTTCACCTCACGGTGGACATGTCCCTCCCCGAGAACCAGAACCCGCAGTCGCAGCTCGAGGACGACGAGTTCATCGAGGTGTTCCACGTCCCTCTCTACCGGTTATGGGACGAGTGTAAGCGCCTCGAGGCGGAAGGGTGTGCTATTGACGCGCGGGTAGGGACCTTGGCCGAGGGGCTCGAGCTGGCCAAAAGTTTCGGCTTTGAAAACGTTTTGGGGTTCTTTACACTTTTAACGATACTCAAAGTGGGCACGCGAATCCGACCAGTGGGCCTTTTAACCCAGGCAACAAATAGTAGGTAGAATTCACGGTATAAAATAGAGCAAAGAAAAACAAAAAGAAATTAGTGCTATTCTTTGCCACGGTCTATAGCACCGGGGGTGCGAGTCTGTTTCGTGAATTTCATAAAAGTCATTACGACACTCTATTGTACAATCCACCACCCTCTCCCTCTCACCCAGACTGCCCCGACCGTCCTCATAGTTTTCCCTCTCGCCGCAGTCCCTCCCACAGAGCCACCGCAGACAGGGCCTTGGCATCCCTCGACGCTTCCCGCCAGAGGTCCTTGAGGGGCACGAGCTTCAGGGTGATTTTTTCGCCCTCGTCCCTCAGCCCCGTCAGCTTGCCGCTCCACTCCTTGAGCTGGTCGCGGGGCACCGTCTTCTCGTGCACGTAGATGCCGATGCGCTCGTCGCACGCGCCGGGCGAAGGGTACACAGCCACCGGCAAGTTCTCACCTTCGCCGTCCGCGCCGTCGGTGGGCCGAGCGAGGTCGCTCAGGGACGTCAACTCGTCCTCGCGGATCTCGAGGCCGAGCTCCTCCTGGATCTCCTTGGCAGCGGCGCCGATAAAGGAGCCGTCGTCGACCATGCCGGCGGGTAGTTCCACCATGGCGAGGGCGCCGGCGGCGATGCGGGGCTGGACGGTCAGCACGGCGTAGCGCTCGTCGGGCCCGGCGTCGTCGGGGCGGAGGAGGACGAGCATGGCGACGCTGGGCCCGCGGAGAAAGACGGCGCCGGGGAACTTTTCGCCGGCGGCGTTGGCGATGGCGGCGGTGAGTTTGACGAAGCCGAGGCGGTCTTTGCCGAAGCGGTCAAAGGACTGGATGGTGATGGATTGGAGGGAGTAGGGCTCCGCGTGGAAGGGGTGGTTGGGGTTGGATTTTGGAGGGCGAGGGATTTGGTGAGGGTGGAGAGCCAGTCCTGGAATGATGAGAGTGAGTATAGGGGTCTCGTTGATACAAGTTAGGAGGTTAGCAATGGGGGAGGGGGAGCTTTACGTTGAAGGGCTTGAAGCCCAATATGTCCTTTTCCGTGAGGCCATCGGGCAAGGTGACGGGCAGGTTGAGTTCCTGGTGGGTAAAGGTCGACATGGCGGCGAGGCAGGTACGGCGGCTCAAGTGTGACGGAGTGTGAAAGTGCAGGTGGGTTGCGTTTAGGGTGGTGTGGACGGATCGTGTTGCGTTGTGAATGGTGGTAGGGCGAAGGAGTCTTGGCAAATTGGCCAGAGGCATCCTCCGTGTTATATCTATGATCTAGGAAAACGGACGGGAGGGAGAGAGAGAGGGCCGGGAGTTGTGAGGGAGATTGGTAAGGAATCAAACACAGCAGAGAGCCTGTTGGTGAGACGGAAACAAGAAAAAAGGAAAAATAAAAATAAAAATCAAACGGCCCGTGATACTCAGTTAACGGCAAGAATGGCAAGGCGGAAACAAAACGTCATGTCTCATCATGTAAGTAGAAATTTCGTGTTCGGTTTGGTTTTGTTTGGCGAGCGGGTTCTGTGTTAGCTCCAATCGACGTTGTGTGCTCCAGGCTCCTATGTAATGGCTTGCCTCCGTTGTCGATGCTCGATTGAATTGTTTGAAGTTGTTGGTTCAACGTTGTTTTTGAACGGGGGTGTGTGATGCTGGCGTGTGTCATGGATGCGGGCGAAGCACAGAAACTGCGCTGGTGCTGCCTGCGGCTAGCCCGGCTCCAGCCCTTTTTCGTACAAGGTCAATCAATATTGACGGTATCGGGAATGGATCAAATCGAGTTTGTCCACTTTCTTTTTTTCGGCGTATTTTCTTCACTCTTTTTTTCTTTTCTTCGTCTTCTTCTTCCTCTCTACCATCTCTCACTTCTCGAAAATATCTCAACGCGCTTTTCACAGCTGGGACCAGACCCCGTCCGCGAACACCCTCCAGCTGGCGCCCTTGCACTCGCCGCACGGCTCCCTCAACCTCTTGGACCCGACGGCCTCGGCTTGTAGGGGCATCGCGCCGCACGTCTTGTCCGCGGCCGCCACCGCCGCGGCGCAAAATGTCCTAAAGGAGGCGGCGCCGGACTGGACGTCGAGTTCGGGGGTTTGGTGGTGCCCGCACAGGAAGATGCGCTTGGCGGCCGCCCACTCGGTGCATCCGTGTTGGCTATATACAATGTACGACAAAATGGTTAGAGCAGATGAGGGAAAAGAAGAAGAAAATTGATTGTCGGCCGCTCTCAAAATCCACTTTTTTGGCTCGGGAGAGAGCATTGATGGACTCGGACTCGGAGTTCAAAGGGGTTTCATGATGGGGATTCGAATGCGTACCAGTAAAGTGCCGACATGTTGAGAAATGCCGCGTAAGGCCGTGTAAAGCAAGAGTCACTCTTGAGAGTCTGAGCCTCTGTTCCAGGCTCTATTCGTCCTTGTAGAATCTTCGTGACAGGAGCGATAGATCCCTTTCGGTTTCTTGTTTCTCTTTCTCGTCTTTTTTATTTTCTGTTTTTACTTCGGAACAGAGCAGTGACAGGGTAGGAGAAAGGAAGGCAGATTTTTAAAGATCGGATGAGCAACACAGCCGGACGCCCGTCGATAATATATCCATTCCTCGCCAGTCACTCCAGCTCCAGTCACTCCAGTCACTGCTCCAGTCATTGCTCCAGTCCCACCACCCAAATGTCAAATGAATATTTTAGATCCATCCATAGGTCCATGGGATGGATCGGACTGATCCCTCCCATTGGCATCGGTAATTTCCAGTGCCCCTGTTGCCTAGGGGCAGGGTTAGGCGTTTGAGCATTGTCCACAGGGCGGTGCCACCTCAGCCCAGCTCTTCTCCGAATTGGATCCTATTGATGTGGCTCTTATTATTGAGTTGGTGCCACTACTGAGGCACACCTACAAAGTATTATTACGTGGACACACACGCCAGAGAAGAATCGATCACACTTTCAGCGCAGTGCACGAGCGAGAAAAAGTGCACGGGAATAGGCAGAGTGGTTGAGTGGATTGGTGGATTGGTGGATGGATCGATTGATGGGTGACGCCACCGAATGGGGATGTTCAAATTACAGCCCGGCCATGTTCGCGTACACCGGCGCGTGGACACTTGGACTCCCACAAGGCCCATCCTCTCCCCCTTTTTCCTCCCTCAACGGCCTAATATTGAGCCAAGATTCTTTTGGAAAGGTCCGTTGACTCCGATGAGGCGGGGAAGGGAAATTAAACCAGGTCCAAGGAGACATCCCTGGAGGAGTTCAAGTTAGCAAAGGCGTAATACTGGCGACTGGACGTACGACCCTACATGTACACAAATCGCCGATGTGCCGGCGTGGGTTTACACTTTGTCAGTCCATGTTTGCTCGTGCACCGAGATATATGGGATATAGAATACTATTATTCAAGTAATGTTTGGGTGTTTGGCTGTCTCTGAATCAACAGAGCAAAAAGAAGAAAAAAGAAGAAGAAAACCGCTCAAGACTCTAGTATACCTACACCACAACCAAGATGGAACGCTCTACTAACTCAAAGAAACACTCCCCCTTCCCAGCTCTACACAGCCCAGTACACGCTGACTTTTACGCTATACACATTATTCACCCAGCCCGGAAATCTAGATTTCGCCCATACCGTAATCACGTCGCCGACCTCTAGATTTCTGACAAAGTTCCCGTCGCCCGTACCCGCCCCTCTCCCAAACAGCGTGAGATCCTCGGCTTCGGGGAGTCGCTCGCGACGTCGTCCTGCGAGGTCCAGGTGATGGTATGCGTCATGGGTGACCGTTCGGCAACCCGGTTGCACTGGATTAGATATTGAGAATTCGGTAGGACGCCGTGATGATGAATTACCTCGCCGCCACTCGTGTTCGGCGGGGCTGAATCGACCGGAGTTTGCAATATGGGAGGAAGTGGTCGGGTTTGTCGATCGGTCGGTGGCTGCAAGGCCGTCCTTCAGCCTCATCTTGACCTAGAGACCCCCGCCATATTCCAGATTAGTCCTTGCTCTCTCTTATTAACAGCTTCCTCTTTTCTCTCTCCTCGTATAATAGCCAAAGCTCGAGAAACGCTCGTAAAGACACTCACATTGCGCATCAATGTCAAACTTCTCTACGCCAGCCTCGAACCAGGTATATGAGCCTTCGTACATCCCATGGCTCGGGCCGCCGCCCCAACCCTGATCTCGGCTCTTGAGGGTGAACACGACCTTGCGGACCGGGTTTTTCAGTGGCGGCATGGCCTCACCGAGGTACTTTTCAAAGTGTTTGAGCTCGCACTCGTTTCGAATCTCTCCCGGCGGGATTTTCTCGTCCGTCGAGTAGCGGTCGGTCAGTGGATTGCGAAATCCAATTGGTGGTGTTCGAAGCTACGAGTATCCAACAAGTCAGCCAAACACGATATTCCCCGACACCCTTTCCGAGGACAATGGCATACGCGCACATGCAGGGTACGGGCACTGGGAGTAAGGAGGTCGGGGGGGTTTAGGAGAGGTCAATGATGGTCATGGTGAGAAAGGGTTCCAGCGGGGTCGTAACGGGTCGCATACCACCATAGTGTTAGCATCCTGCCTAAACGCCTTCGATTCGTGGCCGGTAACGGGATTGCGGTAGTCGACAGAGGTATGCGAGCACGGCCAGTACTCGGCAAACTCGACAATGGTGTCCACGATTTCCAAGGGGATGCCCTTGGCCTTCTGGACCATAACCTTGAGCACAAGTACGTCCACAGGCGACGGCTCAAAGAACCGTTGTTGTTGAGGAGAACTATTCATCCCGCTTATGGCACTCATTTGGTCGCGGATGTAGCCGTACGTTTGACTCAACATGGGCGCGGAGCTGCGCTTTTTCGCACAGCGGGGTAAACAACCAAGAGCGATGGGCGTCGAGAACGGCTTAGTTTCGGAGGAAGCAAACCGATGTTCGATGTTCAATGTTCGACGTGCTAAGGGAAGCTCTTTCGGTCGCAGAGCGGGTGTAATGGTGGACGAATAGCAAGCAAATCGATATGTATAAAGGACGTGTGTTGGGGCTGACGTATTCACTACGGCAGTCGATATGTTCAGGGCCGCGGTGTGTGGCGAGGGACAAGGACAAGTAAGAGGATGATAATGCAGGCTTATAAAGATATAGGTTTCTATTATGTATATCCTCCTTGCGTGGCAAAGAGAGAAACAAGGCTGGCAGTGCCTCGAAAGGTAAGAATATCTATTCTGGGGCTGTTCGAGAACGCGCGGAAGGGGAATCATAAGTAGAAATAAAAAAAACTTGTTGGGAAGAAGCAGACCAACCGCGACGAAACTTTGTTGCAAGCGAAAGTGACCCCCAAGCCCCTCCAACCATTTCCGTCCTAACCCCCATCAAAAATTAATGGCTGGATGTTGGATGGGCAGAGGAAAGATCATTCAAAGATCAATTGCAAAGGTCCAATTCGCCCATTATCAGAGCCTGTTACACATGGTTGCCTAGTTGTTTGCCAGGCTAGCGGTGGGTTCCGCTGTCTGTTGGGGTTGGCCCCCTCGTGCCCTCGTGGAAGGGGGCACTTCGTCCGATTCCGCGGTTCAGCTTGGCGCTTTGGGGCGCGCTTTGGGGGTTTCCTCCTCGAGGCTACCGCGTTGAAGCTACTGCGCGAGAACGATGAGAAGCCCCATCTGATCGTTCATGATGGTCGCGCCGGGCCGAGGTGACCATCACTAGGAATCTACTTCGTACGCTGTCTAGTGTCTCTTAGATCTTCGTTTGGGGGATTTCTAGCGCGAAACAAAAAGGGAAAGATGTCGCTGAACGCATCAATCTCTCACGCACCAAGTGGTCAAGCAGGACCTTGGTCTGAGAGATCAAAAGAAACTTTGCATTCCACTGGCGGCCATCGCTTTCCGATTCAAACTGTCCCAATCCGTCCCAATCAGTCAATTGACTCTTGCAGATGGAGGGAGAGGGGCTTTCAAATGCCCCCAGGCTACCACTCAACCGTTGGGCCACTCATCCACGATAGTGGTGGTATTATCGGTCCCTTCATCATTCCAGAATCTCAACCTGAGCTCAAGGCGGGGTACGTCATCGAACAAAGACCGCACCAACACCTTCTCCCCACATCATTGATCTAGCACTCCCGATCACATGCCAGTGCATTATGTCATCCGTCCGCCTCACATCCACCAAATGAGTGGGGCTACATCGCTCCCTTCTGCAGGTCCGCCGATAACAACTCTTATCTCCACGTGAAAGCACATCATCGCCATGCTCCCCATCTTTTTTTCCTTTAGCTCACGACTAATAAGCATCCCGCCTGGGGGAACGGGCGTGGGATTTCGGAGGGGCGGGATCCCTGTCTTTTCGAGCAAAATGCCGCTTTCCGGACCCTGGATTCCTTTTTTTTTCTCTGCTCGTGATTTCTAAGCTGTGTTGTTAATCGGCCATTGTCCCCTGTGACTGTGACAAGGCCCAGGTTCCTTTTCAAAGTGGGAACCCGAGATTTATACTCCCCCATTGTCTCTGTATTCCTCTCCGAAACAACCTTCCTCCCACACCTCGTCGTTCTACGCCCTCGTCCATCCAACACACGCGACGCCCAATCGACGAGGGACAAGGAGAAAGGAAGATACCCCAAGCAAGGGGAAGCAAGCAGGAAGTCTTCTGTTCCCCTCCTCCTCCTCCTCCCCCAATCCATCACCACCAGCCATGAAGTCCCAACGACTCTTGCAAGCCGCCGCCCGCGGTGTCCGACCTCGGCGGCAGCAGCAGGCCCCTCTCACGTCCCTCACGGCGCCGCATACCACAACCCGCTCCCTCAGCTCCCAGCCCGTCCGCCGCGGCGCCGCCGCCACCGCCGCCGCCGCATCGCCCGCGAACCCCGGCGTGGCCTCCAACCCAGCCATGGCGTTCCCTTGCCTCGACAAGATCGAGTCCCGGTCCGCCAACCTCGAAGCCACGTCGCGCGCCAGCGGGCCCGAGCCGTCCTACACCTCGGGCGAGACCCTCAAGTACCACTGCTCGGAACCCCTCCTCCTCGACTGGGGCGGCGTGCTCCCCGAGTTCGACATCGCCTACGAGACCTGGGGCGAGATCAACGCCGACAAGTCCAACGTCATCCTCCTGCACACCGGCCTCTCCGCCTCCTCCCACGCCCACTCCACCCCGGCCAACCCCATGCCCGGCTGGTGGGAAAAGTTCATCGGCCCCGGCCTCAGCCTCGACACCGACAAGTACCACGTCATCTGCACCAACGTCATTGGCGGCTGCTACGGCTCCACCGGCCCCGGCAGCATCGACCCGGCCGACGGCCACAACTACGCCACCCGTTTTCCCATCCTCACCATGGAGGACATGGTCCGCGCCCAGTTCCGCCTCCTCGACGGCCTCGGCGTCGCCAAGCTCTACGCCAGCGTCGGCTCCAGCATGGGCGGCATGCAGTCCCTCGCCGCCGGCGTCCTCTTCCCCGACCGCGTCGCCCGCGTCGTCACCGTCAGCGGCTGCGCTCGCAGCCACCCCTACAGCATCGCCATGCGCCACACCCAGCGCCAGGTCCTCATGATGGACCCCAACTGGAACCGCGGCTTCTACTACGGCCGCGTGCCCCCCACGCCGGCATGAAACTCGCCCGCCAAATCGCCACCGTCACCTACCGCTCCGGCCCCGAGTGGGAGCAGCGCTTCGCCCGCCGGCGCGCCGACCCCAGCAAACCCCCGCCCTGTGCCCCGATTTTCTCATCGAGACCTACCTCGACTACGCCGGCGAAAAGTTTTGCCTCACCTACGACCCGAATTCACTTCTCTACGTCAGCAAGGCCATGGACCTTTTCGACCTCGGCGCCGAGAACCAGGCCACCACCCGCGACCGCCGCGCCGCCCGTGAGGGCCTCTTGAAATCCGGCGCCGCTGCCCCTTCGTCCGGCGACTTCCAGTGCAGCCTCACCCTCCCCGACAAACCCTACGAGGAAACGCAGCAGCAGCAGCAACAGCAACAGGGCCAGGCCGACGCCGCCATCCAGCCCCAGAGCTCCCAGCCCCCGACGACCTCATCCGCGGCCTTGCCAACCTCCGCGAGATCCCTACCCTCGTCATGGGCGTCGCCAGCGATATTCTCTTCCCCGCCTGGCAGCAGAGGGAGATTGCCGACGCTCTCCGCCTCGCCGGCAACCAGTCCGTCACCCATCACGAGCTCAACGAAGAAGCGAGCATGTTTGGCCATGATACCTTCCTCCTCGATCTCAAGGTCATTGGCGCGAACCTCAAGAAGTTCCTGGGTTGATCTGGTGCTAGAAACGCCTGACAACCTGGTAGGTATAGACTGCAATTTTTAAACCACCCCGAGACTGGAATGGCTTCATACTCGTACCCTGTGCACGTTGACCATTCTGGAGTGTGTAGTGGGCTGTCAGGTCAGGATTTGTCGTTCCGATTGCTCTTGTTGGTGCAATTATCTCTTTTCCGTCTTTGTTCTTTATAAATATCGCGGAGCAAACTATATGGCTTGGAAATGGAGGATATGCGCACCCTCTATTTTTTTTTCCCTTCTTTTTCTTTCCTTCTCACCAGAGATTGACTGCATGTAGCATCTAAGCGGAGTTCTTGGGCGGCTCATACTATTTCATGTATATCGTATTCTGATATCTAGTTTGTACCCTTTGACTGTTAACAATCTTTCACTCCCATCAAGTGCCCTTCATTCTTTCCATCTCTTCTTCTTCTTCTTCTTCTTCTTCTTCTTCTTCTTCTTCTTCTTCTTCTTCTTCTTCTTCTTCAAATCCCCGTCCGTCTTCTTCTTCGGCTCACTGCCACCATCTTCTTCAACGCTCGCTTGAGGCAGGAGGGAAAAGAAAGGAACTGTGTGATGCTAGAAACAAACTATAAAAGTTGAATTAAGAGAGAGAGAAAAAGTGCAGGTCGCCTCAGTTTGTCCCGTTTACCGTTCTGTGGCATAGACCGCCCGTCCCATTCCTCCCCGTTCCCCGGGGGTTTACAGCAACCCACCATGACGCTCGCCTCATTCTTGGAGGACGGCACGTCGATGGCGGGGTTCGAGGTGAAAAAGTCGACGGGCTTGAGCATGATCTGATGGATTTCAACCGGCCTGTTTTCCTCTTCTCGTATTAGCTCCCCCATTGCAGAAAGAAAAAAAGAAAAAAAAGAAAAAAAGAAAAAGCACACGGTTCGTTCGCCTATCGCAAAGCAACGGGCATCAGGAACCCCTTGAAAACGAGAAGAACATGGCAAAACTTACATGACAGGCCAATCCTCCATTCTAGGATTGTGCGTCAATCCAAAGACGGCCCACACAACCGGGCTGCACCGGTTCCCCGTGCGGTCCGCATCCTCGCCTCCTACGACGTTGGCATCCGCGAGAACGTCCTCCGTCCTTAGCACCATGTCGCCAACGCCGCCAACCTCGCCTCGGCTCTGGTTCGTGTACTCTCCAGCCGCCCAGAGCTCGCCGTCCCTGTACCCCGTTACCCAGACGTGCCTCGTTGCGAACTGCGCCCTCCTCTCCTGTATGCTTCCTCTTGCGCTAGGAGGAGCTGCGTGGCGGAAGGAATAAGCTTGTACCCTACATTCCGGCTCGTGATGGGATTCTTGATCCGCGCATTCTCAATGCGCACGATTCTGTTGTTCCGGGGCTCGGAAAAATGCCCGTCGGCCGCGATATCACAGTTCTCTCAATCGCGTAGAGGTTGCCCTGCGGGTTGGTCTTGGGATTTTGAGGCCGCGCTAGCGTTTCTTCCTGGATCACCACCGTATCGCTTGGCGCATACGAATCCATTGCAGGATCGATCCGCACGGCGAAAATGTGTTGATGGTTCTGCGCCAAGACCGAAGGGGCCACAACTACCCCGTACGGCGCCGTCTTGATGGCCGGATCGATATTGACGACGCTCACCACTCCCGTCGCTCGCGTCTCGATGGTGATGTTGCCAGCCACGTCGAGTTTGAACATGAAAATGTACTCGTAGTTGGCCAGCGTCGCTATAAACTGTACAACCAGCTCCCGTAGCCTCGTCACTACGGCCCGCGACGTCCGGAAATTCGTGTGCTTCCACCCGATCCCATTGTCCTGCTCGTGGAGGCACACGAGTGATTTAGACAAAGTTGGAGAACCGTCAGGGTGCGGACGAGAAAGGCGTCAAAATAGTGGATGGCTCCGAGGCAATCACATCCGAGCTCGAGGTTGTTCGCGACCCGGCCCACGCCCCCGTCACCCAGATCAAATGCTTGTTTCCGGTGGAAGGGGTAACGGGGGTCCGAGTAAGGGACGGCCATCTCGCTATAACTCAGGCGGTAGAGCACGGGCCTGCCATCGTAGCAGAGGTCGTGGAGTACAGCCCCTCGCGGGGGTAAACCCAAGGCGGAAACGCCACTTTTGCCACTCAACAAGATTGTCCTCGTGCACAGAAAAGGACGCCCCCTGCGGTTGTGTGATGTTGATCGGCTTCATATCCTTGCGTAACGGCGTCCCCAACAGCTCCGGTACGTAGTCCGACCCTGTGCTTTCCTCAAAAAGCTTGATGGGGGATCATTCTTGTTTCGCGGCGGCGGGAATATGGTACCTGGCTCGACCGTGGTGGCTAGCCTATCCACTCGGATGACCTCTTTCGTCACCCAGTCCATGACTGGGATGATGGGTATAGGGTAGCCATAGTGGTTTGCGTCGGGGTTGCCGCTCGAGTTATCGCGCGCAAACACCAATCCTTGCATCCAGCGATCCGTTGGATCTGCATCATCCGGTCCACCGTATGGCCAAGGATCAATAACGATCGAGAAGTTTGGCGGGAGAACAAATTCGGACATGGCTTCTTGGAAGCGAGGGGACGTGATGCAGTTCTGGTGGAAGGCGGCAAACTCAGTCCTAGACGAGGAAGGGCAAGAAGAGCACGGTTAGCAGGGGAATCACATCGAGTTGACGCCAACCCGTCGCCCTCATCTATCCCCCTACCCTCCCCCGAGCCAGCCTTGGCATGACATTGATCGGGAACGCCCTAATCACTAAACACCAAACACGTACTCTGTAAATGCGGGATTGCTCCCCGGCGGAGCTTCCTCTCGACTTATCTCACGCCCAGAAACCAGATCCACGACGGACTGAGTGTACTGAAAGAAGGTGATAGGGCCCTCCCTCTTGACCACATCATAGAGTGACCTTGCCAACCGGGGAGGCTTCGGCGTCTTGTCCGAAAGTGCACCAGCGTGTTCAGCAACGAGGTATGCTATAAGGTCGGCCTTCTTGGGCTCTTCGAGTTGGATTGCTCGAAAGTAGAGGGCGCTGGGGTCACCATGGCTCGCAATTACGATATCTCGCGCTCGGAGGAACTCGTGTTCCGTGAGCGGAGCTAGGGATGGCGAGCCTTGTCCACAATGGGTGCCCTCATGGTGGCTTATTATCCTTGGGTCGGAATTGCTAAACAAGAGCGGCAGAGGAGGTGGCGAATTATATCTCGACAAGGTGGTAGGCGGACCGCACTCGGCTTGAGATTCTTTATATCGTCTATTCCTCCCACATCACGAGGTCTCGTAAAAGAGCACAGGCTGAGGCGCATTCGAGGGGACGAGGCGAGACAAGGGACGCAAAAGCTAATACGATGCACGCGAGACATCAAGGGCTTATATACACGGATGTCGCCATGCTGTCGTCCTCTGGCTTTCCCCCTCCCATCCATTCCAACCGGCAGTAGCGCCAGAACGCGGTTTAATCTTTCATCCCATTGTTCACGCAGCTCGGCTGCAGAAGCCCTAGCCTGTTCTCTCTTTTTCACTCCTCCCTCCTCCCTTTCTCGGGTATCAGGATAGGTTAGCTTGAGCGGCTTTCCAAGCGTAGCCATCGGATTTGGACTTCCGCGCCAGCTCATCTAGCAGCAAAAAGAATGCAACAATTGAGCCATGTGTGCGGGTGGGTTAAGGGGAAACTCTACCCCATATGTGCGCGCGGCATGCGCGATGTAAAATCAAGTGCGCAGGTTGTTCATTGAGTTCCCTAGGGCTTGGCGACGTGTAGAGCCAATGGGGATCGTGAGACTTTCAGTGGAAAGTTTTTTTCTCTTTTTCTTTTTCCCTCCTCCTTTACCTTCTTTTTGGGGGAAAGGGGGAGCAAAGAAGGAAATGGCGGGGCCACAAAGAAGAGGGAACAAGAAGTCGTAGACGAGGCGGGAGAAGAGACAGCAGCTTCATGCAAGGTGGTAGCGGTTCTGCAAGCTCGAGCTCTCGAGCTACATCCATGACTTGCCTCACGCGGGCTAGAGAGGATAAGGGGTTCGAAGAAAGGTAGAAAGAAAAAAAAAAAGAAAAAAAAGGAAAAAAAGGAAAGAAAAGTGAAAGGAGGGGCAGGTCAGTTGATGGCAGATCCGACCCAGGCCGCGGCCAGCATGAAAACGGAACTACAAGGAAATAAGGCGGGGTTCGGACAGAAAAACCGGTCGTCATGACCGGGAAAATCTTCCAATGAAGACGCCATGGTCGATGCTGTGCTGGGCGCTGTCGGAAGAGTAGATACAGGTGAACACGTCGCAGGAGGGGCAGAAATGCACGACGGTGCACAGTCGGAGAAGCATCTGAGCGCGGAATCGCCAACCTTTGCGTGGGGACGCAGCACAATCTGGCCCAGCCAGGTGCCGGAGGATCAGTCTTACAACATACCATTTTCCCGGACAGGAGTGGCAAAAGAATGCACAATCGCTCTAGGTCGCAGAGCCCGGTTTGTCGAACACAAACGCTCCCAGGCGGGTCAATTAATCGCGAGGTCTACCCAACTAGGCCGGAAGTGGGAGGTCCTGCCGATATGCGATGTTGGCCAACGCTCCAGGCTCCATCCCCAGGCGATCACTGGCGGAGGCTTTCTGGCTCCTCTTCGATGCAAGGCTTTTTTCTTCTTCTTCTTTTTCTTCCGAGCACTCCATTTCTCCATTTCCTTTCTTCTTTTTCTCTTTCCGCGGGGTTCTGGGTGCTTCCCTAGCGATCTGACACTCTTGTTTGGTGTGCCATAATGCATCACCAGCGTGAGACGATGCAGGCGGCGGTGCTGTACCAAGGGACGGGAGGCCATCGATATATGTAGGTAATTCGATCTCGTTTTAGGCCAATGTATGACACAAGCACATGTCGCGAAGTGGACTGTTTGAGATGGAATTGCCAGGTCCGCCCCATATATGTTGAGGGTTTGGGAGACGACGGAGAGGACCCCAAGATGCGATGTGATGCAAAGGGTCAAGGTCACATCACATCTAAGTGACGATAAAAAGCAAGAATGAAGTTGATATGCTGAGTAATCCTAGCTGTTTGCTTTCCCTGAGCCCCGAGCCCGCTCCTTCCTGATTGACTGAGCTGTCAAGGTCGCACTTGTTAGTCAAGGTCGCACTTGTTAGTTTCTTTTCGATCTTGGTCGTAATAGCCGGAAGTGCGTCTGCCCTGAGCCCACGTAGATCTCGGTGACTCCTTCTCACCCAGCCCAGCGCCGCAGCTGGGACGGGCGTTGTTTCCAGCTCGGGTACGGCAGGTGCACAAAGGACCGGGCTGGTCCGTCCGTAGTGCCCTAGCTCATAGAGAGCTCGCCGTTGCAGCCTCCCTAACCAGTTCTCAATGTTGATGAAACCATTTACTGGATCCGTGGATGGATGATGGATCTCATTCACCATCTCCTTTCCTCAATATCCCTTGATCCACTACCGGCTCGGGGGGGTCGATTGGGTCTGTCAAGTGGAAGCATCGATTTTCGCTGAGACTGCAAGGCGAACCAACCAACTTCTCGGGAGCCGAACCCTTCATTACAATGGATCCGTCCGACGCATCCCGTCCCACGCCATGACCTATGCAGTGTGCGTCTGAGGGGCCTCAAGTGCTCTGGCCAGCCGGTTAACATCGCGTGAGGAGGGCGGCCACTACTACCCTACGTTCCGATGCCGATCCGAGGGCTAGGGACTGTCACGATAGATCTCATGATGTTGCCTTCCCTGAACCCCTCACCTGTTTGATGTCTCGTAGACTGGACGGGTACTCTAGACCCTCGACGATGAGTCTTAGGCCAGTCACACCCCACAACTCCGCGCAGCGCATCTTGCAGCCTCAGCGCTCCTTGGTTCTCCGCTACCCCATGGTGTGACTTTGAGGAGCGCTCTTCCCCGCAGCTACTTCCCGCATGGGATACGGGATAGGACAGCTTGAGTGTAGCACAATAGCGGGATTTCTCTTATCTCTCGGCCCCGGAGCCCTCGCTTGCTGAGGCTGCAGCGTGGCTTTTCCCCAAGACAGCAGTTGTGGGGGCCGCCAGCCCTTGAAGCGGCTCCTACATAAGTAGAATAGCATTCACAAGATGAGTTGAACCAAGAGGGCCGACGTGCTAAGAGTCCCGGAACCCGAGATAAAGCCACACCAAGAAGGGATGCGTCATTGCTTGACGTGCCCAGAAACATCACCCACGTATAATTTCTGTTGGCTTGGGATTACGCCTCTCCTTCCAAAGGCCCTCAACAACATGGCGGACGGAAATGCTCATGGCGCGGGTTGGAGGAGGAGCAAAAACAAAAGAGACACAAAGTGGAGCGGGGTGAAGAAAGCTCAACGCCACCAAACACACCCTTCGGTTCTAGTCGCAAGCAGATATTGGCCATGGTGCGGAATCGGGAGTGTGCACAAGGATGGTGTCCAGCGGCCTACTCCATGCCGGCAGTCGTCGTCAGAAGCAAGAACGCGCACCCGACCTATTTATAAAATACGGTTTGGGGCTACCTGGAACACTGCCGACTCGTATCATTTCAGGGTACGCCCGGACTGTCGTCACGGAGAGATCCCGGCCTAGACGAGACCTTCGGAAAGATGAACGGTGACCTCTGGATCACTGCTCCACACGGCGGGGTTTCAACAATATTGATGGTGCCCGCTCGCTCAAGGAAGGGTGGCACAACAGTTTTGGCACTTCTTGGTATCAACCGAAGATGGCCACTTGAATGTTTGGAAGGCGAGAAGAAACCAGGCCATCGAAGGCCTCTGTCCACCCGAGTCCCCGAGTCCCCCCGAGTTGTTGGCCCTTTCCGGTCCACCCCCACGCACGATGACCTAATATGGATGTGGACCTATGGCGACGATGCCGCCTTTAGTTTTGTATTTGACTTGTACAATTGTTGGCTTCATTTACGCTCTGCATCTTCGCACCACATCATCAGATATTGCGCGGCAAGGCGAGTGGGCGGAAAGTAGCATTTCTAGCCGACGAGATGTGTGCGCGGAGCTCGCAGACCCTTGAACAGGTCCGGCTGAGACAGGGCAGAGTCGGTATCTCATGTGTGGCCGTTGTGCTCCGGGGAGAGCAGATTCCGACACCGACATTCAGTGATCGGTTGGAAGAGGAAAAAAATAAATAGAGCAAGACAAAAGAAGAGACGTGAAAAAAAAAAAAAAAGAAAAATGAAAAGGAGGGTTCGTCTTTCAACCCGTCACATCACTGCCCGTTCCATCACCTCCAATGGAACCTACGTGGAGTGGATGTTTGTCTCATTCAAGCCCCGGTTTCAAAATAGCAGCAAGAGAGACACCGAAGAAGATGATATTCCGTCTGCAATCTTACAAGCCGAGAGATGTATGTAGGGTGGCAAGGGTGAGTTGGCCCAAAGGGTGCACTCTCCCTTTCGGTTCTTTTCTTTCAATTCTTGCCCTTGCCCTTCCCCTTCCTCTTTCGCGGTTGCTTCAAAATTAGGAGGCTAAAGGATGACGAGGGCTCGCGCATCAACTTCAAGGTATTTCCTAACGACTGTACGGGCTGGGATCAACTTCCACAAAAATTTGATGGAATGGATATCTTTAAAGTTGGATTTCTGAGTGAGTGGCAGTGATCTACCTCGCGATTACCCGGAATTATAGTGATCTTCCCGTAGGTCGTGCGTGCAAGGGGGAAGGGGGGCGGAATGGTGTCGATCCAAATCGCGTCGAAGCCCCTCGACACGCTGTCGCGCAAGTTTTCTTCTTTCTCCCACCACTCCACTAATTATCATCGCCCCACCTTATCCAAGAAGAATGATTCTCCTTGCCTTGAGACATGGGATCCGAAACAACATGGTAAAATTAGGGTTGGGGCTACTTTTCTCAAGGGGAGCCTCATTCCGGTGTTCAGAAGCGAATCCTGAGCAAGTGTCGATTCGATGTTTCTCCTTGGGACATTACGTCTCCCCTTCCCCTCCCTTGAGCAGAAGTGGAGGATGGAAATGCACATGTGCCTCTGGGTTCTTTTGATGAGGATTGTCAGGATACAATAAACATGGGTGTTTCAGTCTGTGATGAGCGAGGGAACCTGGAACCCAAAAAGATGCACGTTTCAAGATACCTGTGCCGACATGTAGTTGAACGACACAGCCTAACGGGACACGCGTCGAAGAAGGAGGAAGTACAATCAGGGAGGGCTGTCGATCTTCAACAAAGGTAATCAATCATAACAGCAGTCTTGGATCGTCATGGCGGCGGTCCATGGCGGCGGCGGTCCAACTTTGACCCTCGGGGAACGGGTGTCCATGGTTGCGTTGCGATGACCGGTCCGCTGTTACAGGTCTAATTTTGGAAGAGAGAGATCGGGGAAGAGCGTTGCATAGATGCGCCGAAGGGGGGACCACAGACCATCGGAGGGCTTCGAGAAGGGCACAGGGACGGCTTTGGAACATCTCGGTCGCGCACGGCAAGGTTTCGGAACTATCGCAATTGGCGCCATTGGCCGGCGAGATTGAGGGTATGGAATGACGTGTTAGCGCAATACCCAGCCTCGAAGGGTGACCCTGTACATGCTGGAGCAGCTACGAAGTAAATCCCAAGACGAGAATTTTCTTCAGCACGGGTATTCAATGTTCTGCAATTTGAGAAGAGGAAGACGAAAAGTGTATTCATTATTCATACCTCTTATCGCCCAATGATGTATGTAGCCAACTGTACCGAGGTAAGGATGGCTGCTTTTCCTCTTTTCATTTTCGCCTGGTCTCACTTCAACATCTCTTTGTGTCTTGGTTTCTAGGTGATTGAAGTATCGGTGGGGCTGAACACGAATGGGGGCACCTGCGTTCGAGTCGAGACATGTCCGAATCGCCCTCATCCATGTCAATATCCATCTCCGACGCCCCATCCCATATCTTGATAGCGTCAAAGCCAGTCGGGACTGGTCATCCAAACTCACCATTGAAGGGCCGCGGTGTTTTTCTTCTATTTTTGAAATGCGGGTCGCCAAGAGAGGGGTTTTTTCTTCTTCTTCTTCTTCTTCTTCTTCTTTCTTTGTTCTCCTAATATCTTATAATAGCGTCCACTCAGAATGGGACACCCATCTCGGTCAACTAGGACTCGGGTTTGGGCCGTGCAGGGTGACCGCCCGCGAAAACTTCAGTAATAATAGTTTCATTGTTTGAGTTTGACGCATTGCTGTGCGGGACGCGTGTAGCCCAGTTTCTGCCTCCGACATGTGGACACGCACTGAGGCGATCAATCGGTACTGACGAAGATCTCCAGGGAAAGAGAGGGCAAAGTGGGGGTCCCTGGTCGGGTCACCCGAGATCGAAGTTGACCAAAGCCTCTGCCCCAAATTTGGCCATTGCATACTGTTCTGTCGTTATTGGCAGAGGCAGAGCGCTTCACGCTAGCTTCATCGCCCCGCCCTCTTTCCCCTTCTTGTCTTGTGAGGACTATCGTGGGCAATTCTCTGTTTGATAGGACACCGTAAATTGCGCCTTCCGATCGAGGGTGTCTAGGTTATCTGCCCTTTTCAGCCAATGGGATGCGAGATTATCAGTTCAGGAGGCTATCCTTTGGGGGTTCTCGATCTGCAAACAAAGGGAGTGGGAGAGCTAAGCCTGGGGCTGTCCTCGAGTGACACTCTGGGGCGAGGCCAAGTGGAAAAGATGTCGTCGAAGGGATGACGGCCAGGTCGCCACTGGACGATGGACGAAATGGATGAAGTGGACAGCAGAGTCTGGCCCCTGGTTTGTGTCCATTCCTCCAGTCTTGTGTTTCCGAATCCGCCAATATTTGGTCTTGCTGGTGTTGCGGAAAACCCCCTTCACTGGCCCGCTAGACAACCCCCAAACCCGGGAACCCACTCAAATACGGGCCCAGACGTGTTACGAAGATTGTAGGAACTGGATGGCGTTGATAGACCCAGAATCAGCGTTCGGCCAGTGGGGCGCCACACGACAAGGTACCACAGTCACAGTCGCAGACAGCCAAACAGCCCAAGCCAGAGAGCCCTTCATCGTTCCTGGGAGCTGGTACTTGGTCTGTCCCTGGCCCACACCCGCTACTACTGTGTACGTCAAGCGCGCATTGTCTCGCTTGAAATTTGTATTCGTATCTCGACTCCGTCCCTGTACCTGCAGCGACTCACTGGGCACTGTTGACCCCCTTGTTGTACGAGGGTACTTGCGCTAGCTTGATGGTTCATGGGAATACGGAGAGCTAGGGATAAGGGGAAAAAGTACGAAACCCAAACTTCAGTCAAGGAACATGAATGGTCCCAAAAGGAAAAAAAAAGATAATAGTAGTCGTCACGGAAGAGGGAAGGGGCGAGAGACATCATGTCTGATTGTGCTATTATTACTCGGCGTCTTTCCCTCTCGACCTGGCTTCGTGCTTCGTGCCTCGCTTGCTTGCTTTCTCCTTCCTCGTCGGACCTTGCCTTTTCTTCGTATTCAGGCAGCGGCACTCCTTTTCTTGACACGGCCCCTTGTGTTCATTCTCGCATGCATTGATCTTTGCGCGCGTTGTAATTTGACTTTTAGATCCGCCTCAGCTCTAGGCATTGCAGCGCCCCCCTGCTTCTCACTTTATCTTTTGAGGAGCTCGACTCTCCCTCGCCCTCTCCGCGATCCGTTTTGTTTGCTCGGCACCTGTCATTTCCAGATTCCCTGCTCATTATCCGACTTTGGCAGGAAGAGGCGCATAGCTTGATCCCTTCTTTTACCTCTTTCCTTGCCTCGCGAGCATCCTTGATTTTTTATTATCTTCCACCTCTCAGCCGCGATATTTCCTAGTCCCGACGGATCTGAACACACGACCTTCCCACCCTTTGAACCTTTCGGAGGATTGCGCTACGAGCTGTGCCTCAACTTGCGGCTTACAACGGCGAGCACGAAACGACGACGACAGCTACGACGAGAGACGACCAGTCCTTTGACAACACGTGCCCCTCCTCCCTGACACTTGCACCAAACCAGAACCATCTCACTGCAAGCGAGATCGAAGTCAAGACAGCGACATGTTGTCCTTCAAGCGGGCCATTGTGGCAGCCGCCTTCTTCCTAGGCATGATCTTTCTTCTATCGAGATCGCACGAGAGTGAAGGCGCCGCGGCCGTTGCTCCCAAGGCACCTGCGGCAAAGGCCCAAGAGAGCTCCCAAACCGCACCCGCCGGGTCAGCCCAGGCCGGAGCTGGTGGTGCTGCTCAGCCCGACACCGAACCCCGGCGTCACAAAAGCCCATGATGGACTTGTCCAAGCTACCTCTGCGAGAGCAGCTTGCGTACCAATACCCCTACGAGCTAAAAGCCAAGTTCCCCGCCTACATCTGGCAGACCTGGAGACGTACGCCCGCCGATGAAGGCTTCGAGTTCCCCGAGCACGAGGCGAGCTGGACTGAGCAACACCCAGGCTTCATCCATGAGGTCATCACAGACGATGTCGCCCATTCGCTTCTGAGCCTTTTCTACGCTTCCGTACCCTCCGTTCTTGAGGCTTTTGAGGCCCTACCCCTCCCCGTGCTCCGTGCCGACTTCTTTCGCTATCTCATCCTGTTTGCTCGTGGCGGTATCTACTCCGATATCGACACCCTAGCCCTCCGAAGCGCCCTTGAGTGGGTACCCGAGAGCATCCCCGCAAGACCGTCGGCCTCGTCATCGGCATCGAGGCCGATCCGGACCGCGAGGACTGGGCTGAGTGGTACAGCCGCCGCATCCAGTTTTGCCAGTGGACCATTCAAGCTAAGCCCGGTCACCCCGCCCTGCGTGAGGTCATTGCTCGTATCACCGAAGAGACCCTGAAGCGCAAGCAGGCTGGCTCCCTGAAAAAGACCCTCGGCGACAACGTCATCGAGTTCACCGGGCCTGCTATCTGGACCGATGCTCTGTTCGACTACTTCAACGATGGCAAGTTCTTCAAGAAGGCAAACACCAACGTCATCGACTGGCACAACTTCACGGGCATGACGGCACCTAAGAAGGTGGGCGACGTCGTTGTTCTGCCCATCACCGGCTTTTCCCCAGGTGTTAAGCAGATGGGTGCCGGCGAGTACGATGATCCCCAGGCCATGGTCAAACACGAGTTTGAAGGTAAGGCACCTCAAGTGTAGCTAGCTAGCTAGCACATTCGCGCCCCTATGAGTCCGCTTCAGATGCTAATATCGAGTTCCATCTAGGCACTTGGAAGCCGGAGCATGAACGCCACATTGGCGAAATTTTTGACGAGTAAACCAACCCTCGCACTCTCTAGAACAGCGGGGACCCATTTCCCCTTATCTATATCGATCATGTCGACTACCGGAACTCTGGGCTAGAAGCATCTCCATTGCTCGCCCCTTACGACCTGCACAGTTGGTCAATGCAGCCCTGTCGAAGCAGGCACGTTTGGTTGCCCAAGAAAGGAGTCTGAGCTCACGCTCTGGGCCAACGGCCTATTCCCGCTCGACAAGGCACGACCTTTGCTCGAACAGGCTGGTTGCCCTTGTTCTTGAACTGACGCCGAAATATGCATGGGAGCAGGCCCAATCTCGTGCAATCGTGTGTTTTCTTCACTGAACTTATTCTACTCACCCACCTTTCTCCTCAAAATCATGTATTATAAATGCTCTCCTCTGGGCGAGAGGGCTGCCATGGGATCGCACACACTCGACTTGTATACCGCGAAACGCATAGACCGAGCCGACAATTAGGCCGACGAGCAGCAATTTTTTTCCCTCCTCCTGTGCTTCTCTCATCTTCGGCGGCTATCCTTTTTTTTTTTTTTTTCCCTTTTCTTTTCTTTTTTCATGGGCATCTAGATATTCATAGAGGGTTGCGACTCGGCGCGGGTTCTTGCTTTCTGTCCTTTTCTCTTCCCCTTTTACTTTTTTCGTTGCCCGCTTTTCGGCGCTAGTGTCGAGGAAGGATCAATATTCCAAGCGCTCATGTAAAACAGCAAGTCCTCCTTGCACGGTCAAGGGGGCGAACCAACAACACTACCTTTAGCAGTTCGAGATAGACTTGTCTAGATAGCGGCCGAGGTGGCGATGCCTCGGAGCAAATCACGAGAAGAAATTCCTCCAAAAAAGAAATTCAAATCAAGAACTACGAAAAGAAATAAAAAAGGAAACCCTCGTAGGACATGTAGCGCCAAGATGTGCTTAAGCGTCAGCTTGGTTAACATCCCAAGACCACATACACACCACGGGTTATAGAGTGAAATCGTCTTGCTCATGTATGTGAATAATCTTTTTTTGGTGTAAATTATTTAGTTTTCTTTGTCTTCGCGCTCCCGGGGATATATTATTTTGACATGAATAGTTTTGAAACATGAGGGAAAAGAAGGGGAGGGAAGACAATGCAAGAAAGAAAAAGAAAGAAGAAAACACCCAAATTTTCAAATTTTCGTGGCCCGCGAATAAAACAGTTTAGCGATGTTGATCCCAACCGTCCCCTACATTCATCCAGTCAACTGGGATAAAGAGAGGACCAGAAGGGGAGTCAAGAGGGATATTGAGAAACCAGCCCATCTCTGTGTGTTGGGGGAGGGGGAGAGGGTGTGCTGTGTTTCTTGTCTGCCTTCCCTCCAGCTCTTTTGTTCGTTTCTCCCACGGGTTGTCCGTGATGTGTCGCCGACTCGGTTCGCCCACCGCAGCATTAAATACATTTCCATCTATGTTTAGCGTACGCACTTTGCGGTTTTCTATTTGGTATCGCGCATGTCCGTCCCAGGGGCGGGCGGCGGGGACCTTTTCAAATCGTCTTCCTCGGTTCTGGTGTCAGCGCCCAGGAGACGGACTGGTTCTTCCCTCCTAGCGTTTTCTTTTCAGTCGACTTGCTTCTCACAACCAATCCTGCCCAACAGCTCCTTCCTGTCGCTGTGGCCGGGTAGGCTAACACCTGATGTGGTGGCAGTCCGCTTGACGCCTGCCCTTCTCTCCCAGTTCTTCAAGTCAATGTCTTCAACGCCGACCTCCTCTTCAAGGGCCTCGACAACTTCCTCCTCGGCATCATCTTCTTCCTCGTTCTCGCCCTCGTCATCGCTGCGAATATCGTCGGCCGAACCACCACTGACGACGCGAACGGCAACACGTACAATCAGCAGGAACCACATGATTGTGAGGACTTGCAGGGCAAGTAGGGAGCCGAGGAAGGACCGCATGACGGTAGATGTGAAGCAAATGCGGCCTGCGGGGTTGATGAAGGGCTCGATCATATAGTTGTAACCCTCGGGGGTCGTGAGGGCCAGTGAGGTTGTTGGCATCACCATGGAAGCAACCACCCGAGATCATCTCAGGGGTATGGGCGTAGATGGACCAGCAGACCATCAGGTAGAAGATGTGGCGGGCGAAAACCCAAGAGACCATGAACACACCGAAGATAACGTCGCATATCGTCGTGTAACCCGTATACTTGAGGCACTTGGCGAGCTAGAGCAGAGATACTAGTCAGTAACGCCTTCGTTTCCCTTAAAAGACAGAGTATGCGGCTTCCAAGGCGAAGCAAAATAAAAAGACAACGTACAGGAAGAAAGATATCGACAACGTCCATGAGAACAAGAACAAGATTGCCGACACGAGTGTGGTGGTAGAAGTAGCAGGACGACAGCAAGCCAATAGTGATGATGTGGTGGGTTAGCATCTGGTAGTGGTCCTTGCGACGCTCTTCCATGTAGATGACGAGGATCTGCTGCAACCAAAAGGCCCATTGGGCGAGCACATATCCCTTAACCAACCCGGTAAGCTCCCTTTGAGGCCAGTTGGCCCAGAGACCTCGTAGGTTGAGCCAGTAATCGGAGTTGTAATAGATGTACTGCAAGCCGACACTCCAAAGTCAGCGGCCAGATTATCATGAGGGGGTTGGAACGAGGAGCCCTCCCTTTCAGGGGTACAACTTACCAGGCCGAGGGGCCAGAAGATGGTATAATACACCAAGAGCCAAGCCTGCTCGCTAAACCGCGTCAAGTCCTTTCTCTTGAAATGCCGCCGAGCTTCGCGATCGGTGCGAGCAGGTACTCCATTGTGCTCGCGCGGAGACCAGTGAAGAGGATGATGCAGAATGTGATGAAGTAGCCATCGTCGTAGCCGACGCCGTATTTGCCTGTCGTGGGGTTGTGGTAGGAGTAGGTGAAGAATTTGCCAGTGACAGGCCTGGCCTTGGGGATGAAGGCATGCGCAAGGAGAAGCAAAGCAATTAGGTTGAAGGCAAGCCCTGGAAAAGGAAGATGGATGGTTAGCTTTAGCGCAAATATACACATTGAGATGCACTTGGTCGGCGTCTTCGACGCGATAGGTTGACGTAAAGAGAGACATTTAGTAGGGTTTCGGTCTCGTTGGGTTGGTGGCAGGGCGGCCGGCGGGGTGTCTTTCCCCTTAGACACACCGAGCCAACCCATCCAACTTAACCTTCATCCCCCAAGTTTTCTGGAAGGGAAAGGAACAAAGACAAGAAGAGGCAGAATTAGACCTAGCACATGGCGAGGACATTTTCAGTCTCTGCCTGGGTGCATGGGCAACAGACGCGGCAACAATGACAGGATGCCGGAACGGAGCATGTGGCCAGGTCGAGAACTTGAACAACGCGCTCCCCAGCCAAATTGACGAAGAAAAGGGGGTAGAAGGACATACCAATCTGGTTCTCGATGAAGAGTCGCGCGAGCAACCTGAAGCTGCCCTCGTCCTTCCTCCTCGCTCTCCTAACGAGGACGATGTTGTGCCTTTGCTTATATAGGGGTCCGTTCATATAATCCGCGCGCGAAGTCGCCGCCGCCGCCTGCGGTCGCGAAGACGTCGCCATCGTTGTTTAGTGCTCTTCGTGCGCGACAAAGGAGTTGCGGCAGAGGAAAGGTTGCGAAGAGTGTGGTGATAATTTTTTTTTCAGCGAGGGTTGCGGTTGGAAGGAGGCGTGAGTAAGAGTTGCGGGTTGGGTTCGTCAAGATAGTGCGTTTTCGTGCCTCGGTTTTTTTGGCCGCGCCCCTTACTTTCAGGAAGCCTTTTCTTCCCTTTCTGTACAACGCGTGCAAGCAATTTTAACCTGTTTCGGGCCCAAGGCGGGTATCGCGCGGAAGATAGAAAGGAAGAGGGAAAGAAAAGAAGAGTAAAAGTAAAATAAAGGGAAAAATAAAATAAAAGAAGGGGAGAGGATGAGAGGCGATGTCAAAAAGGGGTGGTTACATGAACGAATCCAAACCCACAGACAGCAACCGTGCCGGGACGGCGGGAGAATTGGGATGGGAAAATAGATGGGGAAAAAAGTAGGGCGCTGTCAAGTATGCGGCAGAGAGTAGCAGCAACAACAACAGCGTAAGAGAGCCCTGGGATACAAAGCACCTCGGGAAGAAGAAAGGAGACTGAAGGATGGCACGCGAGGATAGTCAAGTGATGGAAGAAAAGGGGTGGTAAGATCGAGCATGCAAAGGGAATATGAACTAAAATGGTGATTCAAGATTCAAACAGGGAGCTTGGCGGGGCGGACTGAGCCGTTCAGTCAAAGAGACAACGACAACGACGGGCTGTTAGCGCGGGAGGAGGGAACGCGAGCGCTCTGCTGCACTTGGTTCCGAGAGAGTTGGGCCTTGGCGAGGACTTTGCGTGGTTCAGCATATATCCATTCATCAAATGGAGTAATAGCTTGAATTTGGTCAAATGTTGAAAGTTCCATTGGGTCTCCCGAATAAAAATGTGGATGGCATATTTTGACTGGAGAAGGCGGTCAGCCCCTGTCGGTTCAGGGGACAAGCAAAGTGATTGGAGCTCTGATCCGATCTGGCGCGGGAGCTCGAGCTGCCAGACAGCTAGCACGGCCCTCTTTTCTTTTTTTTTTTTTCTTCCTTTTCTTTTTCTTTCTCCTTGCATTCGTCCGGCTATGTACCCATTGTACCTGGAAGAGGGAGATTTCAACCTCAACGTTGGGGCCAGGCCAGGTTTAACGGTCGCCAATGAGAGGCACCAATTGAGTACCGGGTGGGATCAATTAAGATGTACCCATTATACATGCTCGTTTGTACTGTCGCTTGCCCTCCAATAGTGTAGGCTCAATTTTGGGGGAGCAAACTTTTAGCATCTAGAGACTCTGAGCACAGGGGTTTGTCCTATCTTCATATTCAATATCGTGTAATGGAAAAGAAGAAGAAAAAGAAAGAAAACAAAAAGGACTCTCGTGCTATTCCATTCGGCTCTCCACATCATATGTTGATTCACCCTTTCGCTCTTTCCCGAGTTTAATTGCCATTAGCACCAATCGACAGTAATTATGCTAATGGGGATTTGAGGCTGGCTCCTAGACGCGCTTTTGAGGGGTCCTCTTCCCCTTTTTCGAAAAGATACCTCTCACCACTCTGCTTAAAGTCATCAGGCACAGTGCAACGTTGTGATAAATCCTGCCTCATGCTTGAGATGAGGGAACAAAGGCCAGCCAAGAGTGATCTGATTCTCATTCCCTTTCTTTTTTTTTTTTTTTCTTTTCCTTTTTTCCCCCAGGTCATGGATGTCACTCGATAATCCCTCCCCCACGCCTATCTCCTCTACCGAGGTAGTGCGCTGGAAGACAGTTCAAGGTCACCAAGTGACTGTGCTCTTTATTGAGAGGAGAGGTTCGAAAGCCCTACCTTGTCTCACCATCCACGTTTCGTCTCTCAACTGACCCCTCCAGGTTCCAGTCGTGAATAATGCGGACATGGCCCTTATTATCCCACTGAACGGGTAGCATGAATGAGCTGCCAGGCAATCGATGGATCCATCAATTCATTAAAATCAAGGCGCCCTCCGCCATGCTCTCCATTGCCTCCCCTGGCCCCAAATAAAAGTGGCTTTTCAAGTTTAATTCTGTTGCCTTGCCCCAGCGTCCACCCATTTCCCTTTCCGGTAGTGGTGGGGTCCCTATTAAAACTTCCTGCAATCGCCATCCCGCCCATTTGCTGGTGCAGAGACGTCTCCCTCCCTACAACCCCCTTTCGCCATCCGCCAATTGTTCGCCAGGTGCGGTTGGGAACACGAGCAAGTAAGATTGCTTGGATTGCACACGCAATCATTTGCCGTTCATTCACACGTTCATTCAGAGAGAACGGGATCCGCGTGCCACATTTTTGCCATTCATCAAAGAAAGAACCTCGCCAAATGCAAATGGAGACTTCCCAACTCCTCTGACGAGATTTTATGCGCCCATTCGACGTCTTATCCTCTTGAAGAGCGATCAACTTCAGATTGATCTCTTTGTAAGTAACAGTCTCCCTCTTCACTCCGGCTGTCGCATCCAGCAGTGGATGCATCGCATCGGGAGGACATGCATCGCCAAACGGGAACTTGGACTATTTGGTGCAATATGCCCATCTATTCTGTCGAGCTATCCCATCTTGACCTCTTTTACTTTGACCTGTTTCTTGTTTCTGGATGATGGTGGGTCTATCGCTACATCAATTGTATATCGAGAAAGAATCGCGATTTCTCCCCCACCCTTCAAGGAAACGGGTGTTGAAAAGGACGAAGAAGGAACGCTCCGTCGCAGGTTCGCAGGTTTGGTCTTGTGGCTGAAGAGATGCCTTGCATGACGTGTGCTTGCTTGCACAACCCTTCAACTCAACCCTGCTCCAGGGGTCCAATGAGGAATACCCGACATGGGTTTCCCAGCGTACTTACGGTCCACCTAGGACTCCGTGATATTACCTTGCATCGCAAGCTTTCGTCTTCTGATTTGAATGTTTTCCATGATGATACACCAGAAGATTGTCCCCTTTACGCGCTACTTGGGCCCCTTGGCCCAAGACGATCCGTCCAAGACCGTAGGAACAAAGGCTCCGTTCTACAGGCCGGGGGCCTTTCATCCGTCTCACAGGGAAAGCTATTACACCCCCAAGGCTTCAAGAGGAACCGCGAACGCGGTTTTCCGGAAAATGTCAGAAAGCATGAGACTAGCTCCTTGAATGCTGGCGAGTTCCACACACCCAATCCCTCGTGGAATCTTTTCTCCAGTCAGGGCGAACGACCCCGGTTCCGAACTATAGAGAAACGGAACGATACCTTGTGGTTTCTAGGGTTCCGCCGTAGTTCGGCGGGGTAAAGCGGAAGCAGTGGTGACATCCGTGGTAAATAGCAGATAGCCCAAGCGGAGCTGGGTGCCCGGCACGAGGCGGCTTGTGCTGTTCAAGTTCTAGCTCCGGCTCCGATCCTTCCCTCTTTCCAATTCGCCGCCCCGCCCCTCTGAAACGGAATCGGATGTGCTTATGTAAACAATATTGACTGACCAGCCTCGACCGTGTGCACTGTGTGTGGCGAAGCCTCGCCTCTTTGGAGAACGTGCTAGAGGATGGAGCCATGAAAAGGGTAGGCCACATGACGCCAGCTTAGGAAAGCAGACACCAGGCCGACATTGAGGACCGCCTTATCCGCCCGCGTTTGCCTACCTCAGAATATATCCCCCACCCGGCCTCACGACCAGCCAACGCCACCTCGCCTTTCTCAAAAGCCGGCGACCGAACCGCTTTCATAAAGGAAGAAGAAAAATAAAAAGAAGAAAGAATCCGGGAAGGAACCCAGCGCTGTTGGATCTCCTCCTATTGAACAGCTTCCCTTTGCGGAGTTTCTCCATTCTCATTGTCGTCGCTCCACGATCTGCGCGCATCCTCTCCCAGCTCAAACCTCTCTTTTTCCGCCTCACCTCTCTCTCTCTCTGTCTCCCTTTTAATCTCACCTAGCCATGTCGAACGCCAAGTACACGGCTGCTCCCACGCAGGACCCCGATGAGGAGTATGCCCAGGCCCCGCCGTCCTACCAAGCCGCCGACGCCGGTTCCTCGAGCAGCTCCGCACCCTTGTTCTCCGGCCCGCGATCGAGCGAGGACAACATCCCCGATGACTTCAAGGTAAGAGAGCAACCTGGCTCCTCACACCCATCCACCTCCCCCCTTTACATTCTTCTCATGTCCGCTAACCACGACGATGCGCCCCAAAAACAGTTTGGCGGGTCCGTAGCGGAAGCCACCATCGACATCCGCAACCAATTCGTGCGCAAGGTCTACGCCATCCTCTCGGTCCAGCTCATCGCTACCACGGCCCTGTCTTCGGTCTCCTTCTTCTCCACGGGCTACAAGCAGTGGATCCAGTCCAACCCGACCCTCCTCTGGATCTCCCTCCTCGGCTCCATGGTCTTCATGGGCCTGACCTACTGGAAGCGCAAGTCGTACCCCACCAACCTCGCCTTCCTCGCCGTCTTCACGGCCCTGGAAGCCTACACCATCTCCTTCATCGTGTCCTTTTACGACGTCTCCATCGTCCTCAACGCCCTCATCATCACCGCCGGAATCTTCGTCTTCCTCACCGCCTTCGCCTGCCAGACCAAGTACGACTTCACTTCGTGGATACCTTATGCCTGTGGCGCTCTCTGGGCCCTCGTCATGTTTAGCTTCGTCTACCTGTTCCTGCCCCAGTCCAAGACCACCGACCTCTTCCTCGGCTTCGGTGCCGCCCTCCTCTTCAGCGTTTACATCCTCATCGACACTCAGCTCATCATGCGGAAGCTCAACGTCGAGGAGGAGATCGCCGCCGCCATCAGCCTCTACCTCGACATCATCAACCTCTTCCTCGCCATCCTCCGTATCCTCAACAACCAGAACAACTAAGCCAGCTATCTCAGTTGTCATCTGGCCAATAGGCGCACTCGCATGGTACCGGATTCCATAACAGGTTAAAATAAGAAAACGTGTACGAAGGCCAAGGATGAGTGTTAGTCCGTTGGTTCTCGAGAGTTAGCAGTTCCTTTTTCATTTGTAATGCCACACCATCTCATGTACCTTAGCTGCCATCCAGTGCCCATGCTTTATCGAAATCAAGTGTTTCTTATCTATTCATCTTCTATACCAAACCCCGCCGAGTCCATCCATGCATCCATCTACCCTGCTCGTGACATCATGCCGTAGCCCCTCTACGTTTCTTCATGGGGCCAACCTTACCCCCGTGCCATATGAATGAGCTCCAACAACCCTCGCGAGGAGTCTTGATCTCGAGCCACAGCCTAATACCCGCTCGTCTAACGATGAGTTGGAATACGGGGTGCTTCCCATCCTTTCTCGCTTGCTATCATTTGTTTACACGTAGGCGGGATAATTCATATCACTCAGTTCCGAGGGGAATGCAAGGGCGATTGGGCTGCGAAACACAAACAAGGGGTATTAAAAGAGTTGATTTTCATAACTTTCCAGTTGGGTGGAAACTAGCACACATGGCCATGATGGTCCAGCATCCAAAGTTGACTGCTTGGTCCGGTAAAGAGAACCGGGACTTCGCTCGCTCAGTACAAGAGGACAACTAGTCAACCAGCACAAAGCAGTAGCAAGCTACGGATAGATTCTTGCCCTCACAATTCCATAAGCAAGCTTCTGCTTCATTCCCTCTCCGGACTCTGAGAAAGCCCCTCCCTGTTGCTGAGAGACTAAAAATAACAAGGCATTTGCCCATGGGATAGAGATTATTACTGTTTCACTTCATCCTGCAGCCTCCATATAGCCAGGTACTCTTCGATGTCATCGCAGTTCGTCTGCAAGAGAACACGGGTATGGCTTTTTGTTTATTCGTTCGGCATCCGTTGACTGAACAAGGTGGGGAAAAAGAAAAAAAGGGGGAAACAGGCGGGAGAAGATGAGAAATAACACGCGACAAGAAGCGTTCAAAATAAATAAGAATAACGAAGCAGCAGCAGCAGGGGAATATTGTAACCTCATCTCACTTTCTGGGGAATCGGAGGGCAAAAAACCAACGCCAGTACGGGAAAGATGGACCAACGAGGCACTCGTAACGGGGTCGCATGGAAACCCGGTCAGCGCGTCGACATGACGAGGTGAAATTAGTTACCGTCGCCATTGGTCTCTCCTTGGTTGCCGGACGCGGCGGCGGCGGCAGCGGCGGCCTCCTTTGCATACGGGCTTCGATCTCCTGAGCTGGGACTCCCTGGCAAGGAGCTCCTGTCGCTTCTCGTTGATTTCGCGCTGCACCTTGACCTCGATCTCGCGGAGCTTCTCCTCTTCGCGGCGAAGCTGCTCCTCCTTGAGACGGACGGACTGCGAGGCAAGATCCTCGGGGTTCATCGAAGAGTCACTACTGGCATGATTAGCTTCTGAGTCATAGTATTTCGAGGAAAGATTTGAGGGGAAAAAAGTGACAACACTAGGGAACATGGAGAATAAGGGGGAAGTAACATACACTCCAGCACCACCCTCAACACTCTTGCTAAGCTTCTCAGTACGGTAGTTCTCGTAGAGGAAGTCATGGGTAATTTCCTTGAGATCAGCGAGATGGCTGTGGAGGAGGGCGGATCGGATGGCGAGGAAGTCGGAGTGGCGGGGGTTGTCAACCTCAACAACACCCCAGGGGTATTGGCGGGCACGGACAGTTCGGCCGCCAATCTCGACAATATCCTCGGATCCGACGATGGCGAAGGGCATGAGGCCTCGGAGCTCGGCGTTCTCCTCGACAGTGTCCTCGTCATCCTCCTCGATGTCGTAGGGGAAGTTGTAGACGGGGATGCGGTAGTGCTCGATATCCTCCATGACGAGCTTCTTGGACTCGGCAAGCTCGTGGGGGTGAGAGAGTCGGCGCGACCGATAACGGGGATAACGTTGACACGGGGAGCCAGTCGCTTCATCAGCTCAATATCGAGCTCACGGAGACTTTGATTTCATGGTTAGCTCAGGGGTTCATGCACCGCGATACCATGGCGGTAACATCCAAGGGAACGCTTACCCGTGACCGGTGGGGGTGATAAAGTAGAGGAGAGCGTGGACTCGGTTATCTCTGAAACGGGGTTACGCTTAATACGCGACTCCTCGGCCAAGATGTCATCATATTGGCGCTCGAGGTAGCCGACAATCTCCGAGAAACTAAAAAAGGGAATTCAGCATTAGTTTATGGCGCATGGCCAAGGCAGGGCATCAAGCCATAGAAATAGGGCAACGTACCTGGCCTCATTGTCGATCTGGTCACCGAAGCCGGGGGTGTCGACAATGGTCAGTGAGATACGAGTGCCCTCCTCATCGAGCTCTGCATTATTGTCAATTACAAGTTTCCTGAGGAATCGAAGAGCCGACAAGAACGGGGGACGCACCGACGGTGATGGGCTTGATCTTGACGCCATCCTCAATGTGAGCCGAGTTAGGATCGTCGCTCTCCTTGTGGGTGAGTACGCTCTTGTCGCAGAGGGTGTTGACGAAGGTAGTCCTGCCTATCGATTCAGTCAGGTTAGCGGCAAGAACGGTGCGCCGGATACGGAGGTAGAAGAGGCGAGGGAATAGGGGGCGAATGAAGAAAATAGTGTAGAGACGATGCGCTGAGCGGGAATGCCATGCTGGATGAATCGGGCTGGGACAAGGAGCATTCGACCTACCTGTGCCTGAAGCACCGCATACCATCAGGCAGAACTGGATGCCCTTCTTCACGTTCTTCTTTCTTCGGATCATCTTCTGAAACCGGGGAGGGAGGATAGAATGTTAGTTGGTAATGCTCAGGTATCAATCAAGATTTGTTGTTGCGGGTGTTCAAGGGTGGTAGAGAATAAGGCACTTGGAGGAGCCAAGTCAAGAAAAGAAAAAGAAAAAAGGAGGCCAAGTCGCGGTGAGGTTGATGCAGGGGAGGGTGGGAGGGACGCAGGGCCGGCAGATGGAAATTAGGCACAAGGAGGGAGGACAAATGCGAGACATACAATTCCGGAAGACATGAGGACTGTAGGATACAGACAAGTTGAAGAATAGGAGACGACGAAGAGAGCTTCGACGACAAGAGATATTAGAAAAAGAAAGTTGCGCAAAGGCAGAGAGAGAGAGAGGAAAGAGAGGAGGCGGAAAACACAGCAACAAGGAGCAGGGTGGAGAGAGGTTGGGAAGAGATGAACGGAAAGTGGTGGACGCACGGAAGAGTAAAAGGGGTCGGCGGCGAAGTGTTCGGACTTTTGTCAATGGATTGTTCGTTTAGATGCGACGGCGATGATGTCGTCGGTGGTTGAGGAGGCAAAGAGGAAGAGAGGGCAACGAATTGGCGATGTGTCGAAGTTGCGGTCGACGTCTGGGGTTGGAGAAGGAGAATCGGAGGGTCCAAAGGGGGAAAAGGAGGATGGAGAAAAACGGCGCCGTGAAGCAATTTTACACAAAATGTTGCGGTAGGACCAATTGAATCGGACGGTAGGCTGGAGATTCAGGGGTGAGGGGGAAACGGACTAGGGGGCGGACGAACTCAATTGAATGGGGTGGGCACTGATGCACGACGCTGTGGCCGGGCTGGCCTGGCACTGGGGAAGCATCAACACCCAAGCTAGATAAAAGTACACGCTCTCCAGAAGACCCAACAGCCCCGTCAATTCGTGGCGCATTGAAGACCCTCTGCGTTCGACGGATCAATGATTAGCGTATGGGAAAGTACTACACCAAGTCACTATCATCAGAAGATTCGAGTATTGATCATTGTTGATTGATCATTACCCACCAGCACTGGTACCTCAACCCAACCTCTTGTGCCTAACCTCTGCCGTTACGGCTGGCAATGCAATGGTCTGGTACCTGAAAGATTGACCGTCAATCCTCTCCTCTCCGTACCTATACCGCCCCAGAAGGTTGAGGCCACTTTGCCGGCGCCACAATCTGCGCTCTCCGGTGTACAGTACAGAGGAAGACTGAAGCAATTGATCAACCAACCTCTCAGGGTCCAGTTGCACTTGAGCTCAGTCCCCGCCCTTTTCCCAGCAATGGCCGATGGCCAGATCAATGATTGTTCGATAATAATTGATGCTTTGTTTCCTAGCACAGGGCTCAATGGGAAAAGATTCCAATGAAAGAAGGACTTAGTCCACGATGTGTCTTTGGGACCTGAAAACCGATGTCAAGCCACGTCCGCATTGAATCCCTAGATGATCAAGCAAAGGTTCGGCTGGCATGATCATGGATCTCGATCAAGCCAGTTGGCTTCTGTTGTTTCGAGAGGAATAATACCCTTCGGCTCCTGAAGCTCTGGTCTCCCTGCGAGCACTAATCTCCCGTTTGATCCCAATCTGCCGGTTTCACCTCGGTTGAACTGCACAGACCACTTTTGACAGATGGTTTGCTGGCGTCTGACAGCTGGCTGGGGTTGTGTTCGTTGGTGATGGGGAAAAGGGGGTTTTCTGTTGATGGCACATGGAAAGAAAGGATGGGCTTTTCTTGGCGAAACAAAACACTGTTACCCTTGATACGGGCAAGACGGGCTCCAGCTTTTGGAGCTGGACAGTGCACGGTACTCGAGGAGGATGACAGGGCACCCCCACTTGCCCGAAATGAGGGACGAAACAATTTGGTGGGCTTTTAATGTCTTGACGTGCTCTCTGAACACCGTCTCGAGGTATTATCAGTTTGATCAATCAATATGTCGCACCTCCCATCACTTGCCTGGGAGAGAATCGTGCGGCCTCAGTCAGACGTATCAATATTAAGTTTCGAAGGATTTGAGGCCAGTTGGTATAATCTGTGCTACCTCCTATTCACTGCTGGCAAACCCACCAAATGGTTTGGCTCCACTTGCCCCGCGAAACGAAACCCAAGAGACCCCCGTGAATCAATGCGTGCTCTTTATTATCACACCTGGAAATTGTTAGTGTGCCTCCAGCTGTCTCTATGCCTGTGCCAGCGTCGTGTCGTCTGGCGGGGCAAGCTGGAGCCAGCCGTCTCCAAGTCAGTTGACAGATTCGGCGATTCGACCTCCTCGACACCGTCAAACCGTTACCACACGAGGCTCCTTGAACACACCCTCTATTAGCTGGCCTGGCCTATTTGGGAACCCCACCACGTTAAAAGCGTAATATTTAACATCGACGCCAGTCGGAACGAACGTCACGATCGAGCCCGCCCGGGTTTGTTATTAAGAATACTGCCCCTCTCATATAGACCCGTTTCTCTGGCATCCGGGATACACAAAATACCATCGCAGGGCCGTCTTTGACCCGTTGTTTATCATCAAACTGAAGCAAACGAGACTAGCTGCACTCTTTGGGGGAGCTGGGCTGGCCATCGAGAGGAGCGAACAAGCTCGTGTGCTGTCGCTAATTGAGAGCGGACGGCATTTCAACATACCAGAGAAGCCCATGACTGCCCGGATTTGGAAGCAACAAAAGCCAATCTGCCTTGCTCCTCGACACAAAACCGCGGGTCTTTGTTTTAGCAGCGCCGCATCATTCCTTGACCTTCCCTGCGAACTTTCGACTCTTGTGGTGTAAATAGAGCCATCGCAACCCCGGACACAGTTGCAAGAACCACATCGTTCGCCTTTTCCATTATGCCCTTGACGGTGCTGCCTAGATAGCACACAGCGCGCAGCCTTCGTACTTTTTATTTTCATTATTATTTTAGCTCTCCCCCATTCCCATTCCCTTGTCAAGCTCGAGGATCAACGTTTATTCCCCTTGATTCTTTTGATTCTCGGGGTGACCCATTCTCCTATCCCCGACGACAACGAACTCGCTTTCATCGCCAAGGCGTACTTGACCCTCTCATCGGTCCTGACTTATTTTCCCTCACGGCGCTGGTGGGTCTTTCTGCCAAACGACCGCAAGCACCATGAACACCCGCCCGAATATCGAGTCGCCAAACACGACTCAGGTGCTCTCTGTATCCTTCAACAATGACTCAAGTTGCTTCGCCGTTGGATTGAACTCGGGTATCTGCGGTACGGCACTCAACCTCCCCACCAGCATCGTACCACGTCTGATAGAGCTCCTCGTCTAACATCTTGTCCCCTTCGCAGTATTTCAATCAAAGACTTGCCTTCTCAAGTCCTCAAGAGGTTAGTGCCCCCATTCCTCTTAGCAGCCCTCTAGTACGATTTGGTGCTCACTCTAGACTGGCCTAGACTTCAACGCAGGTGTTGGCCTCGTCCAGATGATGGGCACGACCAACTACCTCGCTCTCGTCGGTGGTGGCAAGCTGCCCAAGTTTGCAAGCCACAAGGTGCGTGTGCTTCCGATCCCTCCTCTTCCCTTTCCCCGCCACGGCGGAGCCTAGGTCTAGAGTGCTGACCCTAGCTCTGCTAGGCCATTATTTGGGATGATCTAGCGGGAAAGGTTGCCATTGAGATATCAACGCTCTCAACCGTACGGGGCATCCAGCTATCTCGAAACAGGATCGCCATAGCGCTGCAAAATAGCTTGCGGCTCTATAGCTTCGAGAAGCCCCCAACCTGGTCTCCGTCTACGAAACAGCTGACAACCTCTCGGGGCTCGTTTGCTTGAATGACAAAGTCCTGGCCTTCCCCGGCCAAACGATGGGCCAAATTCAGCTGGTGGACACCGCGACGGGCAATGTCAGCATTATCCCAGCGCACTCTTCTGCTCTGAGAGCCATCCAGATCAGCCCTGATGGCGAGCTATTAGCAACAGCGAGCGACACGGTACGTCCGCCCCTTCCTGACGCCTGCCACCACCATTCTTCAAGTGCAAGCGCGAGCGTAAGCAGGCAAGTTGGGTCCAGAGCCTTGATCTAACCTTTTTTCCCACACAGGGCACTATAATCAGGGTGTTTGCCACCGGCAGCTGCGCCAAGGTGGCCGAGCTCCGGCGGGGCATCGATCCCGCGACGATATTCTCACTGGCCTTTAGCCCTTCAGGCACCATGCTCGCCTGCACGTCGGACAAGTCCACCCTCCACATCTTTGACGTCCCGCACCCCAAGAAGCCGCCCCGGAAGCCCGCCAACCAGGCGCCCGCGCCCAGCACGGTTCTCCCGGGCGCCGGGGACGGCGACGGGCGCGGAAATGGGGATCCTCAGCAAGATCCCCCTCCTGCCACGCGTCTTCTCGGACGTGTACTCGTTCGCCTCCGCCCCCTTTTCAGCCGGGGACGAGAGTCTCATTGGCGGTTTGCCCCTCTCGGAGAGCCCGACGCCCGGCACCGCGCGACCGACCAAGGGCCTTATCGGGTGGGTCGCTGAGGAGAGCTTGGTTGTGGTGGGTGCTGGGAGGGACGCGCGGTGGGAGAAGTTTGTCATTGTGCCTGATGACGATGGGAGGAGGTATTGCGTGCGAGAGGGTGGAAGAAGTACCTGGGTAACAACTAAGGCGTTGTTCATCTTATCCCTCTTCTCTCTCTCCCCTCTTCGGCGTTGACTATTACTATTTGTTTATTTTCTTCTTTATCGTCATGGCAGGCTGTAAATAGGTCCGGTACTTAAGGTCTGGGGTAATTTGGGCGCAAGGATATCGGATAACTTCTTGATCTTGTCTTTCTCTTCCTTCCTTTTTGTTCACCTTTTTTGGTCCTTTATTTTTTTGTGTGTGTGCGCATGGGTCTTGGAGATGGCGTTTCTTGATTTCTATAATTGCGCGGTGGGACATTACGAATTCTATAGTAGAAGGAAGATGGGACACACAAGGTTCTTTTATCTTCAGATTGGGACCAAATAAGATGACCATTGATTTGGGGGTATCCTCGCTCTATATTCATTATGTAAACGAAGAAGAAGATGATAAAGAGAAAAAGACAACGGAGAGAGCGATGAAACTCATGGTGACCGACTCCGGCTCCTTCTCCTCTCCCGGTGGCGCGGCCTCTCGTCCCTGTCTTGCCGGCGGGAATCGGCGTCATCGTCGTCGTTTTTCCTCCTCTTGCGCCTATCCTCGGGGCCATCCTTGTCGTGCGGCGCGTTCGCCTCCAGCCGCCGTTCCTTGTCCCTCATCCTGCGCTCGCGCTCCTCCGCGTAGGGGTCCCTACTCCTAGCGCCCTCTTCCTCCTCCCTCTGCTCCACCGGGCGACGGCGCTCGCGGTCCGCTCTCGGCACGTCGTGGGGATCGGGGCTTTGCGTCTCCGGGACCTGTGCCTCTCGTCCGGGCTCTCGCGCCGCTTTTCGTCGCTTCGCTTGCCATCCTCCCTCTTTTCTCTCGCGCGGTCGCGGTCGTCGCGGTCGTCGTCTGCCCCGCGGCTGCCATGTCTCCGCGACCTGTGTTTCCGGTCCCGGTGCCTGTCCCGATCGTCGCGGTGGGGCCTTTCGCGGTGGCTGTCCTTGTCTCGCCTCGACTTTTTATCCTGCCTCTCCCGCGCGTCCTTGATCTCCTTCTTCTTCTCCTCGATCAGGAAAGCCTTCATCGGGTCGTCCTCGTCGTGTTCGTCCATGAGCTTGGCCAATTCCCGCTCCTCTTTGAGCTCGGGTCTCCTCCGATCCCGCGCGCGCTTCTTTTCCTTTTCTTTGCGATCGTCGTCTTCCTCGTCGCTTTCCTCCTCGTCCGTGTCCGCGCTCTTGCCCTGCATCCTTTGCATGGACTTCCAGTCGACCTTGCCCTCTTCCGGGTCATCGTCTTCGTGGGGCTTGTAGCGCGCGTGGTCGACGTGCAGCATGCGGCCCAAGATGTTGGCGCCACCGAGGTTATCCACGGCCAGGTCGGTGCTGCGCTGGTCTGCGTACTTGAGCCAGCCGAAGCCGCGCGACTTGCCCGTCTCCTTGTCGCGGGCGAGTTTCACGAAGACGGGCTCGCCGAACTGGGAGAAGATGACGATCACGTCTCCTTCGGAGAGCTCCGAGGGTAGTCCGCCAAAGTATACAAAGGCGGTGTCGCGGTAGTCGGCGTGCCAGGAAGCTTCTGGGGTGCTGTTTGGTGGGGGAGATGTATGTCAGCATTGTGATCGCACGAGGGGGAGGGGAGGTGAGAAACGGGCGCTACTCACATGCCATTTTCTAGCTCCTTCTGGTTGAGGGCTTGTATTGATTTGATCTTGTTCATCTTGGTGTTGGAGCTAACTGATTCCGTTTGTTCAAGGCGAGGTTGGGTTTTGGGGGATGGTCGCAAGGCTGGAATTAATAGTGGAGAAAAAGCTGCGAGGCTGGCACCAGCTCCCTCCGGAGTTAAAAAATGATAGTTGGTGGGCAATAAGCAAAAGAAGAGAAACAGAAGAGACTCTTGGGGGAGAGAAGAAAAATTCGCGGTTACTTTTGCGTCCTTGGGTGGTGAACGCTTGGTGTCTATCAGGTTGTTGGAGTTGAAGGCTCTAGCTACTTCGTCCGTCGATGCCCAGATACTTTTTGCACCAAGTGGTCGCCACTCGGAGAGAAAGAAGCTCTGTGGAATGGTTGCTCAGCGTCAAGTGGACAGGGGGTCTGAGGTCATTCCTCGGGAGGTGAAACTGTGGATGGCGCTGTAGATACTGCCAGCTGGCAGGCGCCTTGTGTCCCCCTGGTCAGGGGCAAGAACGGAAGACCATGGGGAACCCAAGGGCCGTGCTCTCAAGCCAGAAACAAATGCTCCAAAGGTCGCAGGACAAAGTAGATTCAACAGGCATTCCGCTATGAGAAACGACACTGATTGAAATCCCGATTCCAACTTGTCTTGTCTCGCCGCTTCCCAAGATTCTAAAAATACCAAAGGGCCATTCCTCCCATCTTCGAAACTTCCGGATACGCATACCTTAGCTCCCTCACCCGTCCGAAATCGCTTGCTTCGCCGCGACGCGTTGCCTTTGTGCTCCTCGTCGCCTTAAAACGCCCCACGAATCGGCCGACAAGTACTGCTCCCTTCTCCGACAAAGATGATCCAGCTTCCCTTGGTCTAAAAAGATTTGCCGACATCCTCTCCTGCCTTCTCCCTCCCCCTCTACCTACCTCGCGCAAGGGGCGAGCAACGCGTCCTCTTCCTTCTCAGGCCCCGCCTATACCTTTGGGCACTCCCTGTTGCGCTCGCATCTTCGCCTTGTACGCAGCTCGCATGTTTCCGACACTCGACCCGAAGCCATGACCCCGTCCGCGAACCGCATCTCCACCTATACATCCACCTCTGTACAGTCAGATGGTCGGAATGGCGACCAGAAGAAGGATCTATGGACGTGTATGCTAGACTCCGTCGCCAGTGGCAAGAGGTTACCGGAGAAAAATGTCTTGGTTTTCGGTAAGTAGACATCCATACCTACCTACTATACGTGTGCGGCCTGCGAGACAGCGCACGCTCCCTCCTCCGCCTACCAGCGATATCCTAGCTATCTCTAACTCTTCGTGCGTTCTTCTTCTCTCTTGGATAAGGCGGTACACCGGAATCTCAACGCGAATTTCTCGACTCCCTCTCTAATGGCGACCAGAGGCGCCTGATCGATAGGCAGCGAGTGCCTCCTATCGCCAACAACTTCGCCCTCGGATACACTTATTACGATGTCCTCGACGCTGACCAGGAGGGTAAGTCACTTCTTGTTGCATGGTGCATACTCTGGCCTGCCCCGCCCACTTGCCGCTCATAAGACCCTAACATTTTGCTTTCCGGCGTAGACACCCTCGCCCGCATATCGCTCTACCTCCTCTCGACGCCTTCCCCCGCCTTCACTTCGCTTATCAAACCCCTCCTCACCCCCGAAACTATACCGAATACCCTCATAGTCGTCCTCCTCGACTGGTCCGGGCCTCATCTGTTTTTGCGCCAGCTGCAGGAATGGATCCTCATGCTTCGCGATATTCTCCAGTCCCTCGACGCCCGCTGCGTAGACGCCATGCAAGACGTCATGGTCTCGTGGCGAGATCGCGGAAGAGGAGGCGGTACGGTGAACCTGGACGGCTCTGGCGTAGCTTCTGATAGCGACGCCGCGCTGCCCTAGGCCCAAGCGAATGGGACGACGGTCTAGGCCTGCCGTTATGCGTAGTCTGCCAAAATGTATGGGACGAACCTCTTAACTTTTTTGGCCCCATGGGCACGACGGCCGCGGCTAACACACTATCATACAGGCCGATAGGATGGAGATGCTCGAAAAGAGCCAGGGATGGAAAGAGGCCGACTTTGACCAGATTCTCCAGTACCTACGAACCATTCTCCTACGGCGTAAGCTCTTCCGCTGCGGCTCGCTCTTACTTGCTCTTCCCTTCGGACGCTCCGTACTAACCATTGCGCAAACCTCCAGATGGCGCCTCCCTCGCCTACACCACCCCTCACATCCCCTCTCCACTACAGTCCCTCGTCCACGCCAGCCTGGGCGTCACCTCTCTTATCAAGCGCGAGCCCCTCAAGCACAATGTCATTGACCGCGACAAGATTCTCGTGCCCCCAACTGGGACTCGTGGGGCAAGATCCGCGTTCTGCGCGAGGGCTTCGACGTCGAGACCGTTTCAAACGGCTGGGCCGACGATATCCGCCAGGACTGGCCCCTCGCCCCGACCAGCAACGGCTACCGCCGCGGCGACGAAGACGGCGACCCCTTCACGAGTCAGGGAAGTGACGTGGACCGGCACCAGCAGGAACTCTCAGCCCTAACTCACTACGAAGATTGGGTCCCCGATGCGAGCGCCGGTGGCCTGCAGCTCACCGAACCCGGGTCCTCGGACCCCATGCGCCTCGAAGTCATCTCGGACGACCCTCAAAAGTTCCTGCTAGACCAGGGCAAGCTTCTCGACATGCTCAAGGTCAAGTCGGAAGAGAGCGAAAAGGCCGGTGCCTCGGGCACCCCACGCGATCGGGAAAGAAACCGGCGGATGACCTGGACCTCGTGAGGGCCGGCGCCGTGGGAAGCATCGTTTCCGACCACATTGGCCCCGTGCAGTTCAACATGGGCGGCATCCAGGTAGATGCCGACGACATGGTCCAGAGGCTAAAGGTACGTCTTCCCCCTTACCCCCTCTCTTTCCTTTCTCTCTTTGTTCCTTCTACCCTCTGATAAAGAGGCCAACGCCGCTACCAAGTACTAATTACAAAAACGACAACAGGACCGGCAAGACTATAGTTCTACCCCTGATCCCACCACGCCCCCGCAGATTCGGCCCCTCCCTCGCTGGACAATACCGCCGGCCTCGAGGCTTTCTTCCTGAACCTGGCCAAGCGGAAACCTGGTGCCAGCGTAGCGGGGTCGCCGGCGAGGAGCGAGATTCTTGAGAGAAGGAAAAAGAAGAACGAACACTTCTTGTTCGGAAGGGAAGGAGATGACGTGAGGGCCGTAGAGAGGTGGCGAGGATTAGTTTCTATACCCGTCTCTGGCGGATGTTGCGGCGTCCATACTTGGTTTATAAGCGGGGAGGGGTTTTCCATCATCTTCGGTCCCCAGTATAGGACAAAAAGAAAAAAAGAAAAATAGAGGACAAAGAATCAGGAAGTCAGGATACGCAAGGCACATAGCCAGCGCAAAGTCGGCAGGACACAGGAGGGCTGCAGGATAGCGAAGGAATTCGTGTCAAGAGATTAGAAAGAGAGACGGCTGGCGTGCGGAGATGTCGCAGAAGAAGAGGAAGCACACGCCGGCTACCGTTTTTATACTGATACCCGCCCGCATCGGCGATTCTTTCTCAAATTATCCCAAGAACGAAGAACGAAACCTAGTGTCCTTGTTTGTCCTCTGCCCTGCCCATTTTTTTAGGCTTGCCCTTTTCTCACCCTGTTCCGTTCGTCTTCATCTGAGGAGGATACTTGGCTAGTTATCTAACAAGAGGACAGTGAGGCCAACTTCGACTCTTTGAACCAGGAACTCCATGTAGTGAGTGGTACATCTCTCTCCCTACACACACACACACACACATACATACAAGGTCACGTCTCGGCGACATCGAGGAGGTCCCGTGTAGCAGCATGAAATTTGGCACCTAATCATTGAAGAGTGACCTCATTCTATCGGTATAAAAACAGCCTTTTGCAGAGCTAAAAGTTCAACCAGGCCAAACACACAAAAGCCGGACTGTTAAAATGATATTAAAGGGGGAAAATCCAGTCGGGGGTTAAACGGTAAACAGAGTGTAGAAGAATAGGGAAGGAATGGGGGTGGAGGGAGAAGAGAGAGGGGTGAAAGGAAGAAAGAAAGAAGAGGAAGGAGAAGAAGAAGAAGAAGTAGAAGAAAAAAAGAGGCGAATCCACTGGCTGATAGGGAATCAAGAGAAGCAGAAAGAGTAGAGAAGTTCAGAAGCAGGGAAACGTGGAGAAAGGTGTGGGCAAAGCCCTCAAACGTCCGCCTTCCTGCCGGCCAGAGATGGAGCGAGCTGCGAAGCAAAGGCTCCTTCAAAGTCGCAAGAGCGTGATATGGGGAAAGATAAGTATAGAAAAGAAAAGTCTCAAGCCAGTCTCCCAACTTTCAATAAATCTCCCAGAAACGCCTCCCCTTTAGCTCTGCCGAGTAAAAGAGCCCAAATCCTTGGAATTAAAAGCCCTGAATTTGCCATTCTCTAGGCAGTAGATGCCGTCCTTGCCCTCTGCCAACTCCTTGAGAGCAGGGTTTTGGTTCAGGACCCATGAGTCCTTGCCGCTGATTACCGAAATGGCTTTGAGACCGCCGCTTGGCGAGTTGTAGATGGCCTTGAAAAACGTGTCGAAGCTGATGCTGTCCGAAGCGAGCTCCGCCGCGCCCTGGTTTTGTCGAACAACGACAAAATTGGGGCCGCCCAAGCGCAGGTTCACGATTCCGGTCAGGAGACCCAAGAAGAGCCAAGGGTACTGCAAGATTTCTGCTTCAAAGGCGCTGACTGACTCCTTTGCCAAGAGTGTAAAGTTGGGGTTCCCAGTGATGGAACCAAGCCTAAACAGGTTGGAGACGCTGGTGGCGTTGATGGAGGAGCGAGGTGTCCATGCCGTCCTTGAGTCGCAGGATGGCCTGTGGGGAATCGGCTTCGGTAGAGTAGAAGGCGCCGCAAGGTACCTGTGACGAGGGGTTCAGCGTGGTCGCATTTTCGTCCACCTTGGGGGCGTCGTAAAAGAGGACGAGTTGGATCTCTGCAGGAGTCAAATAAGCCGCTTATCTCTATACAGGCTCTGGAAAAAAAGAGAAAAAAGAGAAATACTTACTTTGTAGTTCATCGGCCCATCTTAGCCACTCCTCTTCCAGGGTCGCCAAGTAGAGGTCAAGAAGGCCCTCGATAAGGTAGGCGTAGTCCTCGGCAAGACCCTTGGTATTCCCCTGCCGCCACGGTATATCCTGTAGAGAACCCCGTCTCGGCATCCCACAGCTTTTCCTTGATCAACTTGGCCGCATCGCGGGCGGCATCCAAGTACTGGGCGTGATTCACGCCGTCGACGTATTGCAGGCTGCTCGCGGCCCTGGACAACGAAGAAATGACAAGTCCGTTCCAGGACGCAATCACTTTGTCATCGATAGAGGGCCGAACGCGCTCCTTTTCCCGTTGGGCCTTGAGCTTCGCCTTGGCATTTTGAATGATGGCCTTGACTTCGGCGACTGAGAGCTTGAACTGCTTGGCCAGGTCCGGCACGTCTTTCACGATGCGGAGAACATTCCGGTTCATAAACTCATCGTGGGGATCCTGGTCAGGTTCCACATTTCCGTGCTCGAGAACGCCCCAGTGCGCGGCGGCAACGGCGCTTTCTTCGCTATTACCAATCACCGAGTCAAACTCTCGTTTAGTCCACAGCTGGTAAGCTCCATCCCGGAGATGGGTGTCCCCGTGCCTGTAGTATGTATCTGCGGCTTCGCTCGACGCGAACCCTCCCTCGGGTAGGCGGATCGGGGCGCTTGACAGATAGTCGGCGAGTTCGATGACGATGTCGTAGAATTCGTCTTGGCGAGAAGAGCCGCTGCTGATCCAGGCGTCCAGGTAGACGGAGAGCAGAAGCGCATTGTCCACGACTAGCTTTTCAAAGTGGGGGATGCTCCAGTCCGACGTCACCGAGTAGCGGGCGAGGCCTTGGCCGCCCACGTGGTCGCGCAAGGCGCCGTCGCGAATCTTGCGGAGGGTGAACAGGGCCATCTCGCGGGCGTGGGCGCATTGGGTCGAGCCGACTACGTCTTGGACTTCAGGCAGCAGCTCGGATAGTCGAAGCAAGAAGGATAGCTTCGCCGGAGTGGGGAACTTGGGCGCGATTCCGAAACCGCCGTAGATAGGGTCAAAGGTGCCGGCAATGTGCCTGTATGCCTCCTCTAGCTGGTCCAAGTCGAGTTCGGTCGCATCGTCCGGCTGCAATGAGGTGGCAATGGCGGCCTCCACGTGCATGTCAAGCGCGGCACTTGGAGGGGCGAGGATGGCTGGAAACGAGCCTCGATGATCAAAGGTTCGGCCGAGGGTGCCTTCGGCAGCAAATTCGCGAAGCTGGGCGAGAACATCCTTGGCCTCGGTACGGCACCTCGTCTCCTGCTCCAACCACACCTTTCTTAGCTTTTTCAGAATGAGAAGGAAGTCTAGCTCCTCTCCTTCGGTTGTCTCTATACTGCTGCTGGGGTCGGCGCTGGGGCTCGGGCCGGGCCAATAAGTGCCTCCGAATACGGGGGCGAGCTCGGGGGTCAGGAACAGGTTCAAAGGCCAACCGCCAGCGCCGTTGACAGCTTGGACATAATTCATGTAAATGGTGTCCACATCGGGATGTTCCTCTCGATCAACTATGACGGGGATGAAGTACGAGTTGAGCATCTCAGCACATCGGGGGTGGGCAAATGTTTCGGCCATCATCAAACGGCAGACTAGACAATCAGGTCAAGAGACACATTAGCGCTTAGATCTTAGATCCCAACCTCGGCGGGGGCAAAGCAATCCATGATGCAGGGGACAAGATCAGGGCCAGCATCGGGATAACTTTTTTTTGCAAACAAGGGGTTCGCTCAAACCAAAGACGTCGTGGTAGAGAACACAAGACACAAGGGGTCGGGTTGCTCACATACAGTGACACGCATTATAACCGATATTCAGGAATACCATCTTGTTTTCGGCCTTGGCCCTGGAAATTGCTTCATCGTCTAGCAATTGCCAGGCGACAGGGCTAGTAGCCTGCGCCGAGACATAGGGACTCTTGGAGGAGGCGACGCGATTCTTGAGAGGTTCCGCCGCTTGCGGCTGGTCCATGGTGCCGGTACGAACAGTACTGGCAAGGGCAAAGTGAGCTGGTTATGTCTGGAAGATGATGGCGTTCCCCCTTCCTGCTTGACGACGAGGCTGTATAGGTAGATAAAGTGGGGGAGAATAAAGGAGTCTCGGAGTGGGAGGGGTCCGGTTATGAGCGGGCGGATAAGAGGAGAGAGAACACTGCACTGGGCAAGGGAGATAGAAGGTGGGAGGTGGGAGGTAGGAGGTGGGAGGTGGGGGTGTTCAACGGTCGGATCGGAATGTGAATGATTTGCGATGGAGGGGTAGTTTGTTGACCCACGGTGTATTTGATTGTGTATGTCTAATTCCCAGTACCTAGTAGGGCAGATTGGGATTGGCGACCTCGGAAGATGCGGGCAAGGCGCTAAGGCTGGTAAGGAGGAACAAAACCAATCGTGGCAGAAGGTAAAACAGCGATGCGACAGGTCACTAGAGGGAAAAGATTTTAGACCTTTTTCGTCTGGTGGAGAGCATGAATAGCACCTTTTGGGAGGAGCACGATCTAAGAGATGTCGAGAAAAAGGGTGGAGCTTGGCTTAGGTATTATTGTGTAGTGTAATGTGTGGTGTAATGTGTGGTGTAATGTGTGGTGTAATGTGTGGTGTAATGTGTGGTGTAATGTGTGGTGTAATGTGTGGGGTGGAGGGGTGGAAGGTGGAATGGGGGAGGAAGCCGTGCAGAGGAAGGCGCAAGGACGGGGGCGTCTTGGCGACTGGTGGCGACCAAACAGCTCGGGGAAGAAGTGGAGGGCCCAGACGATGAGTGCCGGTGATCCCAGTGACGGGCTTTTTTTTTTCTTGTCTTTTTTTTTCTCTCCTCTCCTTTTTCTGCTGCCTCGTTTTGTTTTCTTTTAGTTTTTCTTTCTATAACTTGGACGGGGGCGGAAGGGCACGGATTGCAATGACACTAGCGGCAGAGGCCTGGCGGGAGCAGGGAAAGTTGGCAACCAGTGGACACGAGGCTATTGAGATTGACATGGTGGATTTGTCGCGCTCGCCTTTCTGGGCAAGATCACTGAAGATCCCCACTAGCGTAGAAACGAATTGGAAGACGGTGATGTGGAAAACTGGGGGCGGAGGACAGTCGTGACGTACTGTAATACGGGTGATGTCGAACTCTCGGTGCTGGGCTGGAGAGTTTTTGGCGGGGAGTGCGAGACTAGCCAGTACTCTTTGGAGACTGGGAGGCCAGCAACTTCCTGCCATCAACCTGATAGACTGATAGACGGAACGCTGGAGGCCGACAACTTCATTTTTCCTTCTTTTTTCTTCTTCTTTTTTTTTTTTCGTTTTCTAGAATACACCATTACACGTTAATTGATATTGATTTTTTGTCTACTATTTTACGCTGGCCTGGACACACCCATTGATACTCGGGAGTGATGACCTCCCTCTCAAGCACACAGACACAACACTCAGGGTTTCTCAACATTGTTCCATTCCACTACATCGTCCCGCCCTCACCTCACTTGCTCACCAACTCACGTATATACACACCAGCCTGTATGCCTGCCCCTCCCTTTCTCCTATTGTCAAAAGAACAACAGAGCTAGGGAGCGGTTGAATGCGAAAAGTGGGGCCATAGTACCGACATTACATCAATCGAGGGCTTAGTGCTTTCATTCAGTGGTCTCGACTGTGTGCTGTTCCAAGTTCAAAGCCCTTGAGCGTTGGTGTGATGTGCGCGGTAGGGTGGAGAGGCTGCTGAAAGGATGGAAGATCAGCCTTCCTCTCTTTTTATTTTTATTTTTTATTTTTTATTCCCCTGAGGAGGCGTAAGAAAAGGAATCCCCATATGAATCCTGGAAGCAAGTGCGTCATCGCGGCTCCTACCGAGCGAGCTCTTTGGCCCATTACATGTAACCAAAGACTTTGCCTGCAGGCTGGCCCTTTCCTCTCGCATGTACACGTATAGTATAGTATCCATATAGTATCCCCTTTTCATTACTGTTATTAAGGGCTTCCTGCTTCCTGCTCCTTGCCTCCCCGTGCAAACCCGAAAGAACCCACACCGTACACTTTAAAGTTGCAGCAAGGGGCAAACCCCGTCTATTTGAGCTGCTGTTGATCCCAAAGGCCGAGGCGTGCCGCTTGCCGACTTGGAATGTCGCACCGCTCGCGCACCGTCACCGTCGGGCCTAACGCGAGGGGACAGCGGCAGCAACAAGCTCAACTCGGGACTCGGGGAGAGATTTTGAAGAGAAAATAGTCCAAGCCGTAGCAATTCATCTTCGTCTTCATAGCCCATGTGCTGTTCGCCCGGCCCTGTCAACCTGAAGCAAGCCACCCATCGTTCGAATGCAGAACTGGCTGGTCTAGAACCTTGACTCCCCTTCCTTTTCGACCAATTCCGACCTCCGACTCTGGTGAACCAACCCATGGCCTTGCCCTCCCTCTACCCCCTCCCCCACTCGGCATCACTGGTACATCTATTCCTGAAAGGACATTTCTCGAGAGTATGTTTGGCTGAATGGCTATCCCTGCCCACTCTGATGTGCAGTGGCGTGTAATGCGGCATCAGCCATCCAGTATGTACCTCACTTGGGGAATCCTCCGCGCCCTTCACAAGGCTCCGTGTCGCTGAGCTTGGCACACTGCACCTGCCTTGTTTTCGCGTCCCACACGCGCTCTCTCCTCGGCTTCCATACTTTGTTCTTTTTTCTTTTCTTCTTCTTCTTTTTCTTTTTCCTCTCCTCTTTTTCCACTCAAGGAGGACTGTGTAGAGATGATCTTAAGCCGCGTGTTGCTTTTGATTGGCGCTTTCGTAGCCTCCATTCAACCCTTCTAACCCCTCCATGACCATGGAGTCTCTCGGAAGGTGGCGTGGACTGCCTGTTAGCCACGACCCGTGTCTTGCCCTCCCCGCAGCACCCATTCCTCGGAGAAGAATGCCCGTGATTCCGTCAAAGCTGGGGGAAGGTCCCAAGAAGGGTGCTCTCGCTCTCTCCCTCTCTCTCACCAATATCACATGGTTCCATACTAGTAGGTAGGATATATTTTGCGAGTGGACAAAAGCACCAAGCACCATCTCGTTTCTTCCCTCACCTGTAAATGTGCACCTTGCCCGAGGTTGGACCTCGAATCCTGCAAGATTTAACGGCCCAGTCGCTGTGCAAGCTTGACCTCACAGTTCGGTTTCACAAGCTGCCGGTGAGCACCTTGCCGTGTCCTCCCCTCCCCGGCGTCGGCAACCCATCGCCCGCTAATACCTTGGGATGGATGGTGGCTAGCCTAGGCCACCGGGGTATGGAGGAGCGAGGAGAGCTGTTGATAATGAGGGGAGAAGAGAGGGACTGTAATCTACCATCCAACATTTTTGGGTGCAACATACATGGATGTATGGTTCTTAGTCCTCGGACACGGGTCACTGAAACTTGTAGTCAAAGTCCTGACCTCTCTTTGGACTAGTTCTACAGACAATAAAGCCTTCATGCATGCATGCACCAGCTTGGTCTGTTGCCCAAACCCGTGCAAACGAAAACAAAGGGTATTAGAACAAGGCACGTTGGCAGGCATCATCAAAGTGAGGAACCGACGAGAGAAAAGGCAAGCCAGGAGAGAACTTGCGCGAGCAATGGAGAAGAAAAAAATCAGTTAAAACAGCCCTCTCTCATTGGTAAACAGGCAATAGGCTGCAACAGGCTAGCAGAAGAGGATGCTAAAGAATTACGAGCAGAAACAAAACTATGCGGCTGAGACGATGACGCGAAGACACGGGTAGGTAGCGAAGTGCAACAAACAAGACTGGGGAGTCAATAGGTGTAGATAACGGGGAAGAAAACAAGTAGATTGGCGAGGGTATTTTCCATCCACAATCGAATCAGGGAGAAAAGGGAAAAAAAAAAAGAAATCGGAAGAGAAGAGCAGGAGAAGAAGAGGAGGAGCAAGAAGAAGAAGCAGAAGAAGAAAAAAAGGGCCCATTATCATTTCCCACTAATACACATCGAATAAAATAGAGAGGAAACTGGTCGGAACACGCACGCACGCACGCGCACACGCTGCCACACACATACGGTCCCTTGGCATTCCCACCTTTCCCCCTCCTCCTCCTCCTCTCCCCCACAACTCGGTCAAGAACCTTATGGTGAGCCGGGCACCGGAAGTAGTTCGGACCGTCTATTATTAGTTTTCCAGAAGTCAATCGACTCAATGATGTCTCCGCCCCTCTCGTCTTCGTATGCGAACAAGATCTGGGACACGTATACGTTAGCGTTAAAGACTTTGACACAAGGACAGGCGGCCACTTCGCCCATGGTGAGACTGGCTGCGGGGAAGAGAACTAACCTCGTGTGTACTGCTATGAAGCATCCTGATATTCTTATGGGGTACGATATGGACCGCACCGCTTTCGATATCCCGAAGTTCGATGAAATTCGTCTCAAATCCAAGAATCCAGGGATAGCTGAGAGCAAAGCTTTGAGGAGAGCCCTCCCAATCGATTCGCCACTCCGGCCTCGCTCGCCAACCGTGCTTGTTGACGAAGAAGGAGAATTCCGAGTAGTTGAGCAGGAACTCGCCATTGAGGCGCTCGATATGGATAGGCCGCACGCCTTCCTTGCGAGCAACAAAGTCCAGCGACGTATCGGCCTGGTCCAAGAGTGACTGGGTCTCCAGAGTTTCCAACGACACCACCTCGAAGCCCTTGGGGCATGCCACGCAGAGCTTGGACTTGAGGAAGTGTACCGACGAGGATTCCGCGGGGATATAGCATTCTTTGAACGGTCGGAGTTCGTCCTGGCCGCCGCCAAACATCTTGCCCAACCCCTTTTGCTTCGTCTTCTTGGCCATCGAGTCGTTCGGCTCGTACACCTTGACGGTGGTCGAAAGCGCCGACGACTTGACCACACACACAAGGTGTCGGCCGAGGCAGATGCCCGCCTTGAAGAAGTTGCAGTGGCTCTGAATCTTCTTTGGTCGTCTTGCGAGGGCCGGCTCGTTGGGGTCCAAGGCCGAGAGGCTGTAGGAAAGAAGAGACTTGTTGGATAGGACCAGGAGGAGCGAGTATTCTTCGAGAATTTCGACCTGCGTGACGCTAGGCACGTCCAAAACCCTCTTGGGTGCAGCACCCTTGACCTTGCGGTCAAGTACATACAAGCCGCTATTCGTGCCGATGATGAGCTTCCTCGAGCCATCTGTAACGTGTGTGTTAGCAGAGGTGAACAGAAGCCTTCACACTGACTTCAAACGAAGGCGAGGCGCGCCACGTCCGCGCGGGGAGGGGGGTTTAGCTTACCGAATGGCGTCACGCAATTGACCTGGTTAGTAGCCATGAAGTGACCCATTGAAATGCAGGAAGTGTTGAAGAAGTCTCCTCGAGAGCGCAGGCGTTGCTGACTGTTGTCAATGTACTCGAGCCACTTTTTGCGGGCAGCTTGGTTGGAAGCGTAGAGGGTCAGCTCGTATCCGTTCTTGCCAAGATGGCGGAAGGTAATGGGCCAGCCCTCTCCCTTTTGGAGTCTGAATTGTTCGTTCGTATGGACGGGATCAAGCTCGAGGAAGCGCGCTTGATACCCTGTTGCGGGATAACTTCATCCATTTCCCGAATGTCCAAGAGTTCCAGCGGAATTGGCTATCATGATGTGGTTAGCAAGCACTTCGTTGGGATTTTCTCCCTCTTTTACCCCCGATGGGATAGAGAGAGAGAGAGAGGGGAGAGACTGATTCGTGGTTCCTTACTCTACGGTACGCCTTGATTTCTTCGCCCTTGCCAACTTGCTTGATGCGTACTAGCAACACGGCGTGGTCAAATAGGAAGGCTGTAATCTCTGTTGGATCCGTGGGCGACTTTTTGAATTGGCTCTTGAAGACAAGCTCACGGCCCTCTTCAGTAAGCCGTAGATCGACCTTCTCATTGGGGCGGAATCGGAGCTGTTCGTGAAGACGGCGGAGGTTAAAGCGATTTTCGGCCTTGCCGGACTCTGTGTTGACGCGGCCAAGAAGGTCGCGAATCATGGCCAACACCTTAGGAATATCGTCCTTGTCCGGATTGTCCGGCTCGGTATACTTGAGCACATTTTCTAGGAGGAGAGGATAACGGGCTAACCTAGTTGTCGGTTTGGTGAGGTAGCCATTAAGTTCGAGTTTTCGGGATTCCTTCCGCCTCTCAATCTCGTCGACAAACTTGGTAAAGTACGTGTTGCAAGATCGCTCGTTTTCAAACTCAAACTTGGCCTCCATCTGACGTGAGCCGTACAGGATAAAAGGCTCAAAGTATGGGACAAATTCGAGGAAGATGTCGGCAATATTCCGGACAACGGGGTTCTTTTGCTGTCGCTCCGTCAGGGACTTGGCGAAGCGGGAGCTGACGGTGTGGATGCTCGGGTGATCGATGATGTTGCTGAAAATAAGCTTCACCACCTTATCACGCCGAGCCACGGGAATGGGCGAGACCTTGGATCGTAACGGAGCGATCCAAAAGTCCCTTAGGTACTCGAGATCCTTGACGAAATCGCGTTCCGTGTAGCAGATCTCGGAGATGACTTCCTGTCTCTTCTTCTCCCGCTCATCCACGCTTTCCACAACCTCCTTAGGTACCGAGTTAATCCAGAGCTTCTGCTCGTCTGTCTGATCTACGTCATCGATAGTCGTCTGGTCTTTCTTCAAACCCGGTTGGATCTTGAGGTTGAGTCTAGACACCTGCTCTAACCTCCTGGGGCATGCAATTGAGTAGCAGAGTTGGTCCCGAGTACAGGTAGGCGAGTAGCAGTCAGACAAAAGAACAAAGACACCATTGACGGCGGGCTTGTCGTCTGGCTCTTCCATGAGCGTTTCCCGGAACTGGTAGATCTCGTTTGCCGAATCGCGAAGTCGGTGTTCATAGGTGACGTCGTGGAAGAACTTTTGGGCGTCAAGGGAGCGGCCGAGAAGCAACGCCAGATTCCTGTCGGTAGTCCTGATGATATAGGATAAGACATCCACAGCCTCGGCACCGCTGAAGGCATTCTTATACGTGAGCTCGTTCTTCGTCCTGTCGCCCGTCATAATCTTTCGGCGGAAACACTCTCCGACCCGAGAAAGAAACGCAGGATAGACGAGGGGGCCCTCAGTTTAGCCGTAGGGGGTCGTTCGCTATCGATGGACTTGGTCGCGGAAGATCGGCTGTGGGAGTGCTGGGGATGCGACGGACCGGTCGAGGCTCCGCTAGAGGTCGAGGTCGGGGTGGGGGCGACGACGGTTTCAGCCTCCGACGGGGAGATGGTTGGAGCTACAGTGGACGCCATTGACATTGTTCGGTGGCTCTCGTGGCCGGTTGAAGAGGCCATACTAGCGGTCCTCGTCTGAGATCCCGGTGCTGAATATCCAACGTTGTTTCCAGGTTGATAAGGAACAAAACCATTGCCTTGAGAGTCTGATGGAAATCTCCGATTCGGGATAACCCTCCCGCTCATAGTTTGGTGAGCATCCCGATCTTGGGGATGATAGCCTGTCATCGACATCGAACGCTCATCCCCACGATCGGGTACGACTCGACCCTGGGCTGTGGTTCTGGCCGAGTTTGGGTTGTAGGCACCAGATCGAGAAGCTGTGGCCGGAGACTGGTAAGATGCGGGAGGAGGGTGGTATACTTGTTGCCGCGAGGACGAGGCGAGAGATTGCGTCCGATAAGGATCGCCATTCATGCCGGGCACTGGACCGGCTCCGCCGGGATGAAAACGAGCACCACCCGCCCTGGGAGGTCCATATCCCTGAGGGGGCCCCTTGATTCCAGCCTTGGGGGCACCGGGTCCAGGAGGTGGTGCCCTCCGCTGCTGCATGTATTGCAGAGCCTGGGGAGAGGGGACCTGCTGAGGACCGGAGACTGATCGAGGGGCGGGGTGGTATCCGCCTCCAGGCCCTTGGTTGGGGGTACATTCGGTGTTGTTGTTGTTGTTGGGGATGCTGCTGTGGATGCTGCTGGTGATGCTGCTGGTGATGCTGCTGGGGATGTTGCTGGGGATGTTGCTGGGGATGTTGCTGGTGATGCTGGTCGGCATACTGCGAGGGATGGGGGCCGCGGCGGCGGCTGTCGGTGCATCTCGGGCCTGCCGCTTGAGTATGTCGAGGTCATGGTATGGGTTCGGTCGTCGGGCTGCATCATCTGCGGCGGAGGGACAGAGGATGTCATTGTGTGGGATCTGCCAGGAGGAGGGGCGGCGCCGAAGATGTTGGAGAAGGCGGCCTCCCGCTGGAAATTGGCCGATGGGCCTCCATGTTCACGGGGACGGTGCGGTTGTCCTCGATCGGAAGGATAGTGATAGTCGGCCATGGTTGGTCTGGAGAACGTCAGGGACGAGAGGAGAAAATCAGCATCTTCTTTGGTTTCTAGGCCCGAAGGAGTTGGCACATTTCAAACGCCACCCGGGACGCGGTGCAAGAATTGCGAGCAACAAGGGGTGAGGGGGCTGGATGATTTAAGAAATGAAAGGGGACGAATGAGGGATGGTTGGGCGAAAGGGGAAAAAATTGGCCGAGACTCTGAGAAGTTCAGGGTCTACAGTCGGAGGGGAAAATGGCGACGGAATTAAAGAAAGCTCAAAGGGGGCCACAAGGAGGGATGAGGGAGCCAAGAAATGGTTGGACAGCCTAGGGGAATGATCCCATACCTTTAGATTAGGTCTGCCGAAAACCTGGACGAGGGAGGGAGCAAGGGCAGCTAGCCACAGCTGCCCCAAGGCCTAGGTATGCAACAGACCAGATATCCAACACTGCCCTTGGCTTGGGGCAACCGTCAATTTTTAATCCTCAATTCGAATTCGAGAAGTGGTTGTCGCAGCTAGGTAACGGCCTTTTCTTTCTTTTGGGATCTTTTTCTTTTTCCTTCTGTCTTTTTCTTCGCTTTGTCCGCCTTTCTTCCCGCTTCCCCTTTGCTCCCCTACTCTTCTCTCCTTCTCCTGGCTGACTTGGGAGGTGACGTTATATTAGCTGCAGCAGTCGGCTGGAGCAAAAGCGTGGGACAGGAGCAGACCCCTCGCTTTCGTTCTTTTTGGGCGCAGGCCGACCCGATGGTAAATTCGGAGCGTGTTGCGTCTTGATCCTGGCTGGTTCAATAATCAATCAGAGTTGGGCGAAGGAGGCCTACACCGTCGGCTGTCGGCCCATGCGATCGATATCGACGTCTGGAATGGGCGAGCGGGGGAGGGACGGTGGATGGGATCAATGGCAAGATACCGAGAATGATAGGGCTTGATCCAGTCGTGGGGAGAAGTGGGAATTTACTTTTACTTTGCTGAGGCCACTGATGTCAAAATCTTTGTGAAGTCACGATCGTCTGCCCGTTCCCCCTCCCTTGGAAATAGAATTGACCTCTAGTCTTTGACTTTCGGCTTGCTGGGTTGGGGTTACTTGGCAAGCCAGGCCCGTGGGATCAATGGTTGGGGGATTTTTTTAGGGGTACACTGTCTAGGACTCTTGAAGTGCCGGCGCCCGCGATGGCGCAGTTTAACGTGTACCTGGACTACTTGCCCACTGCCCACAGGCTATTCAAGCAGTTGATTTGCCTGAGCGCATTTCGGTCCCTGCTGGCGATCCAATGTCTACTTTGGATCTAGCGGCATCGTCGGTCGTCTGGGTTGAAGACGGGACAAGCTCGAGGAGGCTGATTTGAAGAACGAGTTCACGGGCATGTTTGCAGCAGAAGCTGACCGAGCTATCCCGCGCCCGCATGGGGGCCAGAAACAAACGCGCACATGTCCATAATCTGACCGAATCCGACGGATCAGTGGTTGCTTGACAATCTACACGTATCCGCAAATCGCCGAGTGGGAGCGTGTTTCCTTGGGCGGGTTCAAGATACCCTCCCACGGCAGAGATGCACCCCTTGCAATTACCCGACTACGCCTGGATAAACACGTCCATTCCATCCAAAAATTTAAGAGACAGATTTAGAGGCGAATTCGGAGGCCTACGGAAGAGTTGCCCTTTGAGCTGCACAAATGGGGGTCGAGGTCACCCTGCTCCTGTGCTGAGCATTGTCAACGAATGGCTCCAAGCAAAAGAGACACAAAAAGTATCATTTCCCCCTTCGCACACGCCGTGAAATTGGATGTCGTCTTTCCCAAGTCCCAACGGTGGTGACCTCACAAGCATTGAAGATCCGACCCCGGGCGATCTTAATGCACCGAACAGACTCCGCGAACTATGAGTTGGGGGCCTCTCTTCCCCATGCACAAGTACCCCATGCTCAATGACGGCCCCGGGATACATCCATCATTCCATATCACGTGAACCAGACCTCCCTCATCCGTAAAGTGCACACTAAAATACTTGGGCGGGCGATGAGGCCAAGCACCAATCTGTCTGGGCTTTTGAGGTTTGAGGTTCCCGCTTCGAGGAGCCTTTGCCTGCTTACGTACTCATTCAAGAAATCCACCCTCAAACCAAGCTCGATGACAGTAGGCATCCAGTTAAAGGACTCGCTTCCAACCAAGCTCCCCTTCCTTGCTCATCCCACCTCTCACAACAAAAATCCCCTCGGTCTCCCCCTCCCCATCGTGTTAAACCACCAGACAGAGCTTCAAAATGTCTTACACGATGATAGAGTCGGAAATCGCCCCCAAGTTCGCGCCCTTCGTGGGCATGGTACGTGCAAATTCGCTCGCCCTTTTTCAAACACTACCGGCTCAGCCTCGCGGGCGTCTCAAAGACTCGAGAGTCTAGCCAGGGCTGTGTTCTTGAATCCACAACTTGTACGACAAAAGCTAACTCGGGAAACACCATAGGCTGGAATCGCCGCCGCGATGACTTTTGGCAGTACGATGTCCCGATACCAAGCGATATGTTTCCCCGAGCCCGACTTGATAGCTAACCATGTACTCCTCGACTAGCCATCGGCGCGGCCTACGGAACAGCGAAGGCCGGAATCGGTATCGTCGGTGTTGGCACATTCAGGCCTGATCTTATCATGAAGGTACGTTCCCCTATTCGCTGTTCCGGGCCACTCCTGGAATTCGCACCGCCGCGCCCTCGATAGCGCCAGCTTGCTCAAACGTCTTGATTCAATCTAGTGTCTCGTCCCCGTCGTTATGGCCGGTATCATCGCCGTCTACGCCCTGGTCGTAGCAGTTCTCATCTCTCAAGATCTCGGCTCCCCGACCGACGGAAACTACAGCCTTTTCACGTACGTTGCTATCCTAGGTCCAGTGCCTTTCCCGATCTTTGCACTCGCATAGAAGAATAGAAGAACCCCCAACAAACACTTGGCTTTCACCCCCTCGGCAGCGGACGGGAAGGGAGGGGGCGAGGGAGGCAATCTATCTATCTGATGCTAACTTGGGCCGAAACATAGCGGTTTTATGCACCTATCCGCTGGCTTGTCTGTCGGTCTGACGGGTCTCGCAGCTGGTTACACCATTGGCAAGGTCGGCGACAGGGGCGTCCGAGCCTACATGGAAGAGCCCAGGGTTTTCGTGGGCATGGTCTTGATCCTTATCTTCGGCGAAGTTTTGGGGTTGTATGGGTATGTTTTGTGTTTTGCTCCTTTTCATTTTTTCTTCCATCATATGTGTGGGCAAGCTAACCTCAAACTCTCTTCCAGTCTGATTGTGGCCCTCATTCTCAACACCAAGAGCAGGGGTTAAACCCCATCTTGTCCGACCAAGATCTCAAACCGAATTTGATAGGGGCTTTGGCAAAGCGTATACTTTCACTGTCATGGGTAGAACAACTAAACGCGAAGCGAAAGCGAAAGCATCTTTTCCCCTTGCATCATTGATTTTTCTACTCTTCGGGAGACGGAAGCCAACCCCTCTCAAGCGGTTTTTGATCCTGTCTGGCTTTGTCTTGGCTTTCTTTTAAAACTCTGGGCCTGTCACGACTACCTCTTGTATCAGGAAATCACATTTTTACGGCGTCACTTGCGGAAACGGGGCATTGAATCTATTTTGTCATTCCAATTTTTTTTTTATCTTTCATCTTTTTAGGTTCTAATGGTCTGCTAGCTTATAGCAGCCTCACTTTCGTAAGGGACAGACCTTGAATAATACAGGATAACCCTCTCCAGCGATCACTTCTTCTTTACATTGAAAACAGTGCAAGTCCCCAGAACGCGGGCTGGGAGGAGAGGAAGTACGAAGCCGTTTAGCAAGGGTAGCGGGATGACAAACAAAAACAAAGGGGGTGAGGTTCGAAGACCTTTCCAGGTCGAAACGAGGCCCAGTAAAGATGTGAGGAGAGAGAAATGAAACCCAGAATGCCAAAAACGCCTGTCCGGGAACATATCGATCCGTGAGTAGAATTGGAAGGGGCTTTGCTTCAAGCCTTGCATAGGTCGAGGTCGCCCATGCAGTCTTTTGTTCCTTGGAATAAAATCATTTTAAAATAGACGGCCACTGATACGCCTCATGAAGCCCTTGCGTTCGTCATGGTCCATCTCCCGTCGAAAGCGGGACCAGTTCCGCTCGCGCTCCTGCCAGTTATTCATTTGGGCTAATCGATATCAGCTCTGAGGTTCATGCGGTCGGGTAAACGAGGGGTGGTTAAACATGTGCTCTGCGTAGCAACCTCTTCCCCTCGTTCATGGAGAGCGGCGGGAACAACTTACACAGATATAGATCCCACCTTCGGCTCTCTCCGATAAGTGCAGCCTCTCTCTCTCTTGCTAATCTCTCTGCTCTCGCCCTCCTTGCAGCTTCCTCGCCCACAAGTGTCGGGTCCTCATGCGGCCGACCGTCGCTACTGCGATGAAAGACGTCTGAGGTAGTGGGCCCTTCGTTACTGTGGGACCTATTGAAGTTGCTTGAGCCGGGGCGAGCGGCATCAGAGCTGGTCTCCTCTGCAACGTGATCTAGCAGAAGGTGGCGGTGGGCTGAGGTGCCGACGCGAGAGCTGGCAGCAGCAACTCGGCGCTGGGCTACGCTGTGGTAGTGACGAGTAGAAGGGCTGGCGGAAAAGGTGGACCAAGTGGGGATGGCGAAAGCGCTGAGGCTCGGCATGGGTAACGGCGCCGAAGGCACTGGTGGCAGGCCGCGGCGTGGCTGTGAGTCTGTCGTGGCCCTCGGGGCTACTAGGTTGGACCCGTAGGTCGGATTTGCCAGGTTGTGGGCGGCATCTCCAGGCGCTGCCGAATACGGCGGGCAGGTCTCACTAATGGGTACGGTAGAATGATAGGACGGAACCTCGGAGACTGTAGCCAAGGACAAAAATCCAAGAAACAATTAGCATTTTGTTTCTCATCCTTGACGTTGCGAGGCATTTCTGCCGGGATTGTGGAGCTGACAGAAGCTGGGTGATGTCATGACCCAAACAAAAGATCTCGGCGCACTAATGGTGAGCGGTGACAGGGGGAAGCTGGTTGTGTGCCGCTAACACCGTGTTCGGTTTGTGCCCCTCGTGCGCGCAACATTTGTTCAGACGTAGCGGTAAAAAGGTTACTAACCGTAGGAAGGCGCGGCGGACCGGATGGATGCTGTTTCAAAATCCTCGGCCGTCAAACTCTCAACACCTCCACTCAAGTGTCGTGGGCCAGCAAAGGACGCCATTATTAGTATGGGTGTCGTTGTCCAACGGGGTGTGCTGGCCAGGCTGGGTGAGTCGGTGAACCAGCGGTGGTGGGTGAGGCGGGGTCGTGTAGATAAGATCGCAGCGGGAGCGAAAGAAGTGATCTCAACCAAAAACAATCACCGTTCCGTTCTTCCGAGCGAGGGGGAAGCCGCGAGAGCGGAGTAGCAGGAGAAATAGTAGAGAAGAAGAGGACAAAGAAAAAGAAGAGGAAAAGGGGCGCGAGGGGGAACAGGTGCGTCAGCAGAGGGAGGGGAAGGCAGGAGATATGTATCTCGAGATGTGTAAGTAAGAATGTGCTCGGGATTAATTATCCGCTTGTTCCTCCAAGCTTGAAGAAGAAAAGCGCATCAGAGAGGAGTGATTGGCAAGGCACGAACAGGGAGTAAAAGAGGATCCGGTGCTGCAGTCAGGGAGAAGACGAGGGCAGGGGAGAGAAAAGCAAGAACGAACGAAACACAAACACACAAAAGGGAACGGGAAAGAGCGAAAGGGAAGGAAGGAAGCCGAGAAAGTTCCACATGCACGTCTCGAGAAAAAGGAGACGGAATCAGAAGCTGGTCGTCCGACACCACAGGCTGGGGGATACATATATGAAGATCTGTAAGGACCGCGAAATGCCCCGACTTGGCGTTGTCGTAGCCAACGTAGTTTAGAGTGTCACGGCTGGCTTGTTTTCAGCTCCTTGATGTACCTTGCAAGGCAGTGAAAGAGGGGATACGGGAGGTGGATCAGCGCGATCCAAGGCAGGCCCGACAAGTCGGACGCCCACTTTTAGTACGCAAGTTGGGCGTAATATCATCACACTCTTCGACCCTCACCAAGATTCCCCGATACATATGCATACGGTACCATCAGGGCCCGCTCGACGACAAGTGGCATCCACAAATGAAGTTTAGCATGAGGAGAGGTTCTCCTCCTCTCCCTCTTCCCAAGGCAAACAAACCCTGACTAGGGGAGAGGACTGGGGGAGAAGTCGAAAAGAACAAAAGCTAAACGGCCAAAGGTCAATAACTCAGCGAGCGATGCAGGACAACTTCTGTGGCCTGCATGCGTTGGCAGTGGAAATCCCTAGGGTGGAGGGGTGTGATGGTGGGGAGGGGACACTATTGATAGGTTCCCACGCCAGGCGGGGAAGCATCCTCGCACTAGGTTTAGCTAGGACGCGCCCAAAATGGATGAAGGGTGGCCGAAGTAAGGGGATGACAGGCAAAACGAATGGTGGGTGCGGTGCGACGGAGAGATGGGAGGTTGGTGACCAGGGGAAGTGGTGTGTTCGATGCAGCGCGTGGTTCTCCCATGGCTGCGACACGACCTTTAACGGAAATGCTGCGCTGGATATCGGTATGCCGAGAGCGCCGAGTTGTTGCGGCAAAGGGGGATTACTGGCTTGTGAGACCAAAACAACTCCGCAACTCGGCAGCAGACATAATAGAAGGAGAGACACAGGCAGCTAAGGGAGGTTGGGAGGATCTATTATCCATAGAACCAAATCCATCTACTATTGGATTTCTCATCCTGTTGACTTGTGTTTGGACAGAAATGAGGGAAATCCCAAAAGGGGATCCGTGTACTACTACTGCGCCACTACCGGCGCATCAACGGAATTTAGTTTCGAACTTGAGGCCTCAAATCTGACAAAAAGGCCAGGACGGGTTGCGGAGTGAGACGAACCACTGGACACTGGTGGATTCTCGGCGGGGAAACACGTCTTGGTGAATGGGGACCCCATCTACAAGTACGACAGCAAAAGAGACTTTTGGGCACCTTACATGTGGCTAGTCCGTAGTGTAAGTGGGAAAGTGCGTAATCCGCTAACCCGACGCCCTGGAAGGAGCAGACGATGGAACGACTTGCCGAAGCAGGAAGTCGTGAGCTTCTACCTGCCTAAGTGTAGGAAGAGTCCGCAGCCAGTGAAAACGGTCGAGACCATGCGGCCCCTCTTCGCTCCCGAAAGTGCACAACTCTCGTTTCCATGCACAAGCACGATCAACCATCCATTCTTCTAGAGACGAAAAAACATCGAATCCGAGAGGAGTGGAAGGTCAGATATGGATTCGGCCAGAACACGACAAGTCCCTTGGGTGCCAAATCACCCAGCCAAAACCAAACCATTAGTGGAGATGGAGGGGTAAAAGGAGCGTGGGTGGGGGGCTGGCCGGCCCTCGGTGCCCATGTTGTGGTGGGGAGAGTCATTCCAACCCTGCCCTCCACCAGAGCACATCAATCACAATTAGAAGAGGGGAGGTGTCGTCATGTAGTATCCGAGGCCTACATCAAATGCTTGTCTGGATTTCCACCACGCGGGTTATTCTACCTCGTCCAGAGAAGGTTTACCGGGAAGGAATCAACTATGGGCACAAAGGGCCGCGAACGCCCCCTCAGTTCAAGGCCAAGCCGTTCCCGGAAGCTCGTCGGGTCTCCCCTCGTCCCGTATACCCATCATCAGATCTCTTCAACCATTAGTTCGTCTGTTAATAGTGATGACGCTGAAGCCAGTCCTTTTTGAGCGGGTCGTTCCGGCCGGAGCGGGTGGCCAGTGCTCCTCTCGAACCACACAGTAAGAAAGAGTCCTCTGGGGTTCAACGCTTGGGGAGGATGATGTGACGGTACGAAGACAGCGAGGGCGGAGGTACACTAGCAAAGCAAGACGAGTTGCTACGAGATTTCGCCGGCTCATTCTCCTTTTTTCCTTTCATCTGAAGGACTTTGACTTTGAAGGATGCAATTCAAGGTGGGAGAGGAAAGGCACGCGACCATCACGAACGACACCACGCGCCGCTCCCTTCCCACCAACTTTGCAAGCCACGCCCTAACGCCATTCGCTAATAGTACATTCTTGACAGGTCCGGGGTAGGTATCATTGGTAGGCCTGAGATGATCACCTCTACCTCCCTCTCTCTTACACGGGACGCCATGTCCATTTGCAGATAACGCCAACTTGGAGTGGCCCGATAACCCCTTAAAGAAAAAAGAGAAGAGGAAAGAAAAAAAGAAAAGAAGGAAAAAAAAGTCACCCGCCAAGATGTTAGATATCATGGCTTTGGGGACCTGGCATTCTTGATAGCTTCTAATAGCTCTTCCCCCTTTTCCGCCTTGGGGGTGTCTTTTCCCCAGTACTGGAGCCAACCGGCGAGGGCAGCTTCCGCCGAGATCTGAGCAGCCTCCCAGTCCCCTAACTTGATGTATTCGTTGGCGATGGTCTCGTGGAATCCCGGTGCCAGGGGAGCAAGCCCTCCTCCTCGCAGAGCTTGATGATGTCGCTCGCCTTTTCGATCGCCTCTGCGTGTTGGCCCGCCTTCTGGGCGCTGGCAACCGCGGTGCGATTTTTACGATGGCCATCCGTCGTGCATCCGACCCCTCGCGGGTTGCTTCGTCCGCCAGGCAGAGGGGGCAAGTGCAGTCGAAGCCCCAGGACTCCTTGAGGTATTTCCGCCGCTCCTTGTGCGGCATCCCGAGATAGGCGTCTGATTATGAGAAGTATATGTGATTAGCGAATGCGCGGTATGACTACACACCCCAGAGCGACGGGCCGTTAAGCCCTCTCTGAGAAGTGAGATGGTGTGGAGTGTGGAGCGTGAAGGGAGCTCCGTGCTTGGGAGGGTAGATGGTGTCATACAATTGATATTAATCTCCTCGCCAGGACTGATGTCGCGATAGGTCGTAACCTCCATCATTAGCGTTTGCGGAGAGAAGCGATAAAAGGCACTGATTCACAACATTTCGTTAATAAGAGAAAAAAAAATCAAAAGCACCAGTTCGATGATCCGGGCCGTGCTTTGACTGGTGGCGTGCCGGCGCCGGCGCCGACCCCGACCCCGACTGGACGACTTACTTTGGTTCGCAGGCGTGGTTCATTCGCTAGATCATGAAAGGCGCCAAGAGTTAGCCTCAATTACACGATCTCATGTTCTTCTTTTGTTTTAATCGTTTTTCCCTCCAAATCTCCACCCCTAAAGAAATGGCCTGATATACGTCAAGCACATGTAAAATGGGGGTTTCCTTTTTTATTATATTTTAAAAGAATTACGCTTGCGTGCGCGTGCACTCACCGATACCTCTGGGAAAAGCCCCAGGTGCGCCGTGCCATCCGCCATGGTGACGCCGCACGAATTCGTCGAAAAGACGTCGAGAACCTCGTCACCCCCGTACTCTTCGCCAAGCTCAAAACCTTGGCCTTGGCCGCCTCGGGCAAGCCATTAAACACAATCTTGGCCACGGCAGCCTGACCCCCGCCGGCATCTCGCTCAGGGCGCTCGTTTCCGCCAGTAAGAGGGGGTAATCGACCATGAACACCTCGCCCCGGAGAATCTTGCGACGGGCTACCACGCCCTTGCCCTTGCCTGGCAAATCGAGCACGTCGTACGCGGGCCCTCCCTCCTCTCCATCGTCCCCATCGACCGGGCCCGTGCGAAAGCGGCGCAAGGTCTCACGCGAGGCCCCGTCGCGGCTTCCGGAGGGTCGAGGGCGCCGAGGCCGACGAGGTTCGCGGCGACTTCGGCCCGCGTGGCCAAGCTGAGCCCCACTCCGTGAAAATCGTGGCTCGAGTACGCGCAGCGGACGATTTTCTCGCCGGCGGGTGGTGACGTGCCGCCCCGCCGGCCGGGTTTGGCCTTGGCGTGGTGGCAGCTCAGCGGCTGGACCCAGGGGACGCCGCGAGGGCGTCTGGCGAACTCGTGTCGTCTACGGCGAGCGGGCACGATGTTCGCTGCCGATCGCTGAGGGCGCCCGGTGGATTCAAAGGCATTGGGGTGCCGTGGCTGCCGCGGGCGCTCTCGTCGTTGTTGTCGTGCTTGCTTCGACCGGCTCGCCGTACGCCCAGGGAGGTGCGAGGCTTGCCAGTAAAAGGAGGAAGCTGGCGGTTGAGCTTGCGCGTTGGGAAGCCATGATCAACAGGTTTTATGGGAACCCAAATTTACGCCCATTGAACAACGGAATAAAATCAGAAGAATGAAAGCGAGCGTCGGGGAAGTGAGAGGGGAATTGAAGGGGGGACTTTTACGAAATATGCTTCTACCAGCTGGCTTCTATTCCTCCTCTTTTTTTTTCTCTTCCTTACTCACAACTAGAGTACGACTCTCAATATGGGATCGGACGCGATGACGTGTGTCTCCGACTGCGCCATATGAAAAGAATTATATATTATTATCCCTCCCCACTCCTCATTTTCGCTCCATTTGCGTTGGAAAAGGAGGGAAGACGAGAGCAATAAGGAGGCATGTGGCAGGTGTAACCATGGCGTTTCATCCACTTTTGCCCATCTCCTTCTCGGATCGATCAACAATGGGCGAAATAAAAAAGGTTGGCGGGCTTCGCCTGGTTAGCATTGATTAAAATGCATCTTAAAAGATGGGACTTGTCCCACCACTCATGTGTCCCCGTCCGCGTCTGTACCCATCCTCTTCTGCCAAATGTAACACATTTTCCTGTCTCTCGACACGTTTCGTCTTGTTCGCCGTAAATTAACCTGCTAGTATTCAGGGGGAGAGGAGAGAGGGGAGGGGACATGGGGTACGTCGTTCGGCATGGTGGGTGCCGTGTGCCGAATCTGGCGAGGTTAATTTCGCGGTCCCAGACGGCGGCGGGGTGGAGTCTGTAGCGTTCTTGGGCGCGGGCGTGAGCGCGGGAATAGCGGCCTGCGAACCCGGCCTTACGACTGCTCCCCTTGCCTAGCAACAATATCATCTTGAACATCAATCTCTGCACGAACAAAAAAAAAGAAATTGCACTGTTTTCTTTGATACCATAAGGAAACATAAGTAGAGCGACCCGCAGGTTGACGCATGGAATGGAATTCTCAGTAACTTTTGCTGGTAATCTACGGGTCTTGACCGTCGCGAGGGGGACGTAAATCATGCTCCCAAAACATTTGACAGTTGGGATATCAAATTTAATCAAACCCGTCCGATCAGCTACAGTGCCGTGTCTGGGGAAGGGGGCTTACCGAGGTACAGGCACTTTATAAGTAGTAATAGACGAGAGAGTAAGAGGGTAGCTTCGCTTACTGTTTTAATACTAGAATGTTGGGATTCGGTCAAAAGCATCGGGTCCCTATGTCAACGTCCCAATTGATATGTACATAGGGTTACTGGGACGAACGCGCTGCGCTTCCTTCATCGGACCCGTCATTCTCGTGAACACAAATCTTCAGACTACTATTGATTTCTTAGCAAGCATCTTGCGCTTCCTAGTACATGTTTTTCCATGTACGCTTTCCCACGAGCCCTTCTTCTTCTTCCAAAGTGGAGGGTGAGGACCAGGGGTGTGACAAGCTTGGCCAAGCACAGCCAAGCGCTGCAAGATATTGATGCCACGCTTGGCCGACGATGATGGACGACACAGCCATTCCCTTCCCCTCCTTCATCTCCATTCCGATGCCCTGATGAAACCGTCCCGATGACAAGCCAATATAGGTATTTATACAACAATATTTCCACACACATACACACACATAAACACACATAAACACACACGTAAAAAGCGCGAAGAGTCGATCCGATCCAGATCTAGTCCCTTGCATCAACCGCCTTCTTTCCGTTCCCTCCGCCCCTGCTACACCTAGGGATAATTAGCTTAGATTTCCCAGCGCAGGTTGCTGGCAACCTCCCATTGTCTCACCACACACGCAGCTTGAATTGTGTCGACCAACCTGTCCGAAAGGTCGGCGCAGACTAGACTACCATAGGGCCCTTGCGATCTGGCTTCACGAGTGGAGAGAAAAGAAGGGAGACTCAGCTAGTTTCCGCGGCATCGCAAGTTTGCTAACAGAAAAAAAGAAAAGAATGGCTGAAAGAGAAAAAAAGAGTACAAGTCAGAACTGAATTTGTCTCGCATCTAATTGTTAGGAGCCGGATCTTGCTGTCTGATCCCACGTTTAGCTCTGTGTTTCTAATACTCTAATACTCTGGAGTCACATTTCATGTCACTTAAGACTTTAAGAAATGAGAAGCGGGAAGCCCCAAGCCACGCGTGAGGTGGCCAAGACCCTCTTATCTAATTCAGCCGATTGTACCGCTCCCTGGCCTTTTCTTGCGCCGTCGACAGGTACTCTCCGTAATCGTTCTTGGTCCTCCGTCGCGCCAGCTCCCCGGCATCTCCCAAGTTGGCTCCTTCCGCCCCGAGTCCCGCGCCCTCTTGGTATGCGTTGGTGACGATGATGTCGGTTCTACCCTCGCCATTCGCCCCTAGGCCCTGGCCCGCCCATCCCATCTTGGCGAGCATGGCAGAGCCCTTGGAGGGAGCAGGCGCCGTGGGAGCCGCTGGCGTCGAGGACGACGACGAGCCCTCCGCCTTGGCCGGTTTTTGCTTCACTGCTTGGGGAACCGGCTTCTTCGGCTGGTTGAAGGCCTCGCGGCGCTCCTTGGCCCTGTCTCGATACTGAGACTTGTCTTCTTCGTTGTCGCCTTCCGCTTTGCCCTGCTCCCGGAGCCTCTTGTCTCGGGCTGCGAGGCGGGGCATCGCCGCCTTGACTTTGCTCTCGTCCTCCATGGCTCGTTTATGGTTTCCTGAGCGCTCATGGGTATCTAAATCATCGACCGACTTATACTTCATCATGCATAACAGGCAGCAGACTCGGTCCCGGTCAACATACGAAAGAGAAGGCTCAGGTTGTGGAGCTGCCGCGCCCTTGGGCTTGGGGGAACGACGTCTTCCTCCGCAGCCGGGGGGCGCTAGCCCTCAAGAGAGATTTTAATCGGGCCTTGCTTCTCTTTGGTGGACGCGCTCCCCTGAGGACCCCCATGGCGCTTCGGCTCCCCGGGGCCTTCATTGGCAGAACCTCGATCATCGCCGGATCCCATGCTGCCGTCCGTGTGTAGCTCGTCGTGCTTCTTCTGCCATACCGCCATTTGACCAGCCATCGCCACCGGCTTCTTCGGCGCTTGCGGTCCGAGGCTTCCGTCGGCTTTTCGTTTCTTATTCTTCTTCGCTTCTGCGCTGTTGGAAGCTGCTTCAGCTGCCGACTTTGCTGCAGCCGGGGGCTCCGCGTTCACCACACGCTGGTTGGCAAACACTCGTGTATCCCAGTACTTGACGCGAATGGATGGGTTGAAGAGAGGCACAAACGAAAATTTGTCCTCTTCGGGGTTGGCATGCTGAAGTTCGGGCACAAAGACCCCCATGTGTATCGAGAATATGTTGACAGCGGCACCTCCAATGGTGAAGTTTCGCGACATTCTAAACTTGCCCAAGGCTGCCGCCGCGTCCTCCAGCGTCCAAAACTCGGCAAACCCGTATTTCAGGGACTGACTATCCGACTTATCGCGGATAAGGAAGACGCGATGCAGGGAGCCTCGGCGAGCCCCATACCCGACCACGTCTCCGGTTGGGGCCGTGGATTTGAGTTTGGCAGGCACGCCTGGCTCTCGGGAGGGGCTTGCTTTTCGGTGATTTCGAGCTTCTTAATGCCGAATTCGAGCACCTCCTCCGTCACACATGGATCCAAAGGATAGATGACTATGAACTGGGAGGCATCATTTGAAGCATCCGTTTCGCCCGTTAACAGCTCCTTGTACCCAGACCCCATTGCTGTAAATGAGGTCATGAAAGGTTAGCTGAGTCACGCCTGGGCCCTAAGCGCGGGTTCGGGAAAGGGTAGGGAGAACAAACATGAGGATTGCGCAAAGCCGCACGTCTTGCACCGCATGCGAGTCGCGTAGTTGGAGAAATCACACTGATCCACGGTTAGCATTGACAAATTTGATGGGTAGCAAACAGTCCAAGAGATGGCACGGCAACACCTACCGATGGGCAGATCCATTGTTCACTCGGTGGCTGTCGACGATCCCCATCGTCGCGAGACCTAGCAAAGTGCAGATACAAGACCATTCTATCCGATTCGGCGCCATCCCGCGAGTCTGGTACCTTCAAGATGAGTTCTGGGAAATTCCTGTCGACAAATGCGGCTGCCTGGTCGACGGTATGGAACTGTACAAAGGCCCGGCGCGCTCCTAGAAATACGGGCATCAGACAAGGCCAAGAAAACGGTGGGTGGTAAAAAGTGGCGGGGAGGTGACGTGAGCCAAACTTACCAGACGAGTTAGGCATTCGTATATCGACAAATTCCTCAGCTGAGAGAACTGACGAGCTCAACAAGCGGGATTGGAACTGTCACCATTAGTTAGACGACGGCCTAACACATGACTTTTCTGGATCCCTTACTTCGCTGAGAGCAATGTCCGCAGGTAGACCCTCTAGAATTACAGTATCGCTCGGACTCCCGGGATGACGGGCGGGGACCGCGAATAGCTCCGACTCCGACGTCTGGACCTGGAGTAGCGCTCCGGATCCGAGCGAGAGCCCGACCTCCGGCGATAGTGGCCACGTCCGGGGTCATCGTAGCGTGGCTGGTCGTAGGCATCACGAGACCGCCCCCGCCTATCGAAACCTGGTGGTCCAAGGTTACTGTTAGATGGGTTATCGTCATAGTCAAGCCTGGCAGGCCCGTGATTGTGTTGATGGTGGGAGCCGGGTCGCGAATGGTCTCTCCGATCTCGGTAACTCCTTCTATCGTCGGTGTATCCGTATTTCCTTATACCTGCGTCATCGTGGTACCGCGGATCCCCTTCTGGGAGGTCGTCGTACGGCAAGCTGGTCCTGGGAGGAGACCGAGAGTATCCTCGTCGTCCCGTGGGCAAGTTAGCCTTGTTTGCTCAAAAACCATCCCTGATTTCCGCAACCACATTTGAGTGGAGAGCTTTTGCTCTTTTTTATTTTTATTTTTCTCATTCCGATACGAGACACCTAAATTTTCTTTAGGTGTCCTCGCTCATCTCCACCATGGGCTCAGTTCAAGCTTTACCATGCCGCGATCGATAGTAGTCGTCCTGCTCGTCATACGCTCCGTCGCGAAGAGCAGAATCGTCTCGTCGTTGATCATACGCGTCGTCGTAACGAGTCCTCGCCGGGGACCGGCCTCGTTGGTGTGGGTACATTTTTCAGTTTGGGGTTCGGTTCCTGCTGACAAGAGGGTTGTGCAGCGTGCTCTGGCGATGGTAGGCGCGAGGCTACCAGCGAGGCATCACGGGGAGGCGGCACGAGATTTTGTCTCGGGGCAGGATGCTAGGCTTTTGTAATTTCCTGGGTAGATTACAAAACCAAGTCGGTATTCGAGTGGGCTGTTCGTACGTGACAGTAAGGGTTCAGAAATTTCAGTCGGAAAAGAGGAAGAGGATTGTGGAAGGTGTAAGATATGATGAAAGTCACCAGTGTCAGTCACTGCAACGAACCTTCTGTCTCTAAAGGATTAGCTAAGCAGCACGGGGCATCAGCTCTTGGCGCTCGGGGAATGGGAGATGCGGAGCCTCTTCCCAACAAGGAGAGCTATTGTCTCCTGGGCTTTCGTAAACTAATACAATTAAAAGGTTGATAAATAGTGCTGATGGGAGCTTAAAAATAAACGGGTCTACTGGACTGATACATCCATCCTCCATCGTCCTGCGCGTCGCCTGGTTTAAATAGATATATCATCCTTGTGCAGCTCTCGGCACTCGTTGCTAGAAACAAAACCCCCAAAAGTCAACCCTATCAAACGCCGACCCCTCTATATCAGCCATGGAAGATGTTTGGGAGCTTTCGGCGGAGGGATGCTATGTTGCCCTCACGCACGATTCGTTAGATGCCAAGGCTATGATGGATAAAGTTAGGAGTCCAGCGGCCGGCGCTATCGTGGTATTTGCTGGTATGTTCGCTGTCCAAAAGCCAAAATGTAGAGGAAGATAGCAAATAGAAAGGTGAAGAGGCCGCGGTCACTTTGGACACGAAGCTTACAAGATGGTGGCTCGCAGGCACGACAAGGGATAACTTTGCCGGGAAGCCCGTCAAAGAGCTTAAATACTCTGCTTACCACAAGCTCGCTCTCCAGACGATGATGACCATAGCAAAAGCCGTCACGGCTAAGCATTCGCTGAAAGGATTTGCAATGGTCCATCGCCTCGGCGTGGTCGGCATCGGTGAGGAAAGCATTCTCATCGCCGTCTCCTCGCCCCATCGTCAGGCAGCCTGGAAGGCCGGGGAAGAGGCGCTCGAGGAATGCAAATCAAGGGTGGAGATATGGAAACTTGAAGAGTTTCACGATGAGGAGGAATTTGGCGGGCGAACCGCGATGGCATCATGGGCCAGCGAGTGGAGGAGCCCTGAGCCCGCCAGGCTACAGGTAGCGCCGAGCGCTGGTATTCAGCAACGAAAAACGAAACACACGCACGAGCAAGCAACCGAGACCCAACGCAGCGGGTGTCCGCCTGTTTCCTGCTACAGTCTCCGCGGAGATGGTGATGTCGTCAGGTAACTTGCGCACCATATGGAGCTTGGGATAGATTAACTGCATGGCCATAGAGGAGAAGTATTGCAAAGTAGAGCACAGTGGGATTTCACGATCGGTAAAGACACCCAACACCTCTTCTAACCTCGTCGAAGGCATGCAGGCACGGACAGGAGGACTCAATGGAATGGACCTCGAGATAGAATGAATCTATCAATGGTAGTTGAGCTCGCACCAAACCCAACGCTGTAACTCTCCCAGTATTTCCTTTCTTAGCTGGCACATGCCGTATTTCGGCGTTGTCCTCGCCTGTTGCCACGAGGATTCTTAGCGGTCTCGGCCGCCTACGGGGAGCTAATTGATTGACTGACAAGCTCGCATTTCATGGGGCGATTGTGTGATTGACCCCTCCCCCACTTCCTACGCTCGCCCCACGCTTTCCCGTCTTGAGCAAGCACCACTTGAGTCGAGCTACCTCCATCTTTTTCCTTTTTTTTTTTTTTTTGGCCGGTCTCTTTCTTCACCCCAATCCCTCCGCTCGCGTGCCCTCATTCAATTTGAGAACCTCCCTCTCAATTTCTCCGCTTCTGCTGTCGACTCTCGACAGCGACTTCGATTGTTGCGCAGTCAACCACCCCCTCCGCGCTTCTCCTCGAAACCCCTGCTTCCAAGCTCTTGCCGCGATCGGACCACCCACCATGTCCAGACTCGCCGCCATCCAGCAGGAGCTGGACGCTCCGAGCGACGGCATCCCCTCAAAGCAGCCAAGAACCACGTCCACGCGACGTGGGCGCGCACCTTCTCCTCCGTCCCGGAGCTCTACTTCCAACCCGAGACGGTCGAGCAGGTCCAGAAGCTCCTGCGCCTCGCCCACCAAGCCCGCCGCCGCGTCGTCGTGACCGGGTCCGGCCACTCGCCCTCGCACCTCACCTGCACGTCGCACTGGCTCGTCAACCTCGACAAGCTGTGCGCCATCCTCGAAACCGACAGCGCGACGCACCGCGTCACCGTCGAGGCCGGCATCCGCCTCCGCGACCTCGGCGACGAGCTCGAGAAGCGCGGCCTCGACATGCAGAACCTGGGCAGCATCAACGAGCAGTCCGTCGCCGGCGTCATCTCCACCGGCACCCACGGGAGCAGCTTGCGTCACGGCCTCGTGTCCGAAAACGTGCTCGCCTTCAAAATCGTGCTCGCCGACGGCTCCATAAAAGAGTGCTCCCCGCCGCCAACGACGAGCTCTTCCGCGCCGGCCTCATCTCCCTCGGCGCCCTCGGCATCATCGTCGAGGTCACCTACCAAGCGATCCCTTCCTTCAGCCTGCGCTGGTCCCAGTCCATCGACACCGACCAAAAGCTCTTCGCCTCCTGGAGCCGCGAGTGGTGGGCGCAAAAAGAATTCATCCGCGTCTGGTGGCTCCCCCATACCCGCCGCGCCGTCACCTGGTCCGCCGACAGGACCGAGGAGCCCACGCGTGAACCCCGCGTCAGCTACTACGACGGCGCCCTCGGCTACCACATCTACCACAACCTGCTCTACGTCGGTCACTTCTTCCCCCGCATCCTCCCCTGGGTCGAGTGGTTCGTCTTCGGCATGCAGTACGGCTTCAAGAACGGCACCTCTAGCTCCGCCGTTCAGCCTAGCCGCAAGGCCCTGCTTCTCAACTGCCTCTACTCCCAGTACGTCAACGAGTGGGCCATCCCCTTGACAAGGGCCCCGAGGCCCTCCGCCGCCTAAGCTCCTGGCTCAACCACCTCGCCCCCGACCACCCCGACTACTGGGAACCCAATATCCCCTTCTCCGCCCGGGGCATCTACATTCACGCGCCCCTCGAGGTCCGCGTCACCAACTCCGTCCCCGCCACCCCCGAGGCCCTCGCCGCCCGCCCTCTGCTCGACTCCTCCATGTCCGACGGTCCCACCCTCTATCTCAACGCCACCCTCTACAGGCCTTACCATACCAACCCTTCCGTCATGCACCGCTACTACGAGGCCTTTGAGTGGCTCATGCGCGATCTCGGCGGCCGCCCCCACTGGGCCAAGAACTTCCTTTCCGACACCGCCGCCATCGAAACCATGTACGGCGACAACCTCACCAGATGGCGCAAGGTCAGGGACGAAGTCGATCCCGAGGGCCTCTTCGTCGGCCCCTGGCACCGCGAAAAGGTCCTCCGGGGCCCCGTCCTGCCCCTCGAGGAGCGTAGGGGCGACACCACCGAGACCAAGGACCGGACCGGTGCTACGAGGGTTGTCTTTAGTGTGCCTGAGTAGTAAACGCCTCAACACGAGGTTGTTCATTTCTTTTTTTCTTCTTTTTCTCTTTATCCTTCTCTCTCTCTTCCCCCTCAAGCTGTTTTGTATTCGTAGCGCGCTCTTGCCACGCCAGTTCATGTCACCTTTTATTTCTTCCAATGGTATGAGGGAGCTAGGGTATTACCCAGAACCTACAGGGCGCTCTCTCCAAGTTCCATGTCTGCTTTCTTTTCGTTTTATGTTCACGAGGCTACGGAATATCAAACAAGGCGGTAAATGTCCCATTTAACCCAACTCAGCTCACCACACTTGACAACACCTCATATATAGCACGTTGAAAACAGACGAGGTTACGTTGACGATGATTTCATCATGTTTTGCTTTGATTCATTAATCCGACCAATACCAGTGCCGTACTAAAGTGATAAAAAAAAGTACACCAAGGAAAAGTGTGTTATATATATGTGTAGTGTGCACCGAGGAAAAGAAGTAGCCGACCCAAGCAGCTCTTCTCCTCCTCGCACGTATACTGTTCTTTAGCGCGCTTGCCACTCTTCTCCAATAGATCAGAGAGGAAGCAACGAAAAAAGAATTCCCGAGCGGGCCAGAGATAGAGGGCAGGCGAGATAAGAGAAAGCGGGAACTCGGACGAGAGGCGATTCTGCTCGCACTTCATCGTACATAAAAAAGATGGGGAAAGCCTGGCGTCGCACCTCTTCTGCGGATCCTTCCCGAGTAGCCCCGTGAAAACAACAAGAGATGGTATCATGATAATAAAAGAAAAAAAGAACCTCGTTCCCCGGGTGGGACGGCGGGGGCAAGAAGGTGGCGTATGGAGGGGGAGGTCCACCTCAGGCAAGGGTAGACTTCCTAATACCGCATACACGCACTCCTCTTCTCTCGTCCCGACTATAAAATACAAACCCCGCTCCAACCATCTTCCACTGTTGCCCGGGGTTTTCCTAGTCGCCGCTTACAGCGCATAGTTTTCCGTATGCAAAAAGATCTCCTCCAGCTTATCGTCGCCCCAAATCTCCGCCTGCAGTCTCGCCACCGTCCTGGCAACGCCCTCTCTCATGGTAGCGGGTCCGCAGACGAACACCGCCGTCCTGCGGCCGAGGATGCCTCTTCCGTCGGGCCCGCCACGCGCCCACTCGCGGAGCATGTAGCCGAGATCGGGGCGGCCGTACTCGACGCTCCAGCCGCCATCAATTTGATGGGGCACGGGGAAGGCGAAACGCATCAGGCTCTTGCGGAACTCTGTGGGGGTTTCGGAGAAGCCGAACTCGAAGCCCGAGGGTGGGCCAAACGTGCTGGTGGGTCGGGCTTGGTCGCGGGAGGGGAGGTTGGTGGTGCGGAGGTGGGCGAGCTCGGGGGCGCGCACGGGCAAGCCCCCGCGGTTCCAGGCGGTGTTGGCCGCCGTGTCGTCGCCAACGTCGTCGTCGTCGTCATCCTCGACGGTGGGAGGCGGGATCCTGCGAGGCGAGGGAGGGGCGTAGTTAAAGTGGGGAGCGTCGCTGCGAGGCGCTAGAGGTGGGAAATGGAACTCGCGCTTTCTTCCCGCGGAGGTGTCTTCGCCGCTGTGGAAGGCATCCGAGGGCTTGTCATCGCCAGAGTCGGTTTTGTGGTCGTCCTGAGGGGAGTACACTCGGATGTTGGGAGCCGGTCCGCCAGGGGGAGGAGGGGAGGGTGGTTGTTGTGGGCGTGGGCTTGGAGGTGTTTGGTTTGCGGTAGCGCGGTGATCTTGTCATCGTTTTCAGCGCGGAGCTCTCTCTCGCGTTCGGGATCCCCTGGGCCTCGGCCATGATGAGGGCGGAGTTGCGCTTGGAGGCGATACCGGCAACGAAGCCGTCAAGCCTATCATGCAGCATGTTGCTCAGAGCACGGGTGTTCCTGTCGGGACCCTGGGCACCGATGGCTCCGCGATTCGGACGCGTCGTTGCCGTGACGAAGAACTTGCAAGTGACACTCTCGGGGGAGCCGAGTCACGGCAGATGCGGAGCTCTTCACGGAACCAGTCCATCGCCTCGAGCCGCTTGATAGCCCAGATGACGACGACCTTGCGCGTAATGGCCTTGCCGTCCCTCATGCGCTTGATGAGGTTTAGAAGCTGCGACATGAGCGCGGTGACTCCACTGCCACCGGCAATAAGAATACAGGTGTCGAAAGCCGCGAGATCGCGCCGCATTCCTCCATAGGGCCCATCGAGGAACGCTCGGTATGTGTGGAAAGGGCCCTTTTCAATGGCGGTTTCGAGAACTCGGCGTGTGAATCCGCCATAGGGCTTGAAAACAACGACGCAATCCCTGTATTCGTCACCATAATCGGAGGGAAAGTCGTCGCTGCAGAGAGAGGCGATTGTGAAGGGGTGGTTCTCAAAGAGGGAGATGCCGGGCATGCGAAGGTACACGTATTGGCCGGGCTTCCACCTCATCTGGGTGGGGATCGTAATCTTGATGGCGTTTTCTGACATCAGGGTGATGGCAGCCTCGTCGCCAACCATGAAGGCAAGCCGCCAGGGCCTTACCCAGTTCAGGTTGAAGAAGCGCATCAGGTAGCAGACAACCCAGATGGCGACACTAGTATAGAGGTAGCTCCACGACATGAGGAAGTTCTTGGTGTGCCAGAAGAGGACACCAATGTATACAGCACCCACGGGGACGTGGAGAATGACGAAGAGCTCATAGGCAATGCGCCTGATAAAAGGCAGCGAGGCAACGCAGAGCCATACGAGGGGTACCAAGCACGCGATTCCGGTGCCGTAGATGATACCGCTGCCTCCAGGGAACAGGCGCTGGAAAATGGCCATCCCGTCATCGTTCCAGACAGGCTGAATATAGAACGGCACGGCGTGGACGAGCGACATGAAGAGGCAGATGTAGCCGGCCCAGCGGTGAAAGACATTAAGCCTCTCGGGTCCAATGCCAATGAGCACGGTGAGCAGATTCGCCTTCATGCTCGTGGCGATGATCCAGGGGTCATGGCAACGGCAATCATGCCGGAGCGGATGGCGACAGGGGGAACCGTACTCGATGCTCTCCCAAAACAGAGGCTGCTTCAGGAAACAGTAGAGAACGACAAAAATGATGGCGACGAGGACAGTGGCGAGCACGGCGAGGGAGGAAAAGGTGAAGCGGTGCTTGCGCCATACAAGATCAGGGATAGGACGGTAAAAGACCCATCGAAAGAGGGCCAAGGTATCGTTGACGAAGCCAATCGACGACAAGTGGGCCTTGGGGCGGAACTGCTTCTCGCTGTCGCCGCCAACTTCGGGGAAGAATACGCGGCCATGCTCGTTGGTGCGCATGGCATGGGTATAATCGAGTTCGATGTTGTACGCTTGTTGATAGTGCTCTTCGACTTCGGCTTTGTAAATGGCCTGGCGGATCTTGTCCTGCCAAAAATGCCAGAATCTCATAAAGAGGACGGTGCCCACGAGAGCGAGTGCGAAATATGTCCATCCGAGACCATACTTTCCCGACTCTATCCAGGGATCCACGGTATTCGCTTCGACCAGACCGGGAGGGCTCGTAGGCGTTAGGGGATGAAGATGCGCTTTGCCAATTCTACTATCGTGCTCGTCGTAGAGTGCGCGACCTCAGCGAGGCCGTGATGTGGTTTGGGGCTCATGGTTGTCGGAGTTGGCTCGTTAGCCTGAGAATGGAAAGAGGAGGGAGAGCAGACAGCAATGCGCGCGGCGAAAGGAGCGCGGCGTTGGGCAGGATATCCGCGCGATCCTTAGGTATGGTAGACCATGGGAATCGGATCACAGCTATGCTTCAATGTTTTTGCGCGACCGACGGGGAAAACTGGAGGGCGAAGGGGGGAGGAGGGCGGGCGGGTTGTAATATTGGGCCGGCCAATGCAGGAGGTTGGCGAGGATTATTGGGTCGCCCACATGAAATGCGGTCGTGTAAGTTGGTCGCAGGAGGAGGCGAGTTCGCCACGCGGGAACCAGACCGAGAAAAAGGCCAAACAAAAGGCGAAAAGGTGATGACTCGCTCCGATAAAGTCCCTAGACGTTGAATTGGCCTTCCTCCTATTACCGTCTTACAGCTTCTTTGCGAGATCTCGGCCACGTTGGTTCCGGTTGCTTGCCCTTGCGCGCCGCTGTCTAAGCTCGAGTTCGAGAGGACAACAGAGAAGCGAGGGTAATTATTTCCCGAGGTCGAAGGGCGATGTAAAGGGACCCAAGAAAAAGGAAAAAGAACAAGAAAATTGGGTATTAACTAATGAGGGACTTCGAGATAACGGCCGAGAGTCGAAAAAAGAGGAGAGGGGGCGGGAGAAGAGGGGTTGAGCTGGAGAAGGACGGCCGGAGGATATAATATGGACAGGGAGCACGAGCAAACAGCAGACAGAGTTGTTCAAAGAAGAGAAAAAGGGCCCCGGTTCCTCGTTGGGGGCCGAGGGCCTGGACTATACCGTCCTTGAGTTTTGTCCGGGTATCGAACGAGTGGGAAGCGCAAGGTGGAACCAGGATCAGGACTTCCAGGTGGTGAGATGCAGAGAGAAAACGGCTGCAGGAAAGGAAAAGAAAACTGTTGGCGGGTTTGGCCCAATCTACTTGTCAATGAGCGTGTGATGGAAAGGTAGGCGAGCAGGGATGTCTGATATCTCGTCCGCTTTTGGGGGTCAACGACCAAAGAGAGAATGGCTCTCGAGAGGCAGGTCTTTTCCAGCCGGCGGCAGCAGAGAATCGGCGGAAAAGAAGTGATTCGGGGGATGAGGATCAATAGAGAATCGAACGAGAGAAAAGAAAGGGAAAAAAAGACAAGCTGGGCAAGAAACGGTGTGTACCTTGTCTATTGTCACCCCTTTGGGGGCCAGAAAGAAGCTGCAAACGAACGAAGCGCGAAAAGCTATTATCTGTTGGTCGACAGGTAATGTCAATGTTCCAATGCACCATTTCCACGAGGCGGCAGACGACCCTTTCGCATTGGCCAGAAGCAAAATTGACCGTGGTATGTCACACTCCCAGGAAAACCGCAACGAGCATGGTGTGGGCGCTTGTCTCCGCGGCCAGCAAAGGGCGATGGGTGACGAGCCCTCAAGCTGGAAAGGCCATCCAAGCATTCAGTCACAATCAATCGTGTTGTGCTGGCCCTCCCTCTCCCCACTATCCCTACCTCCAAGCAACCCTTTTTCCTCCCATGAGGGCTAGCTTGAAATGGGGATTCTGTGAAGAATTGAGGTTGGCGAGAGATGGCTGGCCAGAGCACCGAGAGAGCACTGCAAGGAATGACAGGTGTGTGCTCACCTCCAAGACGCTAGAGCAAGGGAAAGGCGGGAGCCGAATCCATCCCCCAGCCCAAGAGGTGCATGGAGCAGGGGTATGCCTGCGGGAGGCGAGGTGAGGGAAAGAGGGGGATTGGGGGATTGGGGGACATGGCGGGGCGGGATCTGCACGAATCCCACCCGCCGCCCGAAATCGACGAGGTGCTGGACAAGCAAGACAAGCAAGACAAGTTGACAAGGTATCTCGAGTGGGATCTTCTGGCGGTCCGCTACCTGGCATGTCTGGCTAGCTGGCCAAAGCACTCCCGTTGGAATGCCCACTTTACTCATGAGCGCGCGCATGTAATGCTTGGTTGTGCTTTGAAAAAAGAGCAAAACAGCGCACCGAGATAGACCGATGTGCAGACGCGAGAACTTTTCCCGATAAACTAAAGACAAGTGCGATAGCGACTACACTAAGTGTTGCTGAACGGCAAGCGACAAGTGAAAACCTGGAATGGGTCCGGGCGTGCAGATGGCGACCTTCGCGAGAACTCAAGTAAAAGGGAAGAGCCGGAATTTTTGGTTTTCCCGCAATGTCTATTATCACACTCGTTTCTATAAGTTCTTGTATGGATAAAATAGATTGAACCTGGAGACGACAGTGCTATCGACATTGACGCCGGGAACCAACAGAGGCGGCAGATCTTGATGCGCCCATCCATGGATGACGGATGATGGACCGGTTGACGGTGATCTGTGCTCCGCAGCCACCTTGCGGCAGGAGACAGCCATGAGTCCTTTTCCTTCCTTTTTTTTTTTTTCTTTTGAAGTCTTCTTTCTTTTAGATTTCCCCATCGTGGAGAGCGGAGTGACTTGGCGGAATGCGTTGAGCAGCGGCTCGATAGCTAAATACGAGCCGGGGGTGAAGGATTTGTGCTTTCTTGTAATACAGCTCGCTCCAACGGGGAGATCGAGGTGCTTATTCTTTTCACGATTTCTCGGTGCACTACATGTGCATCCACGTCGTTCGTGGTCACCAAGAGAGATGTGCCGAGCCATCGCATGAAGCAGCAAACGAAGCCCACCGCCACTGAACCAGCCCCCATACGCTACATCCATACTTGTAGATCACCAGATTGATGTACGTCCCCGGCAGGTACGACAGGACCTCCTATCATGGCGAACCCCTAAAGGAGATGATGGTTGCCCACTCCTCGAGGATAGTCTTGAGAATTGGATGCGCACCTCGAGGGTGCTGGCGTTAGACGACGAACCATTCGATCGCTGAACGAGGAGGGGAGAAGAGCTAGAAAACGCCCTCCAAGGAGGAAGGAAAAAGGATACGCTAGCGTACACAGTCACGATTGAGCCTGGCGAATGGCAAGCCAGACGTTGAAGGTCAAGCTCAGAGTCGGGGTCATCGAGGGGGCCCTTGCTTGGCTTGCTCTGTGATGTGATTCGAGGCCCACTTTAAGGTCGCAATATACGGGCGGCAAGACCCGGGGTCTGATTCGCCAGAGCTGGGTGTGCTCAACCGTGCAGCCCCCAGCTCAGTTCCACACAAGGACACAAAGGAAGATTGAATGATCCGGATAGCAATGCATCGATCGAATCCTGCTCTTCTCCCCGTCCATCAATCAATCAGGCGCTATGCTGTGCTCGTGTCGTTAGCCATCACTATTGACCATCATTGACGATATCCCTGGATTTGTGCTGGCAAGATGAGTGGGCGGGGAACCTGCCGCTCCGCAAGTGTCGGCGCCTTCAGTGCCATCACCAGAGCTATCCCCTTGCCCCTCTCCATTCCCCAACTCGCACTGCCGGCCATGCCATGTCTTTTGCTGTGTCCATTCCTACTTCCTTGTACCATTCCATGTGGGAATATGTATCTGCCGTGATTTTAGAGGCCAAATCTCTTTGTGGCTTGAGAACCACCTACTCAAGCTATCATCATGCGGCGCTGTGCGTCTCCTTCCCTTCTGAGAGCTCGTGTTTTCAATGTTCTCCCTAGCCAACTCGAAGACGCAGGGAGCATCCACCACATTGCCAATAGTCAGTTCTTGCATGGCCGTGGCCAGTGCACTTGGCGCCCCGAATCTTGGTCAATGTACTACCACGGCAAGCTCAATGATCACAGATCAATACTGCACGGAGGCGCGATGATGTGCGAATCGCTTGGGGATGCATTCTTCTCCATATTCCGTGATTCTGCACAAGAGGGTACTCTGTGATAACGCCGCGAACTCTGCCTCTTCGGTGGATGTTCTCTCAACAATCTTTAACCCACGTGCAGGACTGGTCCAATTGGTTTTATTGACAGTGAGGTCCTTTCCAGAGGACGCTATTTCTTTTGTCTTTTTTCATATTTATAACTGATTGGCGTTCTTTAACAAGATCCGTAAACAAGAGGTCTTTCCTGGTCCCTGAGTTGATAGGACCCGGGAGAAAGGTGATACCATATTTCGGCCTGTCTTCTTCCTGAGCGGCGATCTTAAAGTTGAAGAAGCATGTGGATGTCCTATTTCTTGCTTCCTAGTATCCGATAACAGCCAAATCGTCGTGAACTAGTTTCCAAGGCAGATTCGGACTGTACCTTGCAGTGTGTCGGCGCTGCGCACCCCACACACCCTCTAAACGAGCTCAAGATGGAGAGCTTGCTGGTGGGGCACGAGCTGAGAGGCCCAGCAGCCTCGCTCAGCGGAGATAAACCATTGGCCACAAACCCACGAAAAGAATGTTCCCTCCCCCACTTTCTACAAGGCTGAGATAAACTTGTCCCATCGTAAAATTCAGACACGACGGCAATAGCAGCAGAAATAGTGTCTGCCTCCCAGTTTGAGGGTATCCAGAACCCTACTCTCCCCCAAACACTCCCTGTCCGTCTGGGATAATTTTTGCGAGCGTCCTGTTCCCTCGTCTAATCAGCCTATCGACGAGTGGCATCTGCACAGGGAAGCCCCTCCCAACATTTTGCGAAAGCATCCGAATCATGGCTTCCGAAGGTGGCCCGCGGGGCTTGCCACGAGCTACCTTTGCGAAACTCTCGCCGCACCCTTATCTCCTCGCCAACCTCGAACCCTCCGACGAAGGCACCGCTCCAGCCCGAAGCAACGGTCGTGCACCTCGCGCTGCCCGCCCGCCCACCGTCAACAACTCTAGCCTCACACACGCCAACGGAAGCTCGCTCGTCCGCTGCGGCGACACCACCGTGATCTGCGGCGTGCGCGCCGAGACCATATTGACTTCCGACATACCAAACTTTAGGCCGTCAAACCGGAAAACCGAGCTCAAGGATTATGACCTCCTCGTCCCCAACTTGGAGCTGGCCACCGGGTGCTCGCCCCAGTTTCTCCCAGGCCAGCCTCCCACCACGCTTGCCCAAACTCTGAGCACCCGCGTCTATTCGCTGCTCCACGCGTCCAAGCTGGTCAGCCCCGACGATCTCAGGATATGGTACACATCGCCGCTCGACGACGAGGACGACGCCATGGCGGTCGGGGACGAAGAGGATGAATACGCGGCCGGGGACAGCAAGAAACTGGTGGCATACTGGGTGCTCTACATTGACGTGTTCTTCATCTCCTTTGACGGGAACCCTTTGATGCCGCGTGGGCGGCTACAGTGGCGGCCTTGCGAAATACCAAGCTGCCCAAGGCTCGGTGGGACCCCGACTCGGAGAGGATCGTTTGTTCTCGGATGACCCCGTGCCTCTCACCATCAACGGTATGCCCATCGCATCCACTGCCGCCATTTTCACAGGCAAAGACACAGACAGGCCGAGCGATGGCAAATTCTGGCTTCTCCTGGACCCGGATCGGCTAGAGGAGTCGCTCTGCGACGAAGCCATTACCGTCGTCGTGGACAAGAGCGGCGGCGAGACAAAGATATTGAGCATCACGAAACACGGAGGTACGATCGCGACGCCCCAATTATTACGTGGCTACGTTGTGGTCGCAGAGAAGAGATGGGATGAGTTTCGGTCAGCAATTGAGGAGTCACCTTGATACCCACCCCTAGACTGAGATAGAAGTGAGGAGACTGGTAGAAGGCCTTTATTCTCCCCCTAGAAATCAAAGCTTGGCCTTTTAGCATATATCTGCATTTTCTCCCGCAAGGTGCCTTGTAGTACAACACTCGCAAATGGGTGATCAAGTCTATTCTTATTCCTCGCAATGGTCCATTGGATCAAAGTGCGTACCCCGTTTCACACATGTGCTACCCACGTAGCGCTGGGTCTTTCCGACGCTGAACTCTAGGAGAGGAACCAACGTAAACATGTATCAACCATTCGAACCGCTCTTTCAGGTTGAAAATCTAGAGCAGTAGATACTGGCAGATAAAAAAGTGAATTCATCTACCGCTCAAGTCACCAAACTTCTAATGAAAGATGTTTGTGCAGCCCGGAAAACGCAGCGAGGTATTCGCGCCCGAGAGACTTGCTTAAGCGGGTGAAGATATGAATCCAGGAGAAAATTCGTCCCAGGTTCAAGATTTGTGTGGACAAAATACTCCTGCGAAGACTGTGGCGCACGGACCGCAAACCACACCCAATCCATGCTTTCCGAAGTTTAGCCCTTTCTATGCCCTTGATTCTCCACTCCATGCTCTTCCCTGCAGGCAGACAAACCTGCATCGTCGACTTTTCTTCCTTCGGTTTTTTTCTCCTACTTCCTTCCCTCCTTTTCACCTTCATCTGTGCCTGTCTTTGCAACACCCCCAGCGTTCCTCTGGCGTTGCAAATCATGGAGTCCCTCTCAGACACGATCTGGGATGTTGTCATCTGCGGGACGGGGCTCCAACAGGCCCTGCTAGCACTGTAAGTTTTTTCCCCCTTCTTTCCCTTCCTTTTGGAGTTCCAATTCTCCGACTTGTCCTCTCTCGGCGCACTCCTTGCTCTACCCGTTTGTTTCTGCGAAGCTCCATCTGACCTTCCCCAGCTCACCTTGTGACTGAACCCAAATACCAAAAGTGCACTCTCTCGTTCCGACAAGAAAATCCTTCATGTGGACCCAAACGAGTATTACGGCGGCCCTGATGCGGCCCTGACTCTGCAAGAGGTTTCTCGCTGGGTGCGAGACCATGCCGCAGCAGACAAGGATGGCGTCTTCAAGTCTGCATCCATTATACAGGCCCCGGAGTCGGATAGCTTGCCATCTCGAGCCTATTCCATCTCCCTCTCGCCGCAAATTATCCACGCCCGATCGGCGTTGCTCTCGCAGCTCGTATCATCCCGCGCGTACCGCCAGCTCGAGTTCCTCGCTGTTGGGTCCTTCTTCATCTACGAACCCCGGGGACGGACGAATCAACACCGTCGCTGTCAAGGATCCCATCCACCCGGGAGGCCGTCTTCCTGAACTCCAAGATTCCCGTTAAAGCCAAGCGTGCTTTGATGAAGTTTCTCAAGTTCGTCTTGGATTTCGAGTCGGAGTCTCAGACTGGATTGTGGGAGCCCCATGCCCACAAGCCGCTTGACGGTTTCTTGGAGTCCGAGTTCAAACTCGACAAGTCTCTTCGCGCTTATATCATCACTTTGACTCTAAGCCAGAGCGGCGAGATCTCTGTCAAGGATGGCCTCGCTATTATTCACCGCCACCTAAATTCCATGGGAATGTATGGGCAGGGCTTCGCTGCTCTCTACCCCAAATGGGGCGGTACATCTGAAATCGCTCAAGTAGCTTGCCGAGCCGGTGCGGTGGGCGGTGGTATTTACATGCTCGGCATGAATATCAAATCCCAGCATGCAATTGCTGCGGATGAAAATGACGGAGCATCCCTCGGGGTTGAGCTGGACAACGGCATCACCGTCAAGGCTCGCTCCCTCGTCCGTGGTTGCGATGAAATACTCGCTTCCAAGGAGACGGTGAGCAGGCTGGTGGCCGTGATCGATTCCCTCTGAAGCCGCTCTTTGAGGCGGTAGTTGAGGGTTCCCCGACACCCACCGTTGCAGCCATTGCCATTCCCCAAGGCTCACTAGAGGGTACCACCTACAAGTACCCCATCTATGCAATGGCCCACTCTAGTGATACTGGGGAATGTCCATCTGGACAGTGTAAGTTGAAACCCCCTTCGTTCTTTATACCTCCATTTTGGAATCTTCCTCTTTTCGTGTTATGATGATTCTCCTTTTGAATACTTATCTACGTTGTCTGAGCTTCGCATTGAAGACAACAACCTCTGACAAGCTGATGCACGCTTATCTTATTGTATCCTTTTGTTCGTCGCGCTCTTCGTTTCCTGAAGATTAGCTAACAATGGGAAATCCTCAAAAACAGGCCTTGTTTACCTCTCCACCCTCACAGCGGCAGACTCGAAGAGAATTCTCTCCGACGCTCGCTGCGCTGCTCTCATCAACCCCCTCACGCCCACAGAGGGAGAGGTGCCCAAGTGCCTCTACCAGTTCTACTATGAACAGTCACAAGGGTCCTCCGACCTCACTGTTGACGGGGCCACCATCACCCTTCCCACTCCCCGCTTCAGCCTCGCCTTTGAGGATGCGTCCCTGGATCCTGTTCGTGAGACATGGGAGACTGTAAATCGCATTTGGGGGAAACCGATCCGGGAGAGTACCTCACATTCGCCGACCGGGAAGGTGTTGATGACGATGATGACTTGTAGAATTCTTCTCTCCTTTTGCTTTTGCTTCTCTATCCTAGTGTTCAAATGTCCTGATGGCTCTCAGACTTGGGAGACTGGAATCACAACAGTAGTAGACATTACTTTGGTAGTTCATTTAATGAAATCAGAAACGGCTTCCTTTCATGCGTTTATATGACGTTTGTTTATTAAAAGTAGTTGTGTGCCTCACCCTTTTCATCCTGTGCCTATCCCCTATTAACTCCTTGAAGATACCATACTCCCAATCATCCCCATGCACGAAATGGCGACTTAAGCTAGCGGATCGCAAGACGGAATATTGAGATGGATTGGCCAAAGCGTACCGGCCCCCGAGTCCTGCCAATCCAAATCTCCTTCGTCTGCCATCACGCTCTGCTTATCTTGAAAAACTGTAGCGAAACCGAATGAAACAAGCAGAATCTCCATCCCAACCCAAAGTGTGCAAGTAAGAGTAGAAAAAGGAAACAACCGTAGAAGACCCAAGGGGGTTAAACGTGCTCGCCAGACCCAAACTTAGAAAAAGAAAAAGAAAAAAGGGAGGAAAATGGATGGAAATAGTTTCAAGGCTTTCAACGAGTCTTGATGTGTAGGTTCTCCAGCTCAAATCCTACCAGCATCACTGCCCTCCACACCTTCGTCTCGCTCATGCTGGGCTTCCGCCGGAATGTTTATACCGATTTCGATCTTCCCAAAGGGGGTGAAAGGTAGCCCGTGCTGTCTGACGGCGATCTCACCCTTGGTCGCGAGCACGAGGGTATGGTGAAATGCCTGGGCTGCCACCTGCCGGTCATGAACGCCTGGCTCGGCTAAGCGGTCAAATGCTACCCATCGGCGTGCGGATTCACTGTGCCCGCTATCGTTTCTTCGGTCGTCGAAGTCTAGGGCCCCCGAATCCTTGGCTTGGTCGATGGCGAAGGTCAAGAAATCCTCGGCGGCCCTCTCAAAACTCTTCGCGAGTCCGAGTCATCTATCAAGGGGTAGGCCCCGACTGACGAAGACCTACCTCCACCAGCATAATCATCTGCGGGAAAGTTTTGATCGTTGAAGCGTTCGATATCGGCGATGGCGGTACCGCGGCTGACGAGAGGGCTGGCACTGACCTGGCGGCTTCGGCGGCCCGCAGCACTCTTGACCGAGGATCCAGGCACCATAGATCCTTGGCGAGACCATGGAGCACCAGAGGACGACCGTGCCTCGGTGATGCTGTGGGCCCGTCGACCAACTTCAGGCTGAACATCGTCACCTTCGGGAAGCAATATCTCATCATTGAGCCCTTGGTCCTCTTGGTCAGCCGTCTTCCGTCTTACACGACGGGTATTTTCAGCCTCATGGCTGAAGGCCTCGGAAGCAGTTCGTCGAGTGCCACGACCTCTCTGACTGAGAAGAACCGACGTCCTCGGCGGCCAGGTTTCCTAAAACAGCGTTTCGTAGAATGGCCCCGGAGAAGCACTGGGCGAGGGGATGCGCTACACCCACAACGCCGAGCTCTTGGCCGACGTTAGCAATCCCAATTCCAAATGTAAGGTAAAAGCATTTTCCTTCGCCTTTTTCCACCCGTGTCTCCTGTGCGGTTGAGTTCAGCTTCTGATCGCTCTAAGTAACCGATTCCAGTACTTTTGTACTCATAATCGCTGATCTGGGTTGGGGCTTCGTCTACAAAGCAGACTTTGGCCTTGCGGCGTCGGCGTCCTGTAATCGTGGAGTCTTTTGATGCCCGTGGCCCTCGTATCTCCCGCGACTGCTGTCCTCCCGCCCGTTGATCACCACTTGGGAACGCTTCCGCATCGGGTAGTAAAGGTTCTCCCAGCATCATAGCATCGGTGTCCATGGGAGCCCCACCATGACTAGGATGCAGCGAGTCTTCAAACTGAAGCTGGAAATCCTCTTGGGGAGGCATATCTGGAACTCCGCTTCCTGGACCACGAAGGGGGAGATCGGGCTCACCAAGCTCAATCAAGTTACCCTCTGCGTCGACTTCGAACCCAAACCCTCCGTCAAAAGGCGCAAAGATGTCGTCGTCGCTGGGGAGGATGCCCCCAGACGCAGGCTGCTTGGGAACAGAGCTATCCCGCTCACCCTGAGCAGGTAAAGAGAGATGCTGGCTGCCCCCTCCCACTGTAGAAAGTCAAAGGCAAGCGAATTCCGCCCGGAGGACAAAGAGCTAAGACTATTATCAAGAGGGCTCATCTGGGAAAACACCAGAGATGTGCCTTGGCTCTCGCTCTCGTGGGTGCGTAGAAATTGCTCGAGGTCTTCCACTTCCAAGTTGAGGTTGGGCAGCACAAAGTGATCAATATTGAAATGGGGATCGTCGGGAATCATGTTTTGTCCGCGTCTAAAGAAAGAAAAGAAAAACCAATCGTTCGTGCGCGGCTCGTCAGTTCTTTATCCTCATCCTAATCCACACTTCACAACGAGCCTCCCTCAAAGAGAATCACTTACGATGCCTTGCCCGCCTTGGGGTCCGTCGCATTCAGCTTGCCAAATTGGCTATATAGAGTCACCATCGCAGAGCGCATCTTCTCAGCATCGTCGAGGACGTAGCGGCACTGCTCGGAATACACCCGCGTCACGCCGTACAAGAGGTTGCTCTGCAGACGAAGCGCAAGAGGGGCCCCAGGGTCAATGATCTTCTCGCACGCCTTCTTGATCTGGACCTTCTTGATGGCCTTGCGCGAGATGCTTTTGGTTCCGCCATGACGGCCGAGCGTGGCTACCCACCAGATGGTGGCGACGCCATACTGGCGATTTGTGAGAACTGCAACGAGAAGGTGGTCAGCAGGGAAATCCCGCCGGGGATGACTCAGGAACTTGAAGGCTGGAAAAGATTCATGGAGTCTGTATACTAACCCTCGTGGCTATAAAACATGATAACGAAGAATGACTCGGCTGTTGCAGCATCTGTGCCCAAAGAAGTCGTCGTTGCACGATCATAGTATTGTGGTGAAGAATGACTTGTTACTCGCGACTCTTAGTCACTCGAGAGGTTAAATCTGAATTCTCGACGCGAGATAGAAACAAAAAGGTATAGAGGCGAGAAGAGGGAAGGAACAATAGACGGTTCGGCGCGCCAGAGGGGACAGACACGAGAGGTAGGAGCAGCCCTGTTGTCTTCCATCGTTCCTTCTCATCGAAGGAAACTCTTCGTGGTAGATAAACCATCGAACGCTATTTACATTCCAGAGCGCGGATAAGAATGTAGGATATAGAAACCAGGCGCATATTTAGAGACACAAGGGCAAAGCGTTTGACCTGACTACGTCGATCGTCGGCGGGCCCTTGGCCAAAACGGAACTGTGAAAAGCATCAGGTATTATTACTATCTTCTATGAAGGCCATAAACGCCGCTAGGCTACCCAAATTTGAACAAGAAGAGAGAAAAAGGGCTGCCACACCTAGCCAATTCATCATCAAACCTACTTAGAACTCGACAATCTTGAGCATCTGCCTCACGCTCTCTGGAAGCTCATCCGGGGCGACGATGCCCATCTGGACACAATCTCCCAAGAAGAAGAAAGCCCTATCTTGGGCATAGCCAATGTAATCAAACTCATCGTCCTCCGAACCCTCCCCAGAATGGGCACTTGTCGCGTCATCCTCAGCACTGCCTTCCGCGGGCTGTTCTTTGGACTCCTCTTTGGCCGCTCCGGGCATCTGGGCTTGCACGATACCCCAGGCTACCCATTGAGCGCTGTTCGCTGCCCTCCATAACCTCGTTTCATCGAGTAGCTCCTTTACCCTGTCCTCGCTTTCCTCGTCCCGCATCTTCTCCTCGTCCCGCCAGTTACTGTACGAGGAGTTGCGCGCGTCAAGCATGAAGTCCACGATAGAGCTCGCCGAGTTGGTGTGCGGCAGCTGGGGCGTGTCGAGTGGAGTGAGCCTGGGCGTGGATCCCGCGTGCGGGAACTGAGGCCGATGGTCAACATAGGCCTTGATAAACCGGTGTTGCTCCTCCGGCGTGGGGTACTTGGTCGAATCGCAGGCAAAGGGGGCAGTAGCATCGTGGTAGTTGTAGCACCACTCAGTGAAATGATTGGCAAACTCGAGGCCTACGACATTGGCGGCCGCGTATTCAAAATCGATGACGATTAATTGCTTGTGCTTGTTGGCAGGCTGGAGAAGCGGCGATTTCTGGTCGTCGGGTCGGACTCGGAGGATGTTGCCATATTGTGTCTGTGCCTAGACGTTAATATTTCTAGGTTCCCTAATGATCACCACTGTGGCGGGGGTGTGACTTACATCGTTATGCGCAAACGTGAGGCGGTCTCTCAGCAGGTTCCCCTCGCCGTAAAACTTGTCAAGATGCTCCCGGTACTTGCCAACAATCTCCCTGAATTTCGGCCAGGAAACGCCGCAGGCATGGCCCCGTATCCTCCAGCCCTCAATGGTGCCGCTAGGTGTGGCTTCGCCCGACAAGAGCAGCTCGTCGAGAGCAGATGCGCGCTTCTCGACATTGGTGAACCAACGGTCCCAGTTCCGCCAAACATTCGGGCCGCTCTCCCTCTCCGATTCTAAGAGCTCTACACCGTCGTGGAGCTCCCGCATCCGTTTCGCAATCTGTTTCGAGGTCTCGGGATCGCGCAGGTCCCTCGGGTTGAGGGGTGAGGCGTTGAAATACTCTTCGAATCGGCCGTTGGTAAAAGTACCCAGCATCCGGGGCCCAATCTTTTTCTTGGCAAGTCGGTGAAGAACGGCCAGCTCGGACTCGCGATCGATCAGCTGGTCGACGTGGGGCCCGTAAATGCGAAGGAGCAGTTTCTTGGGGAGCTTCTTCCCGGTAGGCGTCGTAGTACCGCTCGGCGGGTTGACCTCGACAAGATCCGACTCCTTGGGAGGGGTCACCACATACACTGCGTTTGTCAAGGCGCCGCTCAGGCGCTCAACCGAAATCATTTCTCCCCATCGAGGGGCACCGATCTCCAGCCCTTGAGCTTGAGGGTATGCGCGAGCCGAATAACCTCGTTCTTGAAGACTAGCCAGGCCTGGCGGCCCTTGGCTTCTCGCTTACGCAGGGACGACGCACTGGAGAGATCTTCGGTGCTGGCGTTCCCACCACTGTAGCTCATGGCCTTGGAGTTGTCGAGCACGGCCTCACATGAAGGTACGACAATATCGACATCGAGCTGGTCTGTGTCGGACGACTGAAGCCGCTGAAGCTGGAGCGATTTCGTGTGGCCCCGTCGGAGCCTCCCAGAAGAACGCCTCTTGAGCAGTGGTGTCGAGGAAGGGAGTGAAGAAAGGCCCAACGAAGCCATTCCGTCTTCGAGGATCCTCTGGAGGCGGTCCAAGGATACCTCGCTCGACTGCGAATCTAAAGAATCTGCCCTGTCGCGGAAAGGGATCTGTTCCGCCGCTTGTCCGTTTGGCTGCTCGTTCGCCGTTTCTATGCCCCGAAGCGGATGACGCCCTTGTTTCTTCTGAGAAACCTTTTTCGCTCGCGATCCAGCCATTCTCCGACTCGCGCCAGCAGAAATTCAGCGGACTGGAGCTTATGTCGCCCTTGAGACGCCGTCTGTAGGAGATTCGGGGCTGACGCAGACATGGCAGCAGGGCCAGCCGTCGCGTCGCTACTTGAATTGGCTACGGAGTTGAGGGTGGCGGAAGAGGACGAGAGTGCAATGGAAGGGGTTTGAGCACCGTCGCCGTGCCGAGACGGTGGGTCCTCCGTGCTCGCCGGGCTGACGAGGGAGGACTTGGAGGAGGTAGCTGAAACAGGCATTCGACCACTGAGCCTCTTGGACCCTAGACCAGCATTAAATCTTTTTCGGTTCAGGTTTTCGTCAGCTTGCGTAGCTTCTGGCTCGGGGTCGGCGATTTGTACGGCTAGTGAGGCAAGGGTGTCAATAACGATCTGGTAGGCATCCGTAGATCAATTGAGATAAGCAACGGCTAATGAATGTGGTCGTGTGACCTGGGGCCGAGAAACTTGGGTACAAGTCTTTGGGGGAGACGTGCACAGGGTAGATTGAAGGTTCTTTCCCTCATCAGCTTCGCAGCTAGGCTGCAAAGTAGCCGAGAGAGCCCGGTGTGATAACAGGCAGTGAATTTCCACTCGCTCCAGAGTCCAACAGCTGCATCCATAGATTCCGTGCTGTGGCAGAAGCGAGGGTTCAAATTATTGTCCATCACAGCGCAAGGGCCTCGAGTCACTCGACTTTACACACTTAAATAGTACATTTGCCAGCACAGCGGGCACACGAGATGCTTCTCAACTTGACATGTCTCAACTTGACATGGAACCGGCCACAGTAAGGTGAACAAGAGAGTAGCGCGCGCGTCATTCACACACAAGAAAGAAGAAGAAAAGCCGCTACCCCTTCTCCCACGGCCTTGGAAGAAGAATGTAATGCGGGCGAGGTAAGAGAAGGACCAGACAGCACAGGATAAGCAAACACGCCAACCTCCAGACTTGAAGGTTGGGAAGGGGCAAAGGGCAAGGGGCAAGGGGCGCAGAAGGGACGAGAGGCAGGTCGGATGTGTACATACCTTTAGAAGTCGAGGGGCCAGAAGTGGGATGAGGAGGAGTTGTCTTGTTTTCCTGGTCGTCGGCCAAAGATTTCAGAACGGGCTTCAGCCCCGACGCAGCTTCTGTGGGAGTACTTGAAGGCATGTTGCGCTTTGGGAGAATCGAGTAGGGCGAGATACCCGGAGTGGTAGTCCCTTGCGCAGGGAACTCGAGGCAGAATCCGTATCAAGTGTCGTTTGTCAACCAAGCAATTGAGATAGATAAGGGGATTAGGATCGAGCAGGGATAAGGGAGGAAAGGCAGAGGGGGCGGAGGGGGCCGGAGATGGGAATGAGTGCGGGCAGAGACAGCTGACCAGCCAGCAGGGTATGACGGCGAGTCTATATGGATACGTATACCACAGTTTGGGTAACAGTTACTCGGGGATAGGCGACACAAAGTTATAGTTGCTTGAGCGAGGGGACGGTGGGGGACGGTGGGTTTATTGCTGGGCGTGGTGTCGCGTGGGCATTCCGCCTCTTTAGCTCGTGGCTGTCTCGAGAAAGGATTGAAGGGGAACCGTGGGCTCTTTCAAACGGATTAGGGTCTGTGTTCGATGAGGGCCGGGACCCAGAAAAAAAGACAAGCGGGCGCTGGCGCGCGCAAGGTATGCGACTCTGGATTGCTTGGTTGGACAAGTACCCGAGGTGAAGCGCTAGCCTACCTAGTCTCTCAGGAGCCGGACCCAATTGAAGCTTGTCGAATGACCCGTTTTCCGACAATGAGAGGAATAGCGTTTCGGTCTGAAAGGGCAAGGTTGACTCGTGGAATTCGTGTGGACGGAAAGGGTTAGAGTGGGCTAGAGGGGCGGTGGGTTGGTATACTAAATATCTCGATGACGGACGGCGGGGTATTCATTGACCTTTTGTGGTCTCTGGTGGGTTGATCGATGGACGTGAGCTTGAGGAGAACGGAACCAAAAAAGAAGACGACGCGTACAACGCTCGAGTCCGAGTTGCGACCTTGTTTCAATTTAAGGGTTTAAAGTGAACCCAGTCGGAAGAAGAGAGGGAAAGCAGCAGCGGAAAAAGAAAAAGAAAGCAAGAAGAAATACAAAACAAGGGACGACGTCTTGGACAGGTCAGGAAAAGTGAGGTCAGAGGTCGTGCATGGTGGGATGTGGGCGGTGATTGGGAGAATGTGCGCTAAGAAAAAGCAATGGCGTAATGCATTCTGGCAGGCATCGGTACACCCAGATTTTTGCATGTGGTTGTTCGGGTATGCCCCTGCGCAGCTCGAATCGAAAAGATTTGATGGACAGGAGGGTTCAAAATGCTGCATCAATCGTTCTAGAATCAAAGTACCTCCCCAGCCCCGAACTCGTACGCGTCAATACGTGGATGCAATGGATCGATTCAATGTTCTTCAAGGTCCTTCCAACCTTGGCGGGCGGCGATTCCGTCAAGGAAGGGGCGGGATGCCTACCGCAGCACGAGATAGATCAAATGATCGAGCATCTCTGGATTCCATTTGAGCCACCGCCTCTAGCTCGCGACTACTCGGAATACAGGTAATACTCTGGCGTCTGTTTGGTCGAATTCCTGATTTCTCATCACACCCCCAGCATGGGAGCCCGGCAAGACACCCCGTCTGTGGCTTTACGGGCCCCCATCCTCGCATGCCAATTAACGAAACCAGGCCTATCAAGCTTTGCGTGGGCGGGCAGCGCACTAATAATACGCTACACGGCGCTCGATGGTTCTCGTGGCCAGCCCAAGTGGCTGGTGACGTAGTTGGTTGTGCTTTTGCCCGGAAGCACTTTGCCCCCACGATTGATGTAAGCCGAGAAACAGCATCCAGGTCCTCACACAGCCTTCGAACACGACAACTATGATCCAATAGATCAATGGGTGGATATCTATTTAGCAATGATTGAAGATCGTAGCCCTCAAGTCGCAGTGAGTCTTTACAACTATGGAGCCCGACACTGCACACTTACCGCCTCAGTACGAAACGCATGGATGGATGGGAATTGAGAGTCGATCCTCAACAGGCGAGTAAGAGACATCCTGCTGTGCACCCACATTTGATCCATATGCATGTACCTCGCACGCCTTTTGAAGTATGAGAGCACTCCTCGGTCACCATTTGGAGTAATCCAAGCCCAACGTCGGCTTGAGTGAGTAGCCATAGCCAATTGATATTCCTTTAGGCTAACGAATGAGCTTGGCTGTGAAAATACTACACAACTCGGAAAAGCAAATATTCCCCAAAAGTAATGGGTTTTTCTTGAAATAACAATTTCCCTGAGATGCACGTCTCGTTTTGCATGCGATGCGCAGGCCTAGATCCCAGCCAGCCTCTGCGTTGATAGCCCGTTGTTGATTAATTGGCCATTGTTTTGCCTCTTCTTCTTCTTCTTTATCTTCTTCGTCTTCTTCTTCTCCTCATTGGCATTGATTCCCCATGCGCTCCGTCCATGTACGCTCTATAAACAGTGGGTATATTCTACAGGGATGAATTAACTCGCCAATGTCAGGCGAGTGTTCGATGCAACGCAAATACAGCCCTCGAGAGTCGAGTTAGCGCAAATGGCCCCCAAAGCCCTCTTGTTCCATCGCCCATTGCACCGCTGCCTTGACATCGTCCACAATAACCTTCGGCTCATACCGAACGGGGCCCGTCGTTTTCCCCGGGAAGGTCTCCAAACACCGGTTCGGACAAGAACAGACTGCCAGTAGGTTCCCAAGGGGCTTTGGTATTCGTTGGCGCCGCGTATATCGCTCTCGGGATTGTCTCCGACCATATAGACATGGCAGAGCTCCGGGAGCGTTTCACCCCATGGCCTCCGCGCACGAGTACTTCTTGGCGGTGGCTGTTGAGAACTCTCTCAGCATACTCATAAGTTTCCCGAAAAGGCTTGCCAATCGTCTTGCTTTGCAACGTCTGTCCGTTCGTGATCTTATGCCAGATGCCAGCCAGCGCAGCTTGGAAGGCACCCTGGCCCAAGCGGGGCTGGTGGTACGTAGTGGCCCAGAAGACGTCTGGATTGGAAAAGTAGAGCGGAGGCTGTTCGTGTTGCTGCCAGCCTCCGTTTGGTGCTCCGTCCGCCCCGTTCTTATGGGAAAGCGAACCTACGACCCCTCCTTCGGACATCATCAAGTCCATGATTATTTGAGAATCTAGCGCCCAGTCTCGAGGGTCATTGAAGACGAAGATGGCATCAATTTTGAGGGCATCCTCTAGCTTCATCTTCCCATCCCAAACGGGTTTCGGTAATGGTCGCGCCGTATCCTTGTAAACCTGCTCCATTAGAGGATCAAATGGCCAGATATCGGGGTTGCTGTGCAAGATGTCGGCCGGTATAACCACGTTTTTGAAGCCATACCTGACAAGAAGGAACATGCATTAGTATACAGCGAACCGAGTAGACGGTACGAGGAAAAGGACCCAGAGGGGCGCTTACGTTTCTGCAATCTCCCGGCACTTGGACGGGACGGCGCCTGTGACGAGTATCGTGCCGTCACGGAGCGTCTTGCCCTCCGCAGCGAGCTCCTGGAACGGAGTATGGGACTGTACAAAATTGGCCATCGTCAACGGGACGCCGAGCTTCAGGCTCAGGTCGGCGACTCGTTCGGACTCATGCTTGCCGCCCCCATTGGTAAGAAGGATGAAGGGGATATTGTTATCATGCAGGAACTGAAGTGTTTCGCTAGCCCCGGGAATCGGCTTGGCTACGTGAAGGAGGACTCCGTCGATACTATTGATCGTAAGAAATGCGCCAAAACGTTAGCTTAAGCTTTAAACTTGTATCACGACTATGCGACAGCTAGGACGCGGATATGGAATTTGTGTACGCGGTGCGAGTGTTCTTCCCCCAAACGCATGTGAAAGCGTGGCAAATCGCTTAATCATGATTGGGGGAAGGTCCGGGACCAGTGCGCGGGGCAGAGCTTGGGGAAGTGGTGAGGGAACAGAAACAAGGGAAGACGGGCCATACTCAAAAGCAAAAGCGAACCGAGGCGGGTGGCCCAGGGGAAAATGCTTGACGGATTGCTTGTCGAGGTATGCGATTTGTCGCAGAACGAGGTAGAGAAAGGCCGGCGCCTGCACATGGATCCGGACGGTGCACGCCATGTCTGCTGTGTTTGGCAGGAAGCTAAACGCGGAGCTGTGCCACGCACAACCTGGGGCGCCGTGGCGCGAAGAAGACGGCGGGAGACGAGGGCTCTCATTGTCGGAAAGCTTCTTGGGGAGATATTATAGCGACTTTACAAGAAAATCCATCACACAGATAGACTGGAGACGGAAAAAAACACTATATGGCGGCGGAGGAATGTGTGGGGTAGTAAGTTGGAGGAACAGGAAGCAGGATGGTGATCAGTCTTGAGCTTGGGGGAAGCTTATTAGTGGCAGCACTGACTCCAACTGTTGTTTAGTCAGTTTGTGGTTGGCCGTGCTGAATGACGTTGGCTGTGATAGCGGGCAGGGGCCACCCATGAGCTTCGGCTGGAGACAGTGGTCACCGAAACAGCCCCAGGTTCAAATCGTCGTCCCAGTCTTTCTCAGCATTCAAGGAGGGTCAACAAAAGAGGAACAATCAATAGGAATTCACATGTCAATCCTTCTAGCATCACTCTATCGGAAAACAAGGCCAGAGACCAAGAAGACGGGATAGAGAGCGCGTTCGTTTCACGGCAGGCCATAGGAATACTACATGTATTACCCTTGTCAAAACACTACAATTTTGTCCAGCGTCTATGTCTAGTTATAGTACAGGTAAATGTCACAGATATGTGCCGCATGGTCTTGATATACACGGACCCAAAACAACGAAAACGGAGTGGGAATGGTCTCCTCCTCTCTTCCACGCGCGACTGCCCTCCACCACCCAACGCCCCTCGCGGAGCTCACACCAGGCTGCGATTGTGCATCCTACTTGCTATCGTTCAAAATTTCTTTTGTCCCCTCCAGTCCTTCATGTGGTTGAGAATTATCTCGGCTCCCGCGGTAGGAGAATGCTGCCTGCCCAGAGCTTCGACAAAGTCGCCGTCGGGGTCCATGAGGTAGAAGTATACGCTGTGATCAACCAAGTAATCCTGGCCTGGCTTCACGTTGGATGGCGTGCTAAAATATACCCGGTACGCCTTGCACATAGCCTTGACCTGGTCGTAGGTGCCCGTCAACCCAACCAACTTGGGGTGGAACTCGGCAAGGTACTCCTTGAGTTCCTTGGGCCCGTCGCGGGCGGGATCGCATGTGACAAAGACGGGCGTCAGAGAGTTGGGGCGCTTTTCGTAAACGATATCGAGCATCTCGGCCATCTTGTCGAGCTCTTCGGGGCAGATGTCGGGGCAGTGCGTGAAGCCAAAGTACACCTACACCAGGTCGACGATTAGTGCTCGTCCAGAAATTGATGGCGAAAAAGCCTCAGAAGGACCGCGGGAGGGGTCAAAGTTTACCAGAGAATATCGCCCCTTCAGTTCTTCGTGGGTGAACCTGTTTCCATGCTGATCCAGAAGCTCAAAGGGACCGCCAACGAGAGGCTTGCCTGCGCCCTTGTTCGCCTCCGCGATACGCTTGCGCTGCATGCGCTGCTTCTCAAACTCAAAGTACCATACCAAGCCACCGCAGGTGACGAGGAAAAGAATACCAGCCTTCAACGAAAAGGGCTAAGATTCACACACAAAGAATTAGCTCCCTATCCCTGCTACGCATTGTCGCGTTCGGAGAAACTGGGCACGGTGATGCGCCGGGTGTAAGCTGCCTGTTAAACATACCCCGATGGAATATCTACTCTTGGCTTCTTCGACCGTCTTAAATGTCCTCTTCTGCGTGAATTGGCTCTGTGTGAACCGCTGGGGGAAAGCTTGACCCACACCGGGAATCGCTCGAGCTTGCGTTGTTCGGAGGGTCTTGGTCGAGAAGCTTCGCGCCTGGCAACACGTCGACTGGCGGGCGGCAGACTGGAGTGCTCTCCAGCAAGACACGGGGCGCGAGACATCTTGCAGTAGGTCAAAGGCGGCTTTTTACAGTAGATTGGCCGATGCTATCGCTGGGGAAGTGTTGAAAGCCGCAAAAAGGTTGACCATCGAACGCTCAATTTCCAACATCAGGCGATTTGAGAAATTCATCCCACCACCAAAGCACCATTCAATGTCGGGGAAACTTCGGCTAAAATGCCAGCGCCACATCCCTTGACCGAGCTCACCTTCCCCAAACAGGGACCTCTCGAAAAGGAACAAGCAATGCTGTGTGGGAAGCTTTAGCCATGAGACTAGAAGTACATATTAAATTTATCAATATTTCAAACTAAATATTTAATAGGCCATCACATTCAGTGAGAATATAAAGAGCATCACAAGGGGTTTGGTAGTTTTGTTTCATCCATCTATCATTAGTAAAGCGTTTTTGCTTCTGATAGGGTCCCCCTTCTTCCCTTCTACACCAGCATAAGCCTCTCATCGCCACCTTGACATCTTTCTTGCCTATCCTAAGCGCAAGGCTCCATTTTATCTCTGCTGCCTTTTCTAGACAACTGGGGATTGCCCACGTGAAAGAAAAACAGAAACAACAAATCACAAATCACAAATCACAGATGAGTTCTTAGGAGGCAAGCACCACCATGGAGCAATCACATTCTCCTCAGCCCCAAGCTCTAGGAGAGCCTAGGTTTGAGCTCATCCCAGACAACAATGGTGACCTCTCCCTCAAAAGTGCGGATCTCGCCCCTCGGAGACAGCGAACATTCCACCTACGTCTCTCGCTCCCGGGCCCTCGCCAGCTCCCTCGGAGAAGGTTGATACCGCAAACAACGAACCCGCTAATCCAAGGCCCGCCATGCCGAAGAAGAAGGGCTTAGCCTCCACCGTGAAAAAGACGCCCAAGCGCGTCAAAGGGAAAGGGGAAAAGGCCCTGGGAGGGCGACCCAAGGGTCAACTATCCGCGTTAGGAGGTGGCGTCGGCTCCGAGGTAGAGTCGGACAACGGACCGTACTGCATTTGTCGTGGGCCAGACGATCACAGGTGGATGATCTGCTGCGAAAAGTGCGAGGATTGGTTCCATGGGCAGTGCGTTGACCTTGATAAGGATATTGGAGAGACGCTCGTCGAGAGGTTCATCTGCCCCAACTGCACGGATGGAAGGCTCTGCGTAACCCGGTACAAGAGGATGTGCTCGCTCGAGGGCTGCAAGAAGCCAGCGAGGATTTACGGCGTCAAGGACACTAGCGTGTTTTGCTCAGATGAGCACGGTCACCAGTGGTGGGAGAGGATGGTCTCATCGCTCCCCAGAAAGAACGGTTCGACGCCTTCATCCGCAGATACCCTCACTCAGGAGGACTTCATGGCCCTGCTAGCGAGCACTCTGGGCAGCGTGGATAAGACCACGGGAACCTGGTCGCTATCCAAACATCCATTTATCAAGGGACCCGGATCCGATGGAGAGTTGAAAAACGAGGACACCCAGAACGGAGACGTGCCACGATATCTTAGTGAGGAAGAGGAGCTTTTCGTCCATGCCTCCGCCTCGGACCGCTACACACTTGCCGAGGAAATTGTCCAGTGCAAGAAGATGCTCCAGCTTCTCGACATGGCCAACGACAGGCACAAGGCCGCCGTGGCCTCGGGCCGCCTGACATCCGACATTTGCGGCTACGATGACCGACTGGACACCGTGGCGGTGCAGGCCCCCTTTGCCGCCTTTTGCAAGACAGACGCGGGCAAGGCCATTTTCCAGTCGGGGAGCTCGGAGAGCCTACGGGTGCGGAGGGTGGGGATGGGGATTCCGCCATACGCGGCATGTGCGAGAAGAAGCGTTGCAAGCCGCACCACGGCTGGTATAACATGCTATCGCGTACCGTACGCGCGCAAATCAAGAATCTCACCGCCGAGGCCAAGGAAAAGTTGGACGAGGAGACGGACGTCAAGGAAGCCGCTGAGGAGAGGTTCTACCGGAAGAAGGCTGAGGGCAACTGGGTGGAAGTCATCGATCACACTGGCCCTCTTGACGTCAATGCTCACCAACCTGTCGACCCTGCCAAAAGAGATGGCGATGTAGATGTCGAGATGGGATAAGGGCAAAGCAAACAGCCAGCCTATATCCCCCTGTTTTTTTCTATCTTTTTTTCCAATCTTTTTTTCCAGTATTGCATGCGCAATGCGACAGGACAAAACTGCGGGTGCCTTGGAAGGGAACAGCATCGATGAAAAGGCAAACATGGAGTTAGGGAGCGTGTATTTAGCTAGGGAGGGAAAACGAGGATAATCATGCGAAGACAATGACTTGATAAAACCGGTTCCCGAATGCGAAATCAAAGTCAATTCTTGACCAGAAGGACAAGCTTTGGTGGTGGTTTTTCAACACCATGGAGATATTTAAACGGAAAGAAGAGTGAACACAAAAATGCCCGATGCAGTGCAGGCTAGTTTTACGTCGCTTGTCTATCTATGCATCCAACTTCAACTTCTCCAGCATGACATCTATCTTTCCTAAAAGAATCTGGTAGTTTATCGCATCCGAGTCGAACTCGTCCTCCACCACCTCCCCATCTAACGTCCTAATCACACCATCGCCTTGGTCAACCTCCTGCGCTCCCTCCGCAGGTATCGGTGCTGCGCAGTGGCGGTTCCTCCTCCTTCTCCCGTCTCTCCTCCCTCTTTCTCCTCTCCGCCAACCGTCAGGGCGGCTTGATTGGCCAACGACTCCGCCAGCGACACGTCGATCTCGCCCTCTTCATCCATGATGTTCTCCAAGCCAGCGTCCTGAAAGCGCAACCGAAAGCGCTCGGACAAGTAATAGCGTATATCGTCGAGCAACTCGATGGTGTCCGTCTCCTCGCGCTTCTGGATACGTTCCGCACTCTGCCGGATCAGGTCGGCAAACTCGTCATCGTCGATGTAGTCCTCGAGGCGGTACGCGAGATACCGCGCGGCAAATTCTTCTAGCCTCTGGACGCGGAGGTCCCAGGCGGCATGGATTACGTCGTAGATGTTGATCGGCTCCGCCTCCACGGGCGGAGCGTCGCCCGCGCCGGCATTCTCAGCGGTGGCGTGGGTCCGGTCGACGAGAACGTTGGAGTTGCCGCTGCCGAGGGCGCTGATGACGGTCGCTGCCTTGGTCTTGAGCTTGTCTAGGAAGAGCATGTCGGCCGCGTAGAGCAGGTCGAGGCCGAGCTCGAGAGGGCAGTTGGCCTTTTCGGTGTAGAGGAAGGCGAGTATGATTTCCAGGACCTCGGGAACGCAGTCGAGCGTGATGATGTGGAGATGCTCCGACTCCTGCGCCTCGCGAAACTCGCTCGAGAACATGGTCTCGAAGTAGGGGCTACGGATGAGCATGGCTTTGTGTGCAGGGTAGAGGACGACTTTGCGCGGTTCTTGGCCCCCGGCTTCGGTCTCGTTAGCAATGGGACCAACTGGGATGGCGCTAGCGGGACCCTCCGGCGGCGGCGGGAGAGTTGTTGTATTGTCATTCTTTTCTTTCTCGTCGGAAACTGGTGCGCTTTCCTCGTACGCGGCAAGCAGGCAGTCTGCGAAGATGGCGTTACTCTGAGGCCACTTCACCTTGTGCAAACTGTCGGCATCAACGACCATCTTATTCCCTACTATAGCGGTATTGAAGAACTGCTCAATCTGTTCCTGGGCCCTATTCACCTCATCCTGGTACCGTTGCCGCACAAGGCGACGGTCGTTCATGGCCAGGATGGTCTCCCACAACGTGTCGATTTCGAGGTCCTTTGTGATCTTGTCGATGCCCTTGAGCACCTCCTCCTCCGTGCTCGTGCTGCCAGCGTCCACTAAATCTCGGGGCACCTCTTGTAGGTACAAGTATTGAGTTACAATCCTAAAAGCTTCGATGGGGATCGAAGGCTGAATCTTCCACGTCTCGGTAGCCGGTGCAGCTGCTAGTTTCCTCTGAAAATAAGGGCTCCGCGCGTACAAGAGGAACTTGTGAAGGCCAAAGCCCTGTCCGTTGGTAGAGACTGTGATATCTGACGTTTGCGGGGTGAGGCGCGAGAGCAACGAGTTCAGGTGCGCCGACCAGGCCTGGAGAGGGTCGGTGGACTTGCTGAAATCGTACTGTAGCAGAAGGTTGCGTATCTTGTTGTTTAACGCATTGTAGACGCAACGCTCACCCTGAAAGGTGTTCCGCTCCGCCAAAGCACCTAACGGTTTTATAAGTAAGCCATAGTTTCAGCAATATTTACTTTCCCAAGGACCACTATACCTGATTCTAAAAGAAGCTCCACCAACTCGTAATGCCCGCACAGACTGGCCTAGCATGTATGATTAGAACTCGAATGTACGCTGTTCTATAGGGAAAGGAAGCTTTTTTGTCTTTTTAAACAACACAGACTAGGACGGAATATTGGGAACTCACAATGATGAGGGTGTGTAATCGAACCGATCTCTTCCATTGATATTCACACCAGCGGAGATAAGCTCTTGAGAAGTTTTTAAATCGCCTCTACGGGCGGCTTCGACCAGTTGGTTAAACTCATCAGAGAGATCCAAAGGATTCTCGTCCCGCAAAAGACCGTTCTGAATCATCTGCTTTTCTTGGTAGAGCTTGAGCTCCAGCTCGTGCTTCCGTAACACCATTGTATATACCCTCGCGGATGGTGCGATGGCGGGGTGTTATTAACCCCGGAGAAGTTCGTAGATCGCCTGTGGGACGAGGAAGGACGGAGAATGACGAAAGCAACCGGTTTATATATATATATACGGCCTTGGAAAGCAGATATCGAGAGATTCTATAAACCCCCAAAATGAATGAAATAATTCATTCCAAGCCAAGACAAAAATTAAAAATATATTTCCTTAAAGAGTGAGACATCATATACACCACGTCGTTGGCGACGGTGGCGGCCGCATTAGTAATGGCAGCGCTGCGGAGTTTGTCGAGTCGTGTGCGTGTGTGCCAGATTTTGGCGGGGCAATAGTATTGATGGAAGCGGATCATTGACTGACTTTGTTTGTGGGAATGCTTGTACCAGTGTCCCCGACCAAGTTGATTCACCAATTTGATCCATTTCTGTCGTCGTTGCGGTCCGTTTCGAGGGAGCCCCACTATTATGCGGGGTGCACAGGCCATAATTGGGTTTCGGTTGCTGGAGAGTATCAATTAGTCTTTATCGATAAGCGGTAAATATTCGGGTCGGCTAGGTGGCTTCCCGTTGCTGGGACACCCGCTATGCAAGCAACATTTTGTTTACTCAGCAGGGGTATCGTCACATCCAAAGGAACTTAGCTCAGACTTCATTCACGGTTGCTGCACATTTCCACTTTGACACCGCCAATCTTCCCCCATAACAACATAACAACACCAGCTTCACCTTCACATTGTGGCAACAACTTGTCTCTCAGGTTGTGCTGGAGCTGTCTTTGTTGTTCTTCTTCTTCTTTACTAACCTTCACTTCTTTTTCATGAGCTTTACTAGTCTATGGGTGTTAGCGAATAGTGCAGACTTGTGGTACTCTAGTATCTAGACATTTTCCCCCAAAAGATGTCTACAACAACTTCTAGCGAGTACGATGTGCTCGAAAAGATTGGTAAGTCCTTCATTCAAGAAAAGAAGCACTGGATAAGATGTCGTCGAGTATTCCGGAGCCCGCCCCGTCCCAATATCCTCCCCTCGTCAACTTCCGAAGCTTCGTCCCTGCTCCTCATAACCTAGTCCGATTTCGCCGAGTTGTCGGTTCCCTAACGTTGCGTTGTTCTTCTAGGGCATGGATCATTCGGTATCATTCGCCGTGTGAGGAGGAAGTCCGACGGTCTTATCCTCTGCCGTAAAGAGATCAACTACGGCAAGATGTCGCAAAAGGAGCGTGAGCAGCTCCACGCGGAATTTCAGTGCTTGTCCAGCCTGCGCCACCCGAACATCGTCGCGTACTATCATCGGGAGCACCTTAAGAGCCAGCAGGAGCTTCACTTGTACATGGAATACTGCGGAAGCGGCGATCTGGGCCGAGTCATCAAGGACCTCACGAACAAGGGCCAACGGGCCACCGAATCATTTGTTTGGAGCACATTCTCACAGCTCGTGGCCGCGCTCTACCGATGTCATTACGGCATTGACCCTGCCGAGATAGGAACTGACATCTTGGGCATTGCCTCCGGGGCTCAGAATCAAAAGGCGCCCGAGGGTGGCGTCGTAATCATGCACCGAGACCTAAAGCCGGAGAATGGTAAGTCAAGCAAGATTTCTCTCTCTAATATGGAGCGTTACCGCGGTGATTGAGGCTAACACGCGGACTTGCTCTCTTATTGTAGTATTCCTCGGCAAGGATAACTCTGTTAAATTGGGCGATTTCGGCCTATCCAAGATGATAAAATCACACGACTTCGCCTCAACTTACGTGGGGACTCCTTACTACATGTCGCCGGAAATCTGCGCGGCCGAACGATACACCCTCAAATCTGATATTTGGTCGCTCGGATGCATCATCTACGAGCTCTGTGCTCGCGAGCCCCCTTCAACGCCAAGTCGCACTACCAGCTTGTGCAAAGATCAAGTCGGGGAAATACCCTCCATTGCCCGATTGCTACTCGCCTGAACTCACGTCTACTATCCGAGAGTGTCTGCGAGTGAATCCGGACGAGCGTCCGTCCACGTTTGACCTCCTCCAGCTCCCTATTATGCGTCTTATGAGGAAGGAGAAGGAAGTGTCAGACATGGGCAAGTCGCTTAAGATGCGAGAGGCAGCCTTCCTTGCCAAGGAGGCTGAGCTTGCTCAGCAAATTTCGGCGCTCGAGTCCACCAGGGCGATGATGCGTGAAGAGATCAACACAAACCTGCATCGAGAGTGGGAAGTGAAGGCTCGTCTCGAGATTAGCAAGCAAATCAACATGGAGGTTGAGAAGTTGCATCGGCAGTTTGATGCCGAGGTTCAGGTCCAAGTTGAGATGGAGCTGAAGCAAAGATTGGCCCTCAGGGACACGGACACGGCGCAGGCAGATGCCATCCTGGCTCTCAAGGGGGCCCAGCCCCCTCGTCCTCGTCGTCTGCGTCGTCTTCGTCGGCGTCGTCGGGCCTCTCCCTCTCCGATCGCACCGATACCGACTTGACGTCCGCCACCACCATTTCCGACCTGGAAATCCCCAACTCGCCTCCCAAGCGTGGTCTAGGAACACCCATGCGTAGAGTGCAGACCATGTTCGCCGGCCCCGCCGGAACTCCGGGGATGTTGAAATGTCGGAGCCCTCTCCCATGGCGATCTCGTCGCTGTCGCTTTCTCCTCGTCGCAACGCCGCGATGAAGCCTCCCACCGTCGGCAGTGCCAACATCTTCAAAGTGGGCACGCAACAAGCGAACGCGGACCTTCTCTGGAACGTGCCCCGGGATTCCAAGACGCCCGACTCGGATGACGAGGATTTCCTCCCTTCTCCCACAAGAAATATCAGGTCGAACAAGAACCCCTTTATGGCTAAGAACAGGCCCACGCTCGCCTCCAAAATCTCCAATAAGCCGCTTCCCATGATTCCATCCATGCAGATGAGCCCCGAGGGGCCCAAGGGCGGGTTGCTAGATCGGCCCACCTCCCCCAACCGCCGACTTAGCAAGATCCCGTCCGCGACGAACCTCGGCCACCGGGCGGCGGCCGATATGACGGGCCAGCTGGGCAGGAAGCCTTCCGTCAAGAAGGAGGAGCTCCCCTCGGCAAAGTAGCGGCTAAAAACAACATTCGCGGACGCACGCTGGTGGAGCTGCAGCAGGCGCGTGCGGGCGGCCGGCCTCTTTCGGCGGTCATCGCCCCCGGTGGCGAGAATGTGAGCCCCAAGAAGGCATCGGCGTCCAAGGACCGCGGCGTGCCGGCTCGGAGAGCTAGCGACACAGTATCCGGCTGCGTAGCGGTGTGGGACCCTGAACGCGACGAGATGCCGAGCCCGTTCCTGGTGCGGACTAAGCAACAGCGCGTGCGGATCTAGGAGACCGGCTTCTCGTTTGCGGTACCTTCCAAGGGTTCTACCGGATGAGAACTGAGGAACGCGGTACCGGGTTTCCCGGGACACTTTTCCCAACCACGGCTTACCGGTTCTAAAAGAACTGCATGACACCACGATGGGGTGATGGGGGACGGGTAAAAGCGAGCTGGGTGGATTAACCCGCTTCGCTTCTCCCTCCCGCGAGGGGCTCTTCAGCCCCGCCGGTATTGCGTTATAGATTGGCGAGCAATATCCTCTGGCGCGTCGTTCCATTTCTCTTTTTTCTTTCCTTTTTTTTTGTCGCCCTTTGTTGAAACATCATGCAGACACAGACATGTCTTGCCATACCTTCTTTTTCCTTTCACATTTTCCTTTGTCACATGGGCGAACATGGCGAAAGAAACTGCAGAATGATGGGGCGATAATGAGATGGCCACGTCAGTGAGCAATTTAAGTGATGGGGGCTACGCAGAGGAGCTGAAAGGGACCAACAAACCAGCCAAGTCACAGTCACAGTCACAGCGACTTGAGTATCTCTACCAACAACCGACACTTAGTTGTTTGCCTCCTTCATTACCGCCCTGCTTGATTTTATTTTTACGATACCCAGATGGAGCAGGCAGGGCATCTGAGCTGGACCGCGATTTCGACTCGGAAGGAGTTGGGGAGCAGTGGCTCCCGTGGTATCAACATGGCGGAAACTTCGACGAGGCTCCAACCCTACCGCCAACAAATATGGATGAGGATGCGGGTGGCCTGGAGGGGAGAAGGGGTGGAGTAATCGAGGAAGGGGAAGGATGATTCTGAACTTTTAATGATGGAAGTTGTGACAAAAATGGAAAACGGAGGGGCGAGGGGCGAAGCAAGCGGTTTGCTTCTTTTCCTTTGTACCAAGAAACGGATCGAAATGCATTCTCTCTCTGGCGTTTAAGGAGTGATGAGAACGATCCTAGGAGGGCTTGTCAGGAGTTTTGTTTTTCTTTTTCTTTCGTTCTTCTCAAAAACATCTTCATTCTTTACGTTTTTCTCTCTGCATTGCATCTGCGTATGCGGCCTTGGGGGTTTCGTCTTTTCGATGTCTTCTCGTTTGCCTTTTACTTTTTCTCAGTCCCTTTTCTCATCCTAAACTAGCTGATGCTGGTGTTTAGTATGAGATTTGCCACTATTGGCTTGAGGGGATCACCGAGAATCGTCAGGGAGTGGGGACCCGTGATGTGCTGCCTTTGGGTCACACGGCCACTTTCTCGTTCCTTGACGCCTCCCGGCGATGTAGTCTTTCTTTTACATCTTGTTCTTTCTTTTTTTTTTTTCTACCATCTCCAATCTCTTGAGAGACTTTGTTGTTCATTAAGGGAGCATAGAACAATATGCACACACATCTCTCGACATGTCCCTATTTTGTGCTTGTAATCCGCCTTATGCCTTTGTATCCGCGTGCTCTTGTGTGTTATGTGTTCGCTAGAGGCGTAGTGCGTCGTGCGTTGCATGTTATGCTTAATATTCCCGCAGTCTCTACTTCTCCCATCACAGCTGCCCGTCGTCTCGTGGGGGCAAATAAAGGATAGCAGGTGAGGATGAACCCACTCACAACATGTTCATCATATCGACTTGCAGAAGTGGTATGCCTCATGCATGGCCTGACTCTACCGACAGTGCCGTATCACTTTTGCGTCCCTAATGCTTCCAGCATATGCATAATATCCGAATAGGCGGAGGTGGGTGGGTGGGCCGATATCATCACGTCGTATGTGCTTGACCGAAAACAGCAAACGCATTGGATCGTCATCTCAGATCTCGCTTGCGCCTCACAACTCACCGGGGAATCCTCCCCGCACGCTAATAGTTTCCACCAAGATAAAGTGAGGAGAGAAGGAGGAGAGACCAAAAAAGCAAGTCAAACATGGGAGTCTTGCCTTTGTTGTCCCGGACCCTCACCCTTGGACATACAGCAACAAGAGCACGGTCACATCTTTCGACTAGGGCCCGGGAGAGAGACAAGGCAAAGAGGGAAGGACAGAATGTGCCCTGATCACTCGCCTATGTGGAGAAGGGAGAAAGCGGGATTTGAAGTGGGCGCCTCGCATCTTGCTCCAAGCACAAGTGTCTGGTAGCCTCTTTGGCTTTCGTTTCTTTTTCAAGCGTCGTGATGTCTTAGCTTCTCCTCCCCTCGTGGCAGGAAAACTTCCATGCTCCACCAAGACTCCACCTTCCTGATCTCTCAGTCATTGCATTCGGGAAACTACGCTCGTCATTTGATGTGCGCTAGTCTAATGGGGGCGTGTGCTTGGTGAGAAGACGCAAAGGACGTAGAGAGGGGCAAGCGAGCTAAGTCGGAGGGGCGGGTGGAAGGGACGGCACGTTTGGCTCACGACGGGAGGGGGTAGAGGAGATGAGGGCTTAGAGACACAGGTGAGGATCAGCGAGGACACCAGAGACGAAGGGAGGCAGTAAAAAAGAAAGAAAGAAAGAAAAAAAGAAACAAGGATAGGAGGGAGGTGGGAGGCGGGTCGGAGGGAAATCACCCCTAGTCGAAAATAAGAGATTGCTCGGTGAGTTGTTTGCTTTGGATGCATGTATGTGATGAGTCTCAAGGCAAGCAGGAATGGAAAGGAGCGCAAAGATTGGGAAAAAGAAAAGAAAAGAAAAAGGGAAAGGCTCAAGAACCGGCTTGACCGTGACGATCTTGCTCCTCTTCCGCTTAGACTAGTTCAAAAACCCGCCTTGCAACCCAGCACTGATGGTGGGAAAAGCTGCTTCTTCGGCGCCAACCTTGCTTATTTTGACCTTCACCCCCTTTCTCTCCTGCCACGTTTAGACAGCGTGGCAGATGCGACTACGGCGGCGGAAACTCGGTGGCGTGGAGAAGCCGAAGAGTGGAATTTCCTTGAAAAAGAAAGGATGGCTGTTCTGTATCGCGATCCGAGAAACGGAAAAAAGGAACAAGAAGAAAAAGAAAACAGAAAAAGCACCAAGGCGGGCGTGGGTCTTGTGCAAGATTGCAGAGTGCCTTTCTTTTTCCGTCTTAGTGTGGATGTACTCGCCATGTCGTGAGAGCGGGAATTTTGATTTAGGTCGGCGGCGCTCACATCCGCGCTACGCCCGGGCACGAAGCTCTCCATCCCCGGGACGGGGCGCGCGCTCCCTTCCCCTCCTTCTTCTCCTTCCCGGCGCAGCCGCGGGAGACATGGCGCACTTCCATTCTCGTGGTGAGAACTTGAACCAGATCGATCTTGTAGCCTACCCATTCAGATCTTGAGATCGCCTGGCGTGTGCCTTCTTTCACGCGCACGCCCTAGCATCGCAGCATGTGCCACGAACGAAATGACTCGTGTTATTCCTACCCCATTTGGTTTGATGCGGTCCTTCTTCTCTCCATTCATCAACCTATTCGTCGAGGACAAGAGAAGAAAAAAGCCTCTTGTTTCTTATCAACTCTCGCCCCTCTCAAGCATCTCCCCTCTTATTTCTCTTCTTTACTTGCCCGGGGGTAGGGTAGGAGAGCATCAGGCGAATCAACGGGCGCAAGTCTGTCGCCCAGGCTTCCTTAATTAGACAATCTTCCCTCCATTTTCCCGATTAGCGTGTCCGGATGTCCTGGATTTGCACTTCCTCCAAAGCATGAGGAGAAGCCACTTCACCGTTGCATACGGTCCCCACCCCGGCGCCGACATCCCTTCGCGTGGTTGACTTTGCTCGTCGGCCATCGGTCGTCACACGCCTGGCCCTCCGGTAATTCCCCTTGATTTTCCCCTCTCATCCCTGCCGACCACCAAAACTCAAAGGGGACTAGGCTCGATGGCGCGCGGGAAACATGATGCCATTTTGATGCTCGTTGCTTTTCCTGCCCTTCTGGCTTCCAACTCTGAACAGGGCAACAGGCGAACTTCGCACCTGACCCCCTGTCCCTCTCTCCAAGTACGAAGGAATCCTCTTCCACGAGGTATTATTCAAGCAACGGGAAGGGGCTTATTAGTCTCCATGATTCTTTCACACAACAAAGACGCCACTTACACACACACATGCAGTACTTGTCGAGCTTGTAAAGCTGATGGCTGGTAATAGCTTAAGCGCGACTTTTCTGCATGTGCTTCTTTGCAAATGTCATTCTACTCGCATCGACCTTCTCATGCTCGAGTCGTGTTCGGCAGCAGCACCCTGCCTTGGTGCTTCCCCTCCCCTCAACCTAGGGCGTTTCGGGCATTTCTCCCCCACCATCCTTTTCCCTCTTCGTGCAGGCCGACACCAGCGGCGCCGTCAGAATCGCTCTTCTTTCACAAGGGCCACAAAAAGGTAAACGAGAAACAAAAGAAAAAAACCCCTCGGTGCATCCGTTCAGAAGGGGGTGGGCGCATTCCTACGACGAGGTAACGAAGCAGGAAAAAGGTTGATACGAAGGATGAGAGAGGCTTATCACCACCACCTCTACCGAGGTACACCTGCCAACATTGAAAGGTTATTAGTGCATGTACGTGCTCGTGACGGGCAGGATGGGCGCAGGCTAGCTATCAAGGGTTTGGTGTCCTGAGGATCAGCTCTCGACCCCTAGCGAGCGCCATGGACAACGACGCAGCTAAAAATAATACTTGCCATGGTCGAAATAGGGGAATGGGACGGGCTAAAAGCCACTCTTTTTCCCAGCACCTCTAGCGGAGCTAGGTCGACCTGGTTAATAGCCGTTTGCTCGCCTCAGCGGAATCTCAGACAAACCAAGGTCGTCCAAGGGGGCCTGCTCCCATCCTTCAATAACCCCCAGCACCACTAACACAACAAGGCTTTTTCCAGTGTTTTTCTCCTTGACGTAGCAAGCATCGGCGATGCGCCCAGCTCTGAATTCCTTGGCGTGAGTAGGCGGGCCCGGAGTCCTTTCCAGATCCAGGATAGGTGTAATACACTATTGTGTTGAAAGGATGGGCCGATGCATTACTGGGAATACCCACCCAGATCCTCTTATTCTCCCTCTGAATGACCCAAAGCCCAGACTCGGGCACGAGGAGGCCCACAGC